TTATCCAGCCTCATCGTACTGCGCATGAGCAAATATATATTTCTTATTTTATTTTATTTGACTGTATGAACGCACACAAATAAGAATTCCTTATTTCTTATTTTATTTTATTCTTATTTTATTTTATTTGGCTGTATGAACCCACCATAACTCCATTTTTTCTTATATATCAGTTAAAGGGACGTAAGAACTATAGAAAGTGAATTTTTGTTTTCATGTTTTAACGAGAGGATGATGGGTTTCATTGTTATAGAATTGTTAGATCGCCTAATTTCTCTTAATTTGTTTATATTTCATTACAGTTAATCAGAAACTGAATCAATTCAAAAGTGTACAAAAACAGCTACATATTTTATTAAAACTCTTATTTAAATAGTTCTTTTATATACTGTTAAACTGTACAAGTCTTTAGCAAAAAAGTTATATATATATATATATAAGGTAATACATTATGTATAACTTATGAAAGTTTCTATATAAACTTTGATTCTTAGACTTACGATTGTTTAACTCTACGGTACAGATGTATAGACTCTACAGATCTAATATACAATATGAAACTTCTATTACTTGTTTTTAATCTAACTTATATTCCAAAATTATTTATATATTTTATATAATAAACTATATTTATAATACAGTTTAATATTATTTATATTAAACTATATTAATTTTATTTCTTAAGCTAAATATCTCATAGCTACTCATTTCACTCATAATAAGGAAAAAAAGAAATGCTTAAAAACTCATTAAATATGCTTTATTTAAAATATCAACATACAAAAATAGTCATCCATAATCCATGCAAACTGCAAGAATGAATATAAAGTAATATTTACAACTGTAAGTTAGAGTGCAGCCCAACTAATACAGATTTATTGTCATGCCATTCATGTTTATTATCATAATTTAATTTTTATTAATAATATACCTATTTTGGTGTCACTAAGTTATTTATAAACCCAATACTTATAAAATAAAAATTAATACTTACCACTAACTGACCAGATTAAGCCCAATGTCACTCTTATCAGAAAAGCCAAAAAATGTTTTTAATATTCACTTATTTTAAATTGCCAGAAAAACATTAGAAAGTAACTTAAAACTAGGTTTGGAATCAGAAATGACTTGTACACCTAATAAAAATGCATATGCATCAACTAGAGAAGTATAAAGAATTTGGTTAAGTATAGAGCGTACTATAATACGTAATTTTGCTTATAAAATAATTTTCCTTTCAAACGAGCAGTACCTGTAAAACAAATAAATAATAATTTTTGAATCAATAGGTTACTTCAACACATTCAAGACAATTTAGATAAATAATTAGTATATGCATGTATATATTTTATTTACAATGTGAAGTACTGCTTTAAGATAATGTGTTAGAACATCAACTCTTTCAGAAGACAATTCATTAGCAAAGAACTACAGGGGTAATAGATGATCTGGCAACATCAACCACTCCATTCAAAAATTCTAAGTGAATTAATAAATCAAATGTTACATATAAAAACTAACACTGCTCTACAAGCTTGGCAATAAATAACGTTTTTTAATTATGGGAACTACCAGACACTATCCAAATACTTGTTATTTGTTGGTATTTTGAGAGATAGACGTAATATATATATATATATATATATATATATATATATATATATATATATATATATATATATATATATATATATATATGTATATATGCTTCCGTGAATAGTCTTATAAAAGTTTTTGACCTCGGTTTGATTAAAATATTGGGTCAAATCTTTTTGATTTTCTTTTTTTCACTGAGGAATATCTAAACGTTTATTATAGAAAGAATTAAATTCAAATTCTTTGGGCATAGGTACCACGTTTATCTCTTATAAGGCATTTTTTCCGGTTACCTATATAAGTCTGTCTTACCAAAACAACCCCAGGTTCACCGCTGGATGAGCAGACTTGAGGAAAAATTCCGATAATTTCAATAATAAGAGCAGATAGTTTTCCGTAGAAACAACATAAGTCATTGACATCTGTGTTTTTTCGCGAAAACGTACCTTGATATATGGGATTTATGCATAATCAGCGATATTTTTGTCGCTTAAATCTTGGACTACTATCTTGGACTCGTTTTTGCGGAATTATTTCACGCAAGGGATGTAGATAAACACTCCATCAATTTATACATGACGTAAGTACAGGGTGGTCGAAATTGGTCTGTTTTAACAGAGAAAACCTATTTCCTGACTAGATAGAGCAAAATCGACATAGATGTCATGGGCTCGATTTCTGAGACACGTTTAATGGCGTATACCGCCTGTTGATATTTTCACTGCGAACTGAGATACGGGGTCTTTTTGAATTTTTTACCATTTGGAAAATTGCCCATAATTTTTGCAGCTGTTTGAATTTTGTACAAATCTCATTGGTCCTCTTGACGTGTCGCTGGCGACAGTCGCTGTTCTGAGAACGGGGCTTAAGAACGGAGCTTCATTTTTTTAACCACAATCCAGTGGCGTAGTCAATTTTTTTCTATATATGCTCTTTTTGTCAGAAATAATAAAAAATATAATTTTTTAGATGGAAATCATAGTTGGCTATGAACTTAAAAAAATGCTGGCGTTTAACCCTTTCCAACCATATAAACGTATGTGTATTTATTTCTAAGAATGAGAGAAATATTAGATTTTTTAACTTTGTATCGAAGCGGGCCTTGATTTTGTGTTGACCTAGTTGCCTAATTATTTTTTATCACAATTTAATATTCTATATAATTATTTATCTGCATAACTAAAAACTTTTGAAAAGGTAAATCAACATTCTATGTTAATATTACCAACTACAATTAAAACGCTAGGGTTACAACTGAACTATTAAATGGAGAATTTAGAGAGAATTGGGTTGGAACAGGGGGCCCATATCTTGGCCTCCTAGGTCCTGTGATTTAACTTCTTTCGACTTTTTTATGGGGGAAATTAAAAGACCTTATATATGTATAAGCGAAGAACTATTTGGACAAGAGAAAGAATTGCAGAAGGCTACTAGGTAAGCTTTTGGACTTATTAAACCAGTTCGCCTAATAAATCGTTGTAACTCTATGCGCAAAAGATGTTTATTGTGTCTTCAACAAGGAGGTGCTCAATTTGAACATATTTGATTTTTTTAGAAAACTATATTCGTCACCCAAAAAAACGTTTTTTAGTTTTGTTCTTTGTTTATTATATCGATTTCAGTTGTAATTAGTAATACTAATAATTACTATTACTAATAATAATAGAATGTTCATTTATCTTTTCAAAAGTCTTTAATTATGCAGATAAATAATAATATAGAATATTAAATTGTGATAAAAAAAATAATTAAGCAAATAGGTCAACTCAAAATCAAAGCCCGCTTCGATATAAAGATAAAAACCCTCATATTTCTCTCATTCTTAGAAATAGATACCCATAACTTTATATCGTTGGAAAGGGTTAAACGCCAGCATTTTTTTAAGTTCACAGCCAACTACGATTTCCATTTAAAAAATTATATTATTTCTGACAAAAAGAGCATATATAGAAAAAAATTGACTACGCCACTGGATTGTGCTTAAAAAAGTGCCTTAAGAACGTTTTTACAGAATTTTATTATTCCGCGAATAAAAAAGTTATGGGCAATTTTCAAAATGGTAAAAAATTCAAAAAGACCCCGTATCTCTGTTGGCAGTGAAAATATCAACAAGCGGTTTACGCCATTAAACGTATCTCAGAAATCGAGCCCATGACATCTATGTCGGTTTTGCTCTGTCTAGTGAGGAGATAGGTTTTCTGTGTTAAAACAGACTAATTTCGACCACCCTGTACATTTTTGAAAAAAATTGACAAATGGGGTTTTTGCAAAAAACGCCTCAATTTTATTAGTCCTTTAATTTTTTAAGTAATATAGACGTTGAATTTAAAATAACAAAGATTTTAGCAGTTTTATAACAAACGGAAATAAATAATATTTTTGCTCTCCCTGTGTAATATCCAATCGGTTTATTTAGACATTACAGTTGGGGGTTGAAACCTTTGGTGTTACACAGCAAAATAAAACACTAAATCACCACAACACACCTAAACACTTTTACATTTACACTGGACGCGCGTTTCGCGTCCAGACCATGTTAACATCATCAGCAGATGATTAAAACTAGTTTTAATGATTAAAAATTTTTAATGATTAAAACTAGTTTTAATCATCTGCTGATGATGTTAACATGGTCTGGACGCGAAACGCGCGTCCAGTGTAAATGTAAAAGTGTTTTGGTGTATTGTGGTGATTTAGTGTTTTATTTTGTTGTTTAGACAGATCGAATGTATCGACTTTCGTTAACTTATAACTCAAATTTCAACTTAAAAATTTTTAATTCATGATTTTGCCAATTTTTATTCATGATCATGTTTTTGTCCATTTTACTCTTTGATTTTACTCATGTTTTATTTTTTAACTCAAAAACTATTAGATATAAATCTAGGTTAGTTTAATGCAAAAATTATGAAACATGAAAGTAGTTTCCAAAAATGTAATAATATGCTGGGTGTTCCATTTAAAATAAGAAAGATGCTACCACTTTTCAAATGATGTGGCAACACTGTAAGGCTGAAAATTGCTATTTAGAAATACAGAGATTGGTATAATAAGTCAGGCAACGCTCTCGAAAAATCGGCATATGTCCGGCAACGCTCATAAGTTTGGCAGCGCTATCGAAAAAGATTGCCACTAAGCATGTTCGTGCGTCAGACAGTTGTGTCTGTGTCATAATATGTAAGATAACACTTGCTCGTCGAATAGACGCGTTTTCAGAATGAATAACCTGATGAATGGTTGCCTGACTTATGCCGACCCCTGTATGAAGCAGGTGCTGTTATGTAAAAATCAAAATTTTCAAAAAAATTCTATGACCGCTTCTCCATAAACGTCTAACGTGCCATCGCCGTGAATCACCCTATATATGATGAGGGTAGTAACATATAACATATGATATATTTTAGATAGCAACTGAAAGAAATGTAAAAATAATGTTACCTGGATGGATTAACTACTTATGGACAGAAAGCCAAAGAAAAAATATTGATGCGAATAACTCCGACATATTAAATAAATATAAATGTCCTCCTTTTCATAAACTTATCATTTGCACCACAGGAATATCGAGCAGCAAGGAAAAGTTAAAATTGCAGACACTTATTTCTACAAATGGTATTTAAAGATTGACTTTTATTTATCTTTATTTCTAATTTGCTATTTATTGCTATTTTTAGGGGGAGAAATGGTGGGTAAATTAAATTTAAATCAGACTGATGTCCTAATTTGTCATGGTGCAGAAGGAACGAGTAGTGAGAAGTTTAAAGCTGCCAAAGGAAAATGTTTGCCTTGCGTTACCATTGATTGGGTCTATGATAGTATAAATAAAGGATTTTCGCTGTCATACAAATTATATGAAGTATGTTATTTTGGTTTTATTATATATTTTGGATGTAGTGGTTATAAAAATACAAATTAAATTCGTTTTTGAAGTGAAACTTCTTCATGCGCGATGGGAGTAAAAATTGAAGGCCGTGACACACGAGACGCTAGAGGAAAAGTTGTAACGATCTTGGAGCGTCGTAACTCGGACTCTATAGGTCTGTTCTCAGAAGAATCCCTGACTAGTCAGCGTGTTTCTTATTGGTTGAAATGTGTAGAAACCAGACCAACAATCAGGTTTCTACTCATTTTAACCAATGAGAAACGTGCTGACTAGTCAGGGATTCTTCAGAGAACAGACCTTATGTGAGTCATGGGGCTGAAACTCGGAATGTAGATGGGGCTGATATCAAATATATCAAATAAAACAATCATCCGATTTAAATGAAATTTGGTATGTCGATAGAATGGACCAAGGCCAACTTGACCGTGTACGACACCTGTCACTGTGACAGTTTTGACGTAAGAAACGTCAAAAGTTGATGTCCGATCGCGAGCAAATTTGGTTGGTAGGCTATGTGAGCGACGGAGTACACAGTTGCACCCTGGAAAGTTGGATGCTACACAAAAATATTTCGACATAATTGGGGACGGGCTGCAGGATGACGCCCTCGATGTTTCAAGCCGATGCCTCTAAATGGACGAAATCATGACGATTTTTCTTAATTATGGGTCGATTAGAACCAAACTCGGCACGTGGATAGAGGTACCCGAATGGAGTCCTCAGACGGACAGACAGAAGTAAGAAGAAGTTTCACTTCAAATATGCGCATAGTGCACACACACTTTTTTATTACAATCTTACATAACATTAGGTAAAAGCTACTACTACCTCTACACCAACAAAAGACAGTGAAGACATTAATCCAAACTTTTCGTGTATTAGTTCCATTGGAATTCCTTCGAATATTCAAAGATCACAGATTAATGAAACTATGAATTCTACTGGAATAATGACTGATAGTAAAAAAAGAAAAGGTTTGTTGATTACTTTTTGTTAATGAGTTTAAAGTATATTATTTTTTTAGCTTCAGATGATTTGGTAGAAAAATTAGATCTGAAGAAAGTTAAGAGTGCTGGTACATTTTTGGATGGTTGCTCAGTATGTTTTAGAACTTTATATATGCTAATGAACATAATCTTATTAACATGATTTACTAATTTAGATTTTTCTTGCTGGTTTCTCTTTGGATCAGCGCGATAAGCTTATTAAAGCCATAAATTTAAGTGGAGCCACTAGATATGACAGCCTGTCTGAAAGAGTCACTCATGTGATTATCGGTAATCCGTGCTGCCCTGAAGTGGAGGAAGTGAGAACCAAGAAGCTGTCCTGCACTGTAATTCCAATTCAATGGTTTTTGGATTCTATTAAACAGAAACAGCCAGCTAAGGAAGATGATTATGTTCTAGGCAAAGAGGACGAGACGTTGAAATCCAGACTGGGTTCGCCAGTCAGCAAAAAAGTAAGTATATAAAGACTTTTTTAGTTGTGGTCTGAACTTTGTGATTTAATTGATTTAAGGCCATTAATATTTTAAAACAAAATAAATTGAATCTGGAAGAAAATGAATCTGTTCCTGTAGCAATTAGAGATGAAAGTGATGATACATTAACTCAGCAATATCTCAGCAAAGATAATATTGGTATGAGAGTATTATTTTTAATGAATAATGGAATCTTAATCTTAATATTATTTTTTACAGGGACCCGTAAAGATGATACTTTAAGCATGCTTTTAAGAAATGCTAATCTACCAGATGTTGCGTCACGAACGGAAAGCGAATTAAATACAAAAACAAAAGTTTCGTTAGAAAAATCCGTGGTTCCGCCCATTGAAAATGAAGTTACTGCAGATTGTGTTTCTTCACAGGTTGGTAGAATTTGTATCTTTACCTGCTGATATAATCCATACCTTATAACAGTGACGTGCAGTGCTTTTTAAGTATATAATTACTATCATCATCATCATCATTTTCAGCTTATTCAACCATTTCCAATTATGAGCTACACCACCCCTCACATACTCTCTTTGTAGCAGTGCCCATTGTTGTGTATTGTTGCCTATGCGTGCCCAAGTTATCCCTGCTAATTTCCTAGTATAATGGTCCCATCTCAGGTTCGATCTTCTAAGTCTGGTAATTCCTCATGGGTACCTGCCATGCTGTAATTTTTGTGGTCCACCTGTTGCCCGTTCTTCTTGCCAGGTGTTCTGCCCATTGCCATTTGAGGGATTTGACTCTGTGGATGACATCTAATACCTGGGTTTTTTGTCATATCCACTCTATTCTTTTACGGTCTCTCTTGGTTATTCACAGCATATTTCATTGAAGATTGTGCGATCTGCAGTTTTCTTATCATGCCCGTTTTAAGGTTGATTCTCACTATACCTTCCATATCAGCTCCCTTCCGTTTCCCTTCCGTTAACGTAAAATATATCATGTATATGAATAGGACAATGCACACTATCCGTTCCGTTTCCCTTCCGTTCCATATCCTTTTCTTCCATACATTTCTTGGCGGACGGACTGAAGCGTATCGGAAACAGCGTTGTCAAGTTCTTACATTTGTACCAGCTCTGTTAAAATTTTGCTGATATTTTATTTATTCTTTCGCCTCTTAATTAAATCTATTACATTTTTCAAAAGATAGAAATTTTTAAAATAAAACTTTCGTAATGATATAAATTGTACAATAAAAAGTATGGAACTGATACGGAACTCAAGCTTACGTATAGCGTCAATACAATAAAAATACGGAACGAATATGGAATGGATATTGAATGGAAACGGAAGGTATAGTGAGAATCAACCTTTAAGTGTCCTTTTCAATACTCTTATAGGGCAATGACAACAACATGCAGAATGTTATAAACAAAAATAAATAGAGGCATACAACAGAGATAAATATATATGTTCATTTGACAGACAAAATAAAGTCATACAGCGTTGCCGGTTTGTCAATGTCTAGGCATTGTTCCTAATGGTGTAGCTTCCCTCACATACTTTCTATACACACATAATCTCTATATCACATACTCCCTGACGTACTCTCTATACATACAGACTCTCTATATCACATACTCCCTATTCAGCGTTGCCGGTTCGTAAGTGTCTAGGCATTGTTCCTAAACGTTTACTTGGTCGGTTTGAAATTTTGTTATTGTATTTCAATATAATGTTATTGTTTAAAAAATAAAAATTTAGTAACATGATACGCTATTAATGACCGCATATCGATTTATGGCAAATATCATGTTTTAATACATCTATAAAAACCCCTAACACTAGTTTAATGCGATATACATCGGCTACGATCGACGGTTCGGAGATTGTCATTATACCTCCCCATTTATATTTCTTGCTTTCCTACGTGAATACGGTTTTCTGTTTCAGAGTTAGCAGAGAAATTTTATTGTGTTATTATGTATTATAAAAATAGAAAACAAATTTCTTGCAGTAGAGGTATATAATAAAATTATATAGGGATTCTTGCCACTTAACTGCTAATATAGAAATTTAATTCTACGCTGTGTTTGTCATAATGCGGATCAACCAACAAGTTAAGTGGCAAGAATCCTTATATAATTTTATTATGTATTATTATACCATCCTGGACACTTCATCTGCGTGGTCTGTATTGTAACGCACGCGACCGAGATATATGACCAGTTGACGGACAGAGAGACAAAATAAAAAGCGGCACACAGTGTTGCCGGTTTTTACCTGTGTAGGAAAATGTGTATAGAAAAAAAATAAACTATTTTAAAAACTACTTGTGCGGTTTGAAATTTTGATGCAAAATACGACAATACCGCATAGAAGAAATGTATCAAATCAATTTTTGTCTCTTTAATACATTTGATTTTCCATTAAGCTGTTTACATCACTATAGTGACAGTCACATATAGTCATGTTACTTATATGGAGATACCTATGTCAGGGCATTTGAATAATTTAGTATTTAACTCGTTTTTATTTTTATAATTTATTATAGGGTACCACTGAAAACTCCATAAATGGTTCGGTATTTTGTTCCTATACTTTTCTGCTAGTTGGCTTTGATGCAGAAACTACTGACGTTTTAGAAGGATATGTAAAAGGGTTAGGTGGAGTTATTGTTGACACAGAATATAAAGGTAAACCAATGATATAAAAAAAGCAAATAAATAGATAGTAAAAAATATGTAGTCTGTATAAATACACTACTCAAAACAATTATCGCTTATTTGAATAAAAGTAATTTTTGCATATTTCTAAATGAAGCATGTTTTTTTCTGCCTTTCTCTTGTGAGTTTTTTTAGAATAATTAGGGTACGCACTGACATGTAATTTTTAGTCGGCCGGCTATTTAGTTGCAAAAGTGAAAACAATACATTCTTATGGAGCCGATCTTCCCAATATTTGATTACATTGCGTAGCCTTAGGCTATGCGCTGACAGGCAAATTTTAAACGGCCGACTATTTAGTTGCATTATTTGTAACCGATATATCCTTATGGAGCCGCGCTCACATGCAGTCAAATAGTCGGCCCATCGACTTCATCAGTAGGTATGTATTGTTTTGACTTTTGCAACTAAATAGTCGGCCGACTAAAAATGCAGGTCAGCGCATAGGCTTATTGTATAGAATTGCCCTTCACAGTATCCATACTATTTAATATCGAATTCAAAGTGTCTTGTTTTTCAAATTAATATTTTTTTTGAAAATATGCGATAATTGTTTTGAGTAGTTTATTATTATACATGGGATATTATTATACTTGTTTGTAGATCCAATTGATTTTCTCGTGGCACCCATTTTGAAAAAACCAGCGAGCACCCCGTTTAACTCTAAAGAAATCGTCAACGAGCTTTTCGTCGTTGAAAGCGTAGAGGAAGAAAAACTGGTAGATATACAGTAAGTAGTGTTGTAATACAGAGAATGTTCCCATTCATGACGAGGGACATTCTTTTATAAAAGCATTATGAGTACAAAGGAGCATGTACAGGCACAAACTAGAATGTTTTCCAAGAACTTTTTTTAAAGTGATGAAATAGCATAAGGTTACACTTAATGTTGCATTTAAATTTTTTGAAAAGTGCGCAATGTTTAGGTTTATTAAATTGTAATATTGCGCCCCCTAGCGTTTACGGTCAAAATTAAAATGATTGTTTACATGGTATAATATATTTTTGTCATAGAGTAAGGAACGCTCTTTTAAACGAACTCTACTTCATTGGGTTCCGATTACCTAGCCGGGGTTATTAACATTTAAATAGAAATCACGTTCCCCACCACGACAATATGATAACCCCGCAGAAATAACTACTTCCGCCACTTTTTCGTCGCCGTAATTATGAGTTCGGGGATTACCCGATATACTATTATACCTCTATTAAACCACCCTGGACACTTTAATGCATGCGACAGAGATAAATATAAATGACCGGTTGACAGACAGAGAGACAAAAAAAGGGCATACAGTGTTGCCGGTTTTTACGTGTGTAGGAAAATTTGGATAGAAAAAAATTAAAAACACGTTAAAATCCAACCCAGGCTTTTACGATGACCCGATCGGTATAGATTTAGCTTCCGAATTGCCGTTTTAATTTGCAAATGGCAGTATGTAGTGTTGATAGTTTTTCTGCAATATAAATATCTCCAGAAAGAAGGGCAACGTGTTCTGAATACTTATTGTACTCAATTTTTTTCGTCTTTTTGTTCTAAATGTTCTCAAAATTCTCATTTTTCTAGAGAATAAAAAAGTAAAGTAAAGATTCAGCTAACGTCTCCTTTATGCTGCCAGAGCTAATCTGGACGGGGCCTACTTTGTTTACGCGGAATCCAAACCGCGGTCCTCAGCCATATCATGGTCATTGGCCTACCGACTTGGCAAGTGTCTAAATCGACTCTTACTCACGAGATATCCGATCTCATCCGGCCTCGAACCGGCGCGAATGAGCTATGTGTGTCAGTAGATTTTACACTTGTGTCTTTTTTTTTGGACAACAGCACGATACAGAGTTTCGAACCGGTCACCCGTCCATCCACTAGCATCGCATGATTGATTATTCAATCTATTTTCTTTGATTTTATGTATTATATATTTATATATTCTCGACATCTGCTCGCTTTTGCTCGTTAATTCTCGTTCGTTCTCGGGAAACGTTCTCCAATAATGAATTCTCGAGCATTTTTCAACTATAACTGTAAGGAACAGAGCTATTACTTTTTAATCTCTTAAACCTGTTTTATTTCAGATACTATCATAGACCACTTAAACTTCCAACCACCAGACCATTACAGGATTGTGTTATTACAATAAGTGTATATACGAGTCAGGAGAGACACTTCCTCAAAACATTAATCGAGGGACTAGGCGGTGTTTTTCAGGAGCAGTTTTGTAGAAAAAACATCCCTTCCAAAAGTAAGTCTGGAATAGTCTCGAAATAAACTTTTCCACTTTATTAGTTTTATAGGTGTGTTGGCATCCACGCATTTGGTTACGCCCGAGGCCAGCGGCAAGAAATACGAGGCTGCTGTCAAATGGCAACTGCCGGCCGTCACTAGAGATTGGCTTCGAAAATGTGTTGAGATCGGCGATAAAGCAGATTTGAATCCGTTTCTAGTAGGTGAGTTCTCTGATCTTTTTTTAAGTATTAGACTAGAACTAAAAAACTGGCCCTTTTTATCTTTATTTTCTATTAACAAATGACATATAGTTCATACCAATTAAACTTTTAGTCACGTAATTAAGCTTGACCGGCATAGCTTTGCCCACTTTTACATATTTTCTTTTAATCAAAATATGTTAGGAAACAAAAATAAATTAATTATAAATATATAAACAGTTATTACGTCCACAAAACTCACCTCCTTAACAGCACTTAAGGGCCATTCCCGTTTAAAATATTCTAATAAGGTTGCGATGAGTTTTTGCATTGGCTATTGAGCTAATCTTGTACCACTTCGCACTAAAAGAGGTTCTAAGAAGTACAATGTTTGACTGCAAGATCTGCTAGTAAAACTTTTTAAGCTTAAAGTATCACAACCATAGATAAAGGAAATAAATTTAGATTGGAAGGCCCGTCAAAATATTTAATTGTTTTGGGTCGCGACCGTTGTACGCGATCTGGTGCTGCTATAGCGGTTGCTAAGAACAACCGCCAAACAATAACAGAAATAATTTTCTCTTGTCAAAGTCAGAATCTTCAAAAATTATAAAATCTTTTAAAATTTAAACCGCCCTCATTGAAAAAAATACCGAAAAGTGTTTAAGCGTCCATTCTCAAAGTAATTATTTCTATCTTGTTAGTTTAACTTAAATTTTACTTACTCAGACCCGTGATAATTGTGAAAAAGTGGCATTAAAAGCTAAAAAACTGTGTTGTGGACTTGTGAACTGCAAAAACCATCGTGGATCGTGGCATAATGTCGGTTTCAAATGATTCATAGGTATTTCACATACATGTCTTTATATAAAATAAAGTTTCTTGTATGCAATTGTATTTTATTTATAAAATTAAAAGAAAATAATAAATTTGATTTAAATAATATTTGGCGACATAATTCCGGAAAAAGCCGAACCGATCCGAAATTATCAAAAACTTTGGGTCGCGACCGTTGCAAGAATAGCATCAAATAGTGTTTACATTGTCCTTATAGGCACTTTCCAATCTAAACTTGTTTAATTTATCTATGATCACAGCACAAATTATTTAAAACAAAAACTCGTAAAACAAAACTAAAATGTCAAAACGAATGACGTTGTCAGGAAATAAATATATAAATGTGGCAACTTGACATTTTTTACAGCAGAGCTGCCACCTGAATCGCCAGCGGGAATTTAAATTTCAGTCAGTCAGCCCGGCGCCGAATATGTCCATCGTTGGCAACAATGAATTTAAAAATTGCGCCCCCGATTACGTAACTAAAAATTTAATTGGTATCGCTTGTAGATATTTTAAAATCATCCTTGATAGTCATCACTGCAGTCACTCTCAGAATCTCATATTTTAGACGGTCTTTTTCGAGACCACGTTTTGAATGTGCAGTCACGACTATAAGTACATATTAATTCTATTTTCCTGAAAAATTTAGAAATGTTCTTGTTTAAAAATTTATAGGAGTAGCTGAAACGTTTTCAGAATCGTCAGTTACAAACGCCAACAGCAGCAGTTCGGTTTCAGAAAGCAGCAGCAAGCCAAGCTTACTAGAAACACCTGCCAAACCTGAAGAATCGGTAGTTCCTATACATCGTCAGCTAGCAAACGTTAACACGCCTCCTGTAGCACGAAAAAGTTCTGGTATGTAGTGATCTTAAGCACCGCTGTAGCGATAAATAAAAATGAGCTTATTTTTTGTAAAAACCGAGAATATACTGGATTCAGAGTTCCGTAGCCGTAAGACGTAAGCCGTATCGATAATCGTAAGACTTAAGACGCAAGGAAAGGGATTCATAGTTGCCGTAAAAGACGTCACGATAAGATCGTAAGCATGCGCATTACCGTTTTCAGCAGGTTATGTCGTTGTTTTGAAAGTATAATATTCCTTATAACTTATAACAACTATAATATTTCTTATTTATTTTGTTACTTAATTAAGATAACACAAACGATAAAAAAAACGAGATTTCGTATTTTAGTATATGACATAAATTAGGATTGATTGACGTGTTCAATTGTTTTTGGTCACTTCTTGTTTCACTGGAAATTACTACAACTTTTGATTTTTAAATGGCATCCTCGGAATTGTTTTACTTTATTCGATAGAAAATGACACTCCGAATAGAATGTCATATGATTTGTCAACTTTTGACATTCTCGCTTAATAAAAAATCGTATTTTAAAATTCAATCTAGAGTGTCATGGCTATGTTAAAAACCTTAATTCTTAATCAAGGAGCCTTGGAAAAATAAATTTGATCGTCTAATGTTTTTAGTGTCTTCTCCTGGGGCGCTATTCTGTACAATCGTCGGTATCGGCAAGTTACCGACAGCTATCGGTACGTACGGCCAATGAGCGTCGTGTTGATTGTTGTTGTCATAGTTACCGATCGGCCCTATGACAGATATCTCAAATTTGTACCGACGACTCTCGGTATCTCTACCGTGAGGTTGACAAGGGCACGGTAGAGATACCGATTTTCGTCGGTACAAATTTGCGATATCTGCCATAGGACCGATCGGTAACTATGGCAACAACAATTAACACATTTTTACTATATACAAATACGTATCGAGAGCTGTCGTAACTTACCGATACCGACGATTTTACAGAATAGCGCCCCTGGCCAGTTAGAAAATGCTTGAATCGTATTTTTAATCATACCTCATTTTTTTCAAATGGAACGAGGGTGGCTCATTAGCATATTTGGAAAAAGCATTTTTTTAAGAATAATTTGAAACCACACACTTGGTATTTCGAGTCATATTTTCGTTACGAACCGCAAGTTATAATTTCAAATAAACCATATGCAAAAATGTCAAAAGTTGACATATGATATGTCATTCTATTCAGAGTGTTATTTTCTATCGAATAAAGTAAAAAAATACCGAGGGTGCCATTTAAAAATCAAAAGTTGTAGTCATTTCCGGTGAAACAGGAAGTGACCGAAAACAATTGAATATGTAAATCAATCCTAATTTATGTCATATACTAACATACCAAATCTCGTTTTTTTAACTAAAAAAATATAAAAGTTATAGGGGTGAGCCACTTTTGAGACGCACCCGGTATAATAGAATTTTAGAAAGCTCATAACCCCAAGACAAATAAAATAAAATAAATAATATATAGGGTGTGCCATTTAAAAAAAACATAAGTTTGATTGATATATCGAAAATGACAGCTTCCAGCGAAAAATGAGTTACGTCACGGGATTCTACGTGAAAAACTCTATGGGACTCAGTTTTTACCTTCTCTATAAGTTTTAGGATAACCGAGATACGAGGGTAGTCGAAAAATGTATAATTTTTAAATTTGTCCTGCATTTGATGAACTAAGAGGGCTAGGACATTTCTGTGTATAGAATCTTTAGTTTCATAAAAAAGTAGCAGTGATGTGAAAACCGCATCTTTGTATCTTTACTAAACCCGGTAAAACACACGAAAATGGGACAATAGTGCAATTTATATATACCCTGTACATAGTTCAATTTATTATTTAAGATTTAATATGTTCTTATTGGAAAAATATGAATACAGTTGTTCTTCTGATATACTTAATTTAAATAATACTGGAGGGAATCCAGAATTAATGCTTTAAAATCATGAAAATAGAAAATACAGAAAAAAAAAGTGACACAAAGCTGGAGTTTACCCATTGTTGGACTTAGATCAATGAAAAAAAATCTAAATTAGACAAACTTATATGTCAAAATCGCATCTAACGCCGTTTTTTTTTTAATTTTAGTTAACACACCGCTAAACCAAATATACAACAACATCGCAATAAAAACACCTGATACGTGCAGTCAAGTGACTCCTATCAACAAAATACTGCAGGATGCAAGAGACAAGAAGATTCTACCTACGCCGAGTCCCAAAACTTATTATCCTTGGGCCCCCAAAACACCTGATACGCCATTGGGTAAACCCTTTTAAACATTTTAATACATTTGTAACTTTCTTTGAACTTTTTAAACCATTAATATTTGATTGACTTACAATTTAATAAAACTTCAGTTATATAAAAAGTGTTTTTAGGAGCGTTTATCCGGGACAATCCCTCTCCAGCCTTAAGAAAGGAAATGCAAGCTTATGTAAATGAATTTCCCGACTTTGTGCCTCCTCCCAAAAGGCGATTAAGTACTCCCCTTTCAGAACTCAGGAGGAGATTGCGCAATAAAGTACTCTATGGAGAAGAATATCCTACCCATACCCAGGAAAGCCAGGTAGGATACTCAAATTTAAATATTTTAGATTTAATCAGAAATAAAGATCAACCACAAAAGACAAATAAAATCGCCTCAACCCTATAAATTAATTTAACAAGAAAGTATTAGTTACAATAAATGAGTTTTAGTTACTTAAATTACAATTTCAGTGTTTGGTAGTGAATGTGCTGATGATAGATAATTTTAAAAATTTATATTAGGTCTATCTTTTACTTTGTCAACAACTTAATAAAATAATAATTACTTTAGTAATTAATAACTGTTTTAGTAATGACCTTTAGTAGAATGTAGAATGTTTAGGAGGGGAGTTAATCACCGCGACCTTATAGATCTATTGTGTGTTCCCCTTTCTTGAGTTATAACGAGTTATAACTCATCATACAGTCTCAGGGCTTTAAGAAAAGCCAGTATCTGAGACGGCTCCACAGAGGCCAGCTCTCCATCCTCGACATCAGACGTACCAAGGTTCATGGCACGAATGGTCGTCGTCTCGGCGCACTCAGTGATAAGGTGTTCTGGTGTTTCCCCATTTTCCCCACAAAATCTGCATTCGCCGTTGTTTCTCAGTTTCAGCCTACTGACGTGTTCGTTGAGGAGGCAGTGTCCTGTTAGAAACCCCGTGACAATCCGAAGATTGTTTTTACTTAAATCAAGGAAAACCTTTGATTTTTCTCGGTCATAAGTTCTAAGGAACTTTTTCGAGTATTTTAGACCGTTCGAGGACACCCATTCCAAGTTACGGATGGAGTCTTCCAGATTCTTCAGTTCCGCTTTCAGTTGGTTCCCGTTTGGAAAACAGAACGGTTCTGGTCCAGTTAGTGGAGTGTTCGCTCCTTTTCTAGCTAGATCATTTGCTTTTTCATTGCCTTCTATCCCTTGGTGAACAGGCACCCAGAGTAGGAGGACTTTATTTTCTTTGCCTAATTTGTTGAGCTTCTCTAGGCATTCTTTGACCAACTTCGAATTGATGGTTACTGAGTTGATCGCGTTAAGTGCTGCTTGACTATCGGATAGGATGGCAATTTCCTGTTTTCGATAGTTCCTATCTAAGATAAATTGTGCGCATCTTTCGATAGCGCAAATTTCTGCCTGAAGGATACTGGGGTAGGTGCCCATTGGTTCGGAGTATTCAGTTTTCGGCCCAAATACTTCTATCCCTGTCCCTGCTTTGGTTTTGGAAGCATCCGTATACCACATGATGGTATGGTCTTTTATATGCTGAGTAAGCGTCTCTTTCTTCCAATCCTTTTTATTACTCAAAACTACAGTGGTAGTATTGATGGTATGTCATCCACTGGGAGTTGGAGAGGTGGAATTTTCTTTTTGAGGGTGTTCCAAGCCCCTGACCTGAAACTTCTCCCAGTACTGTTTCCGTCAGTAACCATTCTAATCATTGTCGCATTGGCATAACTACCGACGACAATGTGCACTGGTGTTAGGTCTAGAATGACCTCCATTGCTGCTGTTGGACATGTTCTCATGGCACCTGTGATGCAGATACATGCCAGTCTCTGTACTTTGCACAGGTTTTGCCTTGCTGTACGTTGCTCTAGTTTTGTATACCAAGCAACTGCTCCATAAGTAATCATGGGTCTTACTATCATGGTATACATCCAGCGCAAAATGTTAGGGGCGCAGCCCCATCTATTTCCCGCCAGTCTTCTGCATATCATGAGAGCCTTTGTGGCTTTGCTGGTAATGTTCTTAATATGCCTGTTCCAGAGAAGTTTACTATCCAGGGTTATTCCCAGATATTTCACTTCCTGTATGACCTTTAGTACCATATGATCGAAAAAAACGGCGTCAAAGATTGCCGGGAAATGACAATCGATGATAATTTTGGCTATATTTTTTTGCGGTTCCTGCCAATTGGCCTGAACAAGGTTGTAATTTATTTTTATATTTAGTAAAAATGATTTTTAAATGTAATTTAAAGTTCGGAGGAAAAAATTCTGGAAATGAATTTGTGCGTCTGGAAACCTTCTATCCTTTTTTAATCTTTTTTTTTGTTTGTCCCCGGACAAGATGGAGCACTTTTTTATCATTGACATTTTGAGGAAAATGCGTTCTTTGTAAAAAAATTTGCTTGTTTAAAATGGTTAATCCTGTTTATACTTCTCGAAATTTTCATACCGTTTTAGAGAAAATTAAAAAAAAACAAGGGGTGGCGCACCTCATTCGCCTCGGTTGATTATGACTGGAGCCAGATAGGTATGGGAAACCCTAATATAGTTTGAAAGAACATTTAAATCTGCTTCGACTTATTTAAAAAATACATAGTGTTGTATTTGAAAAAAACCAAGTTTTTATGTAAAATAAGTATTTAAAATAGCCCAGCAATTTTTGATACCCCTGCATACATTTAAGGAAGCAATATTTTTTTAGTAAAGTTTATTTCTCTAGCTTGAAGTCAGCACAAGAATTAACTTTGAAAAGTAATGTACAGGGCGTTGACAAACTTTTTTTAATAGCATGCATATTTAAATATCTTTAAATATCTCAAAAACCAAAACATTTAAACGTATTAAACCCTTATAATAAATGCCTTATTTTATGCCCAAGAATCCAAAAATGAAATAAAATACCGGGTGTTCCATAAGAAAAAATATAACTTTGATATGGTTTGTCTTAGTTCTGACACATTGTGTACATTTGAAAATGATTTTAAATTATGCACATTGCCTCTCTACATATACCCATAAAAATTTTGTTTCTATATCTTTTAGTTTTTGTATAATCAAACGAGGCGAATGAGGTGCGCCATCCTGTATATAGTTGAATGTCCTAAAAATCAAAACACGTATGGTAATATAATTTAATTTTCATTCCTTGATAGAATTTTAATTAACTTTATATTTTTTGCTGTTTTAAAATGTTAAAGGAGCACAACATTTATTTAATTCAATGCTACAGAAAGGGTGATAATAGTTAAAGAATGAAATCTAAATTATGTTACCACTGAATTAATTTTAAAACAAGCAAAAATTTTTTGAAGCTTTTTTCAACATCTCTCTAATAAAAAAAGTTGCCCTCTTGTAAAGACAATCCGATGACATGTCAATTTGCAGTAAATGACGTTTAGTTATTATTTGTCATTCCCAGCGATCTTTGACACCTTTGTTTTTTTTTAACAACCTTAACCATTGCTGTCAGAATATTTATACATATATTTAAATAAATTAACGTTTTTTAGAGACCTACTCATGGAGTAGAGCAAGAACTCGAAAAAGAGGAACAGAACGATGTTACCGATATACCTGATAATACGGAAGAGTCCGAGATGACCCCGGAAAAAGAAGAGGCGAATCAAAAATTTCAACAGCTTAAAGAGATGGTGATGGCGAGCGGCAGTGGAACGGCCAATAGAAAACCTAGGCGCTTATTTGAAGCAGTGAAGAGTCGCGAAGGATCACTTGACGGTATTCTAAGTGATTATTAAAGAGAATCGACGATGTAACACGAATGTATTTTGCAGCTCCGTCCCGACGAAACAACGAGCCCCAATCGCAAGTGTGCACCATTGATTGGGACTATGGATGTGAAACGGTATATTTTTTATATCATCTTAGTATCATAAAGTTTTATTAATAATAATCAAAGATGCGACTTACTTTAAATACAAGAATTGGAAATACAGATAGAAGACTCGAAATACGTATATATTTTTTTAATTTCATCTTATTTTTTTAGTATTTCATAGATGCTTAGTTTGCTAAAATACTTTTACTAATTATTACCTGTGCATATTCTTCACGACATTCAGTCAAAATATGGACCAAAATATCAATATTAGGTGTGATGAAATAACCATAGATGAATAAAAAAAATATTTATTATTTAACATTTTTTATTAACATTAAACCTAAAATAGAACAAAATAGACATTGTGTCTTATGAATAAAAGTTAAGCAAATGCTTTTACTTAAATTTCTTGAAATAGACTTATACAATTTGTAAACAACCAACAAAGATAGTTCTATAGAAAAAGCAATTGGTTCTCTTTATTCATCAGGCCCATTCTAAAAATGACAACATTTTTATTCTTCAATATCTATCTAGTATTAAAGAATGGATTAAAGAAAAGCACCCATTTCATTCTTTAAAATGAAATGGATGCCAAAATAACTTGAACATATCAAAGATCTTGTCCTTGCTGAAACACATAAAATTAATCGTTATGAAATACAAAAATTGGACACATTAAACAACAACGAAAATAAAATATGTAAAAAAGAAAAACAAAAGACAAATCTAATTACATGTTTTTGGTGGACTCTAATTCCTCTGTTGCAAGTAGCAACAATATGGTTTACTGACAGCACCGCGGCGTTAAGGCTTCAACTTAGCCATTACATTCTAAACAAAGCTCTCAATAGCTAAAAGCTGAATATGGATAACGATAACGTGTTTTGATATTCTTTAATTAATAATTTTCCGTTTGCAGGAAAGTCAAGCTCAGAAAATGTTTCTTCTTTCTGGAATCGAGCTCTCCCAAAGGCAGCGGCTGTCTGACAGCATAAAAGCATTGGGCGGCATTGTGTCGGAAATGGCGACATATGACGAATCCTGCACTCACCTGATTTGTCCCAAACCGCTGAGAAACGAGAAAACGTTGGCTTGCATGGCGGCTGGCAAATGGATCCTGCATACATCCTATATAGAGAAAAGCTCAGCGGCAGGTTCATTTCTTAATGTAAGTAGAATGTTCTGTGGGTCCTGTGATATAATTTACATATATTCGTTTGTTCTTTATTATTCTTTTATAATTTAATTTATCCTTATCGTTTTACTAGGAACATTTATTTGAGTTCGGTAACATGCAGTCCAAAGAAAATATTCCTTACGACGAGAAAGACGCGTGTATAAATTACTGGAGAAAGGAAATAAAAAGAAGGGGTAAGTTAGGAATATACACCAAAAAATACGATTATATAAGCGATACCAATTAAACTTTTAGTTACATAATCGAGAGCGCGATTTTTAAATTCATATTGTTGCCAACCATGGACATATTCGGCGCCGGGCTGACTAACTGGAATTTAAATTTTCCGCTGGGGATAATAATAATTTCGAATTGTCAAAATACCGCATGGCGTCTTTTCTACAGCTGCTTTTGCGAATTTCAAGTTCCAGAGCTTTATGCCCTGGGCTACTCGAGAACGGTTGTTGGTCGAGAACTATTGATTTTTTGGAAAAATATCAAGAGACATAATTAAAAAAAAAAAGAAAATTTCCTATCGATTGGTGTATACAAAGTTCATAATCACTTGATTAATAATCGGAAAAAAACGGTAATAAAATTAGGATAAAAATAAAAAATGTGAAGAGCTAGACTAATATTGCCCATATTAATAAAAATAGAAGAATATTTTGAACGTTTCCAGTTATTTTTAAAACTAATTTCGTCCTTTCTATGACTTTGCAACGCTGCTATAAATTTTCAGCCGCACCGCAGTGCAGTACTCAATCATTACCGAACGCAATAAGTTGAATGACCGGAGTAGACGGTGACCAAAATCCGACATTTTAAGCTGTATATTGAGTCACACAGAAAACTCAGATATAGCTGAAACAGCAGAAATCGGTATCCCTCAATACTTGTGGTGGTTTGATACATCTTTTAAATCCCACTTCCGACACGATCTCTTTCGAAGACTATGTCAACAGATGTTTCTTGACATACATATTATCAAAATTCAAAAACACGCCTCAGTTGCACATAACGTGGGATAGCCAAAATTATCCTACATATAATGCATGCTCTAAAGACAGGATCAAAAACAGTTCTCGTGAAAAGCGTAGACTCCGATATAATTGTTATCCTAATATACCATTTCGAATGTTTCCAACAGCTTAGTCCCGATTGTTCAATATATTTATATTATATGGAACGGGAAAAAACAGAAGAAAATTAGATATCGGAAACCTATACCACGCTTTGGGATCGAAACTTAGCCGCGCTTTGGACAGGATGTGAAAACAGGATGTGATTCCACATCATGTATAAGAGGAAGATCAAAAAAGACCGCATTCCTTGCAATGCAAAGAAGAGGAGAGTTTTTAATACCTGCAATGTGTGAGCATTTGACTAAACCATTTACAAGTATTGAAAGACTCTCCCTTGTTCAGTGAACAAGAATCATTTTTTGTTTAAATTTACGGTGGGGAAACAAAAAGTCTGAACCAGCTCAGAAAGGAGATATTTTGCCACCGGAACCACAACCCAGAGACCATACCTCCAACGCAGGATGTTCTACTGCTACATTGCAAAAGGGCTGTGTATCAAGCAAGCCTATGAGTTTCTGCGAAAAATCCTCTAATTCATGCTCCAGACCCTTCTGATTTTGGCTGGGTGAAATCTCCTGAGGCCAAACTTAGCCCGAAATGGATATCAATCCCACAAGTTAGTAAAGCCTGCGAGGAGCTTATCAAATGTAACTGTAAGAAGGGCTGTCTTAAAACATGCAGTTGTAAAAAAAAGAATCTTCCTTGTACTTTATTATGCAAATGCGTATGCTCAAAATCTTGATTTCATTATTATATCTATACGGTATATTTTTGTTTATTTTGTGTTGTTTTTTGTATATTTTGTGTTTTAAGGTTGCCTTTTCTGATATTTCTTATATTCAAAATATGTACCTGTTCAAAATTGAATAAAGTGGAGAAAATTATGCAAGCAAAGTATTTTTGCAATATTTTTAGGGTTAGTTTAGAATTTATTTTTTGTTGAAAATAGACATGTTATATACCAATCGATAGGAAATTTTATTTTATTTAAATTAGGTCTCTTGACATTTTCCCGAAAAAATAATAGTTTCTGAGAAAATTGAGAACAACTAAAAAAATGTACCTTTGGGGCTGGTTTTGGGGTAGTTTTTCAAAAGGGATCCGCGGGCCTTCATCCTATTTTTATTTCTAGTCCCCCAATAAAGACTTTTTGGGTAAAGGCCAAACTTTAACACGCACAGTAACTCACACTATAGGATTCATACCTACTACCTGATTTGTAGCTAGTTTTTTTTTATTTTAAACAAATTTAATTCTATACTAATCTGGTCCAGGGGAAAACTTGATAAGCTCTAATTTCTTAATTTTGGGGAGTTTACAATATTATAATAGGTCTAACTGGTCCCTACTAAATGTATAAACTCTGTAGAGCAATATGTTGTTAAATCCTATGATATATGCCTAGTAAAAATATATAATACATGGAAAGAACCTGATAACCGTCAGCCGTTCAGTGCTCTCCTGTAAAATTAGTAAAATGGCGTTAATTATCATGTTTTTTTCCCTGGACCCTTCAATCAATTTTTAATAACGTTGTATTTTACACTTTAAGTAAACCAGTGTATAATTTGCAGGCTATGGGGCGTTTAAGGATATGCGTGCCCTAGTCATAGCCGAAAGGCGGGATCCATTGGTTAAAGTTATTGAGGCCGGTCAAGGAGTCGTCTTAAATATTTCGTAAGTTTGTTTTTATTATCGAAGCAAATCCTCGGTAACAAATGATTTTATTGCAGACCGCCTTTTGACGAGCCTATACATGCCACCCATTGTTTACTTGAAGCCAAAGTGGTTAAGGATTTCTCACAATATACTCCTTTAGCATTGCAAGGCATTAAATGCGTTAATACAATTTATATTCACGAATTCCTAAGGAAATGTGGAAAAGAAGATACAAATTATATATTGCCTTATTTTACATCTTACTATAATTTAAAAGATAATTAGAATAATTAGCTGTTCCATTTTATATTTATATTTTTTTTGTAATAAATCTATTTTAATATATGTCTTTGTCATCACTGGAAAGAAAACTTTCAAAACAAATATTAGATTAAGTCGTAGATTAATTAAATTAATTTAATTAGGAATTAAATTAATTTATGTCAAAGCACACAGGCAAAATCATAGAAAGCGAATATTCGTCATCAGTTATCAGTATTCTGTCAGTATGGAACTATTATGGAACATTATTATTATCTTTGTACCATGGTATGGAACCATTATGGAACAAACTGACGCAAAGCGGAACAAGAAATTTAGTGAAATTTCGCTTTTTTAGCTGAGTAAGGAATAAATTAGTAAATTATATACCGGGTAGTGCATCGTCGTTGGAAACAAGAAATCCCATGCAGATTTTTAACTGTTTAAATATTGGTTCCCCAGTTGATTTTACAGCGAACAGATGTAAATATATTTTTTAAAGGTTTATGTATGGTAAATACACATGCCAAATTTAAACAATTTTGGACCAGCCGATTTTGAGTAATTTAAAAAAGATTGCATCTATTTTTATCTTTGATTTTTATCATAAAACCGAACAGGTAACAATCAAACACTGGTCAAAAACTGATATACCTTAGGTTTACAAATTATGATTTTGTCATTGTCAACAGTAATTTAATTTTAATAAAATTTTAATATTGGGGAAATTCACCGAAACATGTCAGGTACACTGTGTAAGCAATTTAGCTTAGTACCATGTACCATTTTATCATGCTTACTTTTTTTTTACGTGTATAACAATAAATTATTACTACCTAGTAGTGAATATTCATATTGTATTAAAATTAAGTTGTTTGAACAACTTAATTTTAAATGTTGACAACTTAAGGCATGTCGGTTTTTGACTGGTTTGATTGTTACTATCATCAGTTTTAATATAAAAATAGATGCAGTTTTTCTCAATTTACTCAAAATCGGTTTGTCCAAAATGGTTCAAATTTAGCATGTTTGTTTACCAAATGTAGACTTTTAAAATGTCTATTTAAGACTTCGCTTTAAAATCAATATGAGAGCCAATATTTGAACAGTTCAAAATTTGCATCGGATTTCCTATGTTTCCAACGACGATGCACCACCCGGTATAGGAATAAGTTAGTAATATTTTAAATATAGGTAATAGGAATATTCTAACTCTTGCTTTAAATATTTTCAAGTTTAGAGCGTTACAGTTTTTTTGGCTCTCCTGGAATTTAGCTAATACCACAATCTGGCAACATTGCTTTGCCTGAAACGGAATCAGGTCGGAATGAAAATAGGTTTCCTATCTGCGGGCCGTAGAGCGCTGGCAATTTTAAGGCCGTAAACGAAATAGAAGAAGATAAGTGGAAAGTCTGTCGGTGACGTAAGCGTTTGTACTAGAACCAGAAGAACAGTAACCAGGAAAACGGTCTCTAACCCAACCCTGCTGGAGGTATCCTCTGTGGTTCAAAGACTACTTTGAATAAAAATATATATAAAATCATATATAAAAAAGATCATATATACGGATTCAAATCAAAAAAGGTTTCTGTGGTTATGGTATGGCATCTTTAATCTTTAGCCTTGTCCTCTGACAAGTAATCTATGGTCATTGGCGTTATATGTTTATATGTGGTATTTGTGGCTTGGATTTGTGGATCGTGGAATGATCGTGGAATCCGTGAAAGTTTAGGATATTTTTAGTGTGTTCTGTGATTTAATTTACTGAATGTGTACGGGATGTTTATTATGTAAGCTGGAGCTAGAAGTTTTTGCAGTTTAGTTTGCTGTTGGTATTTTGGAGTTTGTCCTTCGCTTACATTTGGGCATATGTAGTAGAAAATCGTTACCAAATTACTACAAGCCATGGATTTTCAAAATAGACCTGGTGGAAAGACTGGCGGAGGAGGTGTCGCATCATGGTCGGAATCCAATCGAGACAGACGCGAAAGATTGAGGCAATTGGCTTTAGAAACAATAGATTTACAAAAAGATCCTTATTTTATGAAAAACCATTTAGGCTCTTATGAATGTAAACTATGTTTAACTTTACATAATAATGAAGGAAGTTATTTAGCCCACACTCAGGGTAAAAAGCATCAGGTAATCTAATTGTGCTATTAAATATAAATGTATAATCTTTGTTTAAATTATTAGGCCAATTTGGCAAGGAGGGCAGCGAAGGAAGCTAAGGATGCTCCCTCATTACTTCAGCCAGAGAAGCCTAGAGTAGAACCTAAGAAATTTGTAAAAATTGGTCGTCCAGGTTACAGGGTGACTAAACAAAGAGATCCAGAAACAGGACAACAAAGTTTACTATTTCAAATTGATTATCCAGGTTGGTTGTGTATGTAATAGAGAATATTTTTTTCTATTTTTAACTTTTTAGAGATTAGTGACCATGTTTTACCAAGGCATAGGTTTATGTCTGCGTACGAGCAGAAAATTGAACCACCAGATCGTAAATGGCAGTATCTGCTTTTTGCTGCAGAACCCTATGAAACTATTGCATTTAAGGTAATCTGTTAATATCTAATTTTAGCAGTAACATGACATGCTCTGTTTTACTAGGTGCCTAGCAGAGAAGTGGAGAAAACTGATAATAAATTCTGGACTCATTGGAACAGGGATACAAAACAGTTCTTTTTGCAGTTTGCTTTCAAAACTGAAAATAAGAAGCAGCCAACTATTATTAATAGACAAACAATGATCACTGGAGTACCACCGCCTCCAATGCTACCAGTACCACCACCACCAAGACCTCCTATGTTCAATCCCATGCCACCACCACCTCCTATGATGAGAGCAGTGATGCCTGTTCCTCCACCGCATTAAACTTTAAATAAACATTAACTGCACCATTCAATTAAAAATAACCAGTTGCTGTATTTTTATGGTTTTGATTACTGTAATCAATTTGTTTTATGTATGAAATAAAAATTAACTGATATTATGTTCTATTCCATTCTATATTCTTCTATACAATAAACTGATATTCAACTCAAACTGTTTTTTTTTAAATAAGGAATAAAATAGAATTGTACTATTTTGTGTATTATAGTCCTATGTCCCATAGATAGGTATACATAGATTATAAGCCGCTGAGGGTTCCATTGCGTTTTTTATAAAAGAAGAAATTTTATATCTTTATATTTAATGAAAATTAACAATCTAATAAAAATTAAAAATAAATTGCGAAAGTCTACGACAAGCAAATTTAAAAACATGAAAACATTATGTTTATCACATTCATCAATAGATGGTGCCAAAACCCACATCCTTGCTGTCAAAAACATATGTAAATTGTTATCAATTTTATAATATTTGACAATTAGGTCAATTAATTTAAAAGAAAAATATGCAATAATGGCTAGTAGCTTAGACGAAGACAATCATTGGTAACGTAACAAAATTTTATGTAATTATGTGCTAACGTTAGTAAGTACTAAATCATTTTAGGGTCACAGATTTGGAAAATGCTTTGTTGGAAGAGTGTTCAGCTACAGATATTTATTGCATTTGTAAAGGCAAACCTTTACCTGATCATTTAAGGGCAGAAGTTTGGCAGGTATGATATATAGAATAAATTAAGTAGCTAGTAAAATACTCCCCATTATATTTTTATTAATTAGATTATTACAATTATTACACCATCACAGAATTTGTCAAGGATTACTCACCATATTTATTACAGTTAATCAAGTGTAAACACAGTTAATTAATGTTATTTGTTTTAGATATGTTTAGATGTGCGAGATAAAGGTAATCAATTAGATCATTTCAATGAAGTTTTTGATTTGCCAAATCAAACAGCCTTAAGGGAGGATTGTACAAATTTCGTTTCCAAACTAGGAAATGAGGACGAAGATAAAATACAAGTTACTTCCGACCTCGAATCAATTATTACCTTTTACTGTAAAAGCAGAAATGTACCGTATTCAAAAAACAATGGATGGATAGAAATGCTGTTACCCATTTTAACATTAAAAGTACCAAAGTCTACAATTTACAACCTTTTTGAGGCCATACATGATACTTTTATTCCTCAAAGTAGCTCGAAGGATGGAAATGCATTTCACATTTTAAGGCTGTTGCTACTCTACCATGATCCAGAATTATGTTCATTTTTGGACACACGCAAAATAACACCCAGTTCTTATTGCTTAAAATGGTTTCATTCACTGTTTGCGTCCACTTGTACTTTAGAAGTTGTAATAAATATGTGGGATTATTATTTTCAACAGTCTGACCCATTTTTTATTTTCTTTTTATCTCTTATTATGATTATAAATGCTAGAGATCAGATAGTTTCTATGAAGAATGAAAATGTAGATAAAATAATAAACAGTCTTTCAAATATGCCGTTTGGACTAGAAGCTGATGATGTTTCTGACTTTTGTTCCTTGGCACAGTATTATGCCCTGAAGACACCCACATCTTTTAAGAATGAACTCATGCAGACAATTTACAATGGTCCGTATAAATATATTTGTTTTTAACTAATTCATTTATTTTTCTTATTTAGGTCGCAGTGAATCTTTAATTTCTGTATCTCAAGCTTTATGCTTGCCAGTCTCTGTTCACGAACTAGTTGAAAATATAGCAAGAGATTCTACTAATATTGATGCAGTAAGGTAATGCTCATTTTTATTATGAAAAACAGCACTTTTTTAATTCTTCTTTGTAGATTTTTTTTGGTGGATTGTCGCCCAGTAGACCATTACAATGCTGGACACTTACCCACGGCTTTTCACTTGGACTGCAACTTGATGTTGCAAGAACCCACTGCATTTGCTACAGCGGTTCAAGGATTACTCAGTGCCCAAAAACAAGCTCTAGCACATAATTCGAAAGCAGGTGATTATTGTTAGCTACTGGTATTTATTAATTCTCTTATTCTGAAATACTTTTAGGCGGAGAACATTTATGTTTTCTGGGATCTGGTCGCAATGAAGAAGACCAATACACTCACATGGTTGTGGCGTCTTTTTTACAAAAACACACGCAATACGTTTCATTGTTAACTGGAGGATATATTGCGTTGCATGATTATTTTTCAGATAATTTGAATTATTTCCAAGAACACAACCCAAAGAACTGCATTGTGTGCGCTCCAAATTATGAAAAAGGTCAAGATCAAACCAGCGCGAAGTCGGGACATTCTACTGATTTATTAGGTACCAAATAGAACAATTTGTTTTTCTTAAGCCTTATCTACACCTAACGTTTTACCTGTTCAGTTAAAATGGACTGTTTTACTTGAACTAAATTAAGATTGTCGAGAGAACTGATCGAATCATTCAAAAAATTGATGACCTATAATATTTATTATAATGCTGGTTCTTTTATGTATGCTTCTGTCTTAACTGATAGGTAAAACGTGAAACGTAGAGGGGGCGTTAAGGTAAGTAATTCACTAATTTGAATATTTTCAGGAAAAATATCGGCCGCCATGAAACTGAAATCGGCCGAAGTGACTGGCAAATTAATCGATTATATCGTCAATCCTAATAATAGTCCTGTGCAAGAAAGGCATGTTTCCAGCAGTGATAGATTAGGGAAGCGTTATAGAGATGTCGCCCCCGTTTTTAGCATAGATGACGATAACGAGAATATCGCAGCAATAAAGGTACTTATTTATCGTCAGTTATAAATCATTTAAATCTTTGTGCACGTTCATATTGGCACCTTTTGAGCGGCGAGCTTTACATGTCGAGTAGCGCATTCAAGCTGAGGGCGTACTGAATTGACTCTAGCCAGTTCACACAGTAAATAGCTAACGGCAGTTTTCACTTCACATAGAAAAATAAGTTTAATAGTTTTTTTTCAAACGTCACAAAAGTATTAATTTTTGCGACGTGACTGACAATCTAAAAAAGCAATTTTAACGCCTAGGTATAAAAGTAAAGCACTTTTACGCCTAAGTATTAAAGTACGAAAATATATTATGTATTATGAAAGTGACATAAAGAGTCAAATTCAACGAGCGCAACCATAGTTTCTCGATATATAATTACTTACAAGTTTACCGATTGAAAGAATTGGGAAGATACGCAACCTAATGGGCGAATTAGTGACAAAGTGACAAGGATTTAATTTCACCTACATCTCAAGTGCTGTACGGTGGAGACACCAATCGTTCTGCGCATAAAACACCTATTTTCTCTAATTCGGCCAGCGAAGGCATATCGAAGACGGTGTGGAACTGAAAGCGACAGTGTTGCCATATTAAAATGTGTAATATCTGTAATACGTTTGACGAACATATTTTTGGATGAAAAATCCGCGTTTATGTATGGAAAATGTATTCGTGTCAAACATAAAATAAACAACAACAATATTTTTTTTAGCTACTGAATATGTCGTATGATCGAAAAAAGTCGTTTAGTCGGCTTGGAAATGACGATTATTGACATTTACCATATAATTTTACATATTCTTTGTTTAATCATATTATATTAAATTAATGATAGATACATATGTCACTGTAAATGTCCGAAATGCGGTAAAACCTAGGTTTTACCTCATTTCGAGTTGGTTAGCGTGGTTATTTGGAGGGTGTTAATTCATTGGTAAATCCTAGGTTTAGCGCGCTTATCCTAGGTTTTACTGCATTTCGGACATTTACAGTAACACATACATAGTTTAATGATAGAAAATCCGTATTATTAACGTACTGTACCGAAAATCCGTAAATCCAACCAAACCAAACCAAAATCCGTAAATCTACGGATTAATCAGAAGTTCTAGCAACACTGTCTCTGGCAACCACTCACTCTGTCGATTGAAAGCTGAACTACGGTACAGTATTCTTTATCCGCTGCGCTGTAAACTTTGGCTGTAAAAAAGGCTTAAACGACTATCAGTGCGCAGCGGCGTAGAGCTAAACGAGATATTGTACAGGCTGACGGTAACGCCAGCTACATCTCGGACAGGTTTTGTGCTACGAAATCGCCCATAAGATTGCGCATCTTCTTATTTTTTCAGTCAACGATATTACTTTTAAATCTTTTTATATTATTTGTCACGTTTGAAAAAAAAACATGATCTGTTCAGAGTCAAACTTCCAAAAAAATCCTTTATGGGTATTTCGCCACTGCACTGCAAGAAAATCTACAAAATAAAAAAAAAACAAAAAAAAACAAACGTACAGCCTCGCCACAAAAAGTATAATTTTTACTTGTACTCCTATAAAATAATATACTATTTTCCTCTTGTAAAGGCAATCCGGGGACATACTGTATGTGTATTGTCGAGTGTATTTTGCAACTATGTATTGCTGTAGTCATTTCATAGGGGGGCTGAAGGTTGAATTTACTTCCATTTCTTTAACAGTTTACATATTTTTGCAGCAAATCGAAGACGAAGATCAGCACGAGGTTGTCCAATTAAACGCCTACTTGAACAGTCCCGAAGTAATCCAACACTTTGCCTGTCAAGAAGTGAATCTTAACGGATTTATGTACAAAAGTCATCTGTTAGTAACCGATTCGCAACTGATAGTGTTGCGAGAGATGTCAAATAAGAAAGGTTCAGCGGAATTGATAGTCAAACGTCCACTATCGGCCATCGTTAAGATTACGGCAAGGAAAAGGCATCCGGAACTGATTACGTTCAAATACGGACTTCTAGACGGGGAACATTTGAAAATTTCGGATATGGACAGATTCCTAATACCGAACGCGGAACTAGCAACCAAAGTTATATCGGATCAGATTTTAAAGCAGTTGAAACCTAGTGATGGTTAACTTTTATTCCTTAACCAGTCATTTCTGTAAACGACAGTACAATACCGTGTGTTTCATCGGCGACCTGAACATAGGAAATCCCATGTAAATTTTAAAAATGAATAAGTTTTCCCCAGTTTATTTTACAGAAAATGTATTTGAAACTTTTTAAAGAACTCCTTAAAATGAAGCAAATTCTATATGTTGCATAATTTATACGAATTTAAAGTTATGCGAGATACAAAAAAACTAAATTCGGGAAAAATTTAAAATAATCCAGTCCTGATCAAACAAACATGACAATTAAAAGTTATGTCACAATATGACAAATAATGGACAAATCTATTATTATTTTCTTCTACAAATCTGTCAAAAATATCCTTGTTTTCCATCTACACAATTTTCATTTATTACATACTACACACTTTCATTTATTATTTTTCGATGATCCTTATCAATATTATTCTTTTTTTTTACAGTCTTTAATAACTCTTCCTGTTAGAATTATTATAACATTTATAGTCTTGAATAACTGTTCTGGCCTATTGGGAAAATATACAGAAAATAAATTCTTTACAGCCTGGAATTAGTAAAAGCAATAGGTCTGTTCACTAAAAAAAAATTTGCACTAAAAGTGGTAAAAAATTAATGTTTTAGTATTATAATACCAATTAAATAACTTTTTTTTTCAAAAAAATAAATTCCTTTGACAAGAGAGGCATGCTGCTCCGCGTGCAACGGCAGGACCGTGATTCAGTTTGACTGTGACACTCCCTATACAAGGAAGTGAAGTATCGTCGACATTTTCAGCAGTTACATTATTATTTTTGTTGTTGAATACCGTAAAAGAAGTTGTTTTTGTTGCTAAATATGGAGGAGGGTTTCCAGAAAGGAGATTCACATAATTTACCGCAAGTAGATGTCAATATGGTATTCGACTTTCTCGCGATAAATTCTGATTGTAACCAAGTTGAATCCAGTGGTGTTAAAGCTAAAACTACAGCCTCACCGCAAAAAGTATCATTTTTACTCCTAGCAAAACAATATACTATTTTATGCCGCAACACAAGTCTACACAAACTTCAAACGTCTTTAATATCTCGTCCGACTGCCGCGCCGCGAACCATTTTTTTCTTTTTGTTATTTCCTTTGGAACGCTTACAAATACTTTAGTTGGAGTCTTAATCTTTGTGCTTACGCATCCAGGCAAAAAACACCATTTTCTAGCCACCATCTTAAGATTTACATTTTTAAGCCACCATCTTAAGATTTACAGTTTTAAACTTAAGTTTAAAACTCAGTACGCACTCACAACTGACCTAATAAAAATTGCTAAACACACTAAACAGATCAAATATTAACATATCAGGAAGTATCAGTATTACCGTCCGACAAGCTCTAGTAGACCTCTAATGTCAATGTTGAGGATCAAAATTGTCGCTTTGCTTATGTTGATTGTTTTTTCACACACTTTATTGTTCTTAATTAAATACTTTATTTAATATATAAGGAAAACTTAAACAATTAGTTTTAAAAGTAAAATTTGATATAAAAATTGCCGACTCTGAACTGTCTGGAACTTAGAGAGGTAAAAAGTAAGTGCGTGTTGAAAAGTAGAGTAAAAATCGACATCTTGGAACTGGATTGAATTAAAAAGTGTGATTAAGTGTTAAAACTGTACCTATGCTATAAACACTTTTCGGAATTTCTTTAATGAGAGCGGTTTAGATTTTGAAAGATTATTATGATTTTTGAAGATTCTGACTTTGACAAGAGAAAATTATTTCAGTTTTTGTTTGCTGTTGTTCTTAGCGACCGCTATAGCAGCGCCAGATCGCGTATAACGGTCGCGACCCAAAATAATTTCGCGACCTAAAATTTTTACGGGCTTTCCAATCTAAACTTGTTGCATTTATCTATGACTACATCTATGTAACTAATCTAATTAAATCTAGACAGGGATATACAAGAAAACGACGCAACGGATCCGTCTGTTATGTCTCTGGTAAAGCGCTACGCGCGATTAGCGAGCATGTGACGTCACACCCATGATAGCTCTCCTGGCAGCGTTTTCCCGCCTCGACGCAATGATCCAAATTGAATTACGAATAACTCGAAAAGTATATGAGTATTTGTTTTCAAACTTTGTACGGTCTTTCAATATGCACAAATTTATAATTTGCAGTAGAAAACTAAATTTTGTTGACCTACCTGTTCAATGTGAACAAAATGCTTCATTTTAAGGAGTTCTTTAAAAAGTTTCAAATACATTTTTTTATAAAATATAAAATGGGAAAAACTTTTACTCATCATTTTTAAAATTCACTATAAGATTTCCTATGTTCAGATCGGCGATGCAAGACTACTTAATCACGGTTTTATAACTAAATAAGGTTTGGATGAAATAAAATTAATATATTAAACCTTTTTAATTGCAAAGCATTGATTATATGGTTGATGTACTATACAAATTTAAGATTTTATTGCAATGAAGTTTAGAATAAGAGTGAATTAGTGTATGTAATATAAATAGAAACTTGATTATTTTTTGTTTATTTATTTATAATAAAATGTGTTAAAACTTAACCTTGGTTTTTTTAAACAAAAATCTCTTATTTTACTGATCCAGTGGTCTATAAATTTTGCCAGTTAAAATTAAGAGCACACGGGAAAAATGATGAAAGTCAATTTTTTGCTAATTTGATTTTAATGCATACTTTTCGTTTTGCAACAACTTTTGATACCTAAATAAAGGGGAATATCAATAACGGTCACATAAAAACAGGCATTTAAAAATAAGAAAAACAAAAGTTTGTGTAATTTGAATTAAGAAAGACTTATCTTCCGTGTGCTCTTCAATTGTAATGTAACTTCACATAAACAGAGCAGAATTGAATCATACTTATTATTAAAGGGATTTTTCTTCCAAAAAATACAGTATGATTGAGGAAAAAAAAAACCGCGTCATCAACAGCTATGAAATGAAGATTGTTATTTTAAATGTAAAATTACATGGGGAATGTCTGTCATCAATCATTTCCCAGCTAACTGGACACTGGTTTTTAGATCATACAGTATATGAACATGTAATAAAAATATTGTAATTACTTTAAAAAATTTATTTAAACCTATGCAGACAAAACACAAGCACCTCCTACAGCTTTAATTTTATCTTCTGCAGATTTGGAGAAGAATTTAGCTTTAACAATAACTGGTTGTTGAGGAAGTCGCCCTTTGCCCAAAAGTTTATAATATCCCTAAAAATATTATATAAATTTACATTTGTCAATAAATTTTACAGCTAAAGACACTTACAGCTTTGACAATGTCTATTACTGGAGCTTTTCCGTCAGGGTGGTTCTTATACCTCTCTCTTGTCTGTTCACTGACAAGTGTCCATAGTTTATCTAGATTTATAGCTGGTGACCATTTGCTATTTCTTCGGACATGATAATTTCTCATACCCAACTAAAATGGAAAAATATTTGTAAATGCTATATTTTCCGAGAACAACAGATTGTCGTAATTACCTTACCAAAATAACCTGGATGGTATTTGTCAAAGTTTATTCGGTGATGGTGCATGCCACCAGCATTTCCTCTACCACCAGGATGCTTGCGATGTTTTCCTAAAATATACATCACCGTGTTAATTCTCGTTGGTATAACTGGGCATGATAAGTAAATGTGAACTTGAAGATAATCAGTGTAAGAACATTAATCAGTTTAATCATACCGCCCGTTCTAATAATCATCATTTAAAAACTTTCTAACTTTTAACATAATATTAACTAATAAATATACTTACCAATACGACCATGTCCGTGGGATACGTGCCCTCTCAGCTTCCTAGTCTTCTTCCTGTGAGTGGACTAAATGACAACAAAACATCGTTATTAAATTTGCGGAAATACTTAATTATCTGAGAAAAATTAATATTTGAGGCTTTAAAGGTGAGTTAAGATTATATAAAACAAATTTCTAAAAGTGACTACACTTAAAGATGTTCTAGATATTTTAAAAAATGTTTGAGAGACGTCGAAAACCAACCTACCATCTTTGCAAATTGACGTGAAGAGAAATGTCACTGGTCACTGTTGACTGTTAATGTCAAATGTCAACTGAATAATACGCAGGGTTGTTCCTTGAAAATTTTTCATTGTGCATTTGGCAACCACAAAATTGTGCATATTCTGTTAAAAATATGCATCTGTGGTAATTTCACTTGTCGTATACGAACAAAACCCCATGGCTTAATGATTATATATGGAAAGCTATATGATTATGATACCACCCGAAGCCAGGTTGAGAAAGCCAAACAAATAGAAATATTTTATAATTTTAAAAAAATATTTAAATTGTGCATATATTGGTAAAGGTGTGGATCCGGTGGCTGACCTTGAAGCCCATATTTGCTGCTTTTGATCATCGATACTACGCAAGCGCACATCGTCGATGTTGCTAAATTGCAGTTTATTTTCGAATTATTTCCAGTTGAAATTTTTTTTTGCGTGTTAATCAATAATAATACAAATTCTATAATTTCAGATTTATCTTGATATCCAAAATTAAGGTAAGAAGGATAATGAAGATTGTGAAATGAAAGTATTATAATATATAAAATTGTAATAATAATAACATTTATTTATATGTTTACATTAGAATAAAATTTATCATTTACGGATTTTTCTTAATGGTTTTAAACTTATTAGAATTATTTTATTTCTTTCAAGTTATTTAATTTCTAGTTATTTACAGGCAACAATATTTTTGATTATATGCATGTATTGATGTTTTGAAGTACTACCATGACGGGTCTTATTATAGAACAATAAACGTCAATCGGAGATAGAGGTAACATTTTACCTATTATATAATGTTACTAATATAATATACCGTATGATCGAAAAAAAACGGCGTCCAGTTGACTGGGAAATGACGATCGCTGACATTTCCCATATAATTTTACATATAAAATGACAGCGATCTTCATTTCATAGCCATCGCTGACGCCGTTTTTATTCGATCATACGGTACATTGATTATAATTAATGTTTGTATCATGTTTGTATCATAATTTCTTAAAAATATCAAGCATAGATATCAAGTTAGTGGATTTTATCGAAGAGTGTGTTGATAAGACTAAAATAAGCTTTATGTTTTATCTTTTTCTCTTTAGAAGGGAGATGGTTTGTATCGTAAAATACATTACAGTATTTAATATCGTGTACTTTGTTATTCTTTTCTTAATTTACTGTAATTTCTTGTTTCCTATAATGCCAAATCTTGACAATATGGTGAAGGTTGAGTTTTGATCTTATTAGTTTTTTAAGAATAATAATAATAATAGAAATACAAGACTAAATTAAGACTTAGTTTGTGATTTATATTAAGATCTTTCTTATAATATTTGTTATGTCTTCATCTTAATACTATATTATGCTTGGTCTGGAAAATAAATGTTAAAATATCTTAATTTTGCATATCCTATTCATCCTTCCATTAGGAAAAATATGGTTTATAAATCATATATGCTAAGAAAATCACATAAATTAGGTGTAAGAATAGAGAAATCTTAATGTAGCAGAAAAATTAATGCAATATATGTATAGACAGAATTAAACAAGGTAACTGTTAATGTTGCTGAAGCTGATTCTACAATTTTAATTACGGAGGCTAAAAGGCCTTTTAAGGCCTCCGTAGTTTTGATGGAATGTTAAAAAAAATCTATTATGAACATAACATGGAGCTACAGCATTTAAAAATTAAAAAAAAAAAAAATTTGGACACATCCCTTTTAATTTCCCGAATTTTTAATAAAGCACTTTTTAAACGTAGCATAATAATCTAGATAGGAATCTAGAGTTTTATTTCTATATAATTTTATTGACTGAAAATACATAATAAGCGTTCACGTGTTGTGCGAAATATTAAAATAATATACCGCGTACTATGATTGAAAAAAAAATAGCGTCAGCAATGACTATGAAATGAAGATCGCTGTCATTTTATGGAAATGTCCTCAATCGTCATTTCCCAGACAACTGGACGCCGTTTTTTCGACCATACGGTATATATTGACAAAAAAACACTGAAAAGCACATATTTGTTTTCTACTGAAAATAATTCCAAAATAATTCACAATCTGGCAACATCGAAGATGTGCGCATGCGTAGTGTCTGTGACTATATGCAGCAAAAACTCGTTTCAAGGTCAGCCACCGGATCCACACCATTACCCATATATTTCCTATGTGTATGATATTTCGTGGATATTTCTAATGTAGAGGCCATAGTCTATAGTAGAGGCACGGTACAACCCTGAATATATGTCATTTGAAAAAAGTGATTGCCAATGCTACCAACAGCAAGAATGCAAGAATTTAAAATTGAAAATACTAAATACTAAATACTAGATACTAAATACTAAAAATACTAAATACCCTACATTGTTTATTGATGGTTTATTGGTGGCAATATTGGTGGTGTTAAAAAATAAAGTTTTATCAATAATAAATGAACAGTGGGGCTGCTTTCTACATTTTGTTACGTATTTTTCAAAATATTTTTATGTAAAATTTGATATCCAAACAAACTGTTACTGTTTATTCTCTAAAAAAAGGTTTTATTAGTCAGCTGTTCAAACGTCATTTCCCGAGATTTTGGGGCGGTCGCAGTTTTGAAGTTTGCTAAATTTTGAGAAAAGTTCATCCACGTTCATCTGAAATATTCCGCAAAGATTTTTAAAATAAACCACAAAAACTCCACCATGACAGCCCCCAAGGCGTCAGGAGATGCAAATCGTAATAATAGAAATGCCGCATACAAGGATAAAAGCAAACCTACCGATGTAAGAACTAGCAATATAAATGCTGCAAAAGGTAATAAATATTCATAACACTTATAACAGAGAACTTAAAACCTAAAATTTCAATATTTATAGCCGTTTGTGATGCGATTCGAACAAGTTTGGGACCCAGGGGAATGGATAAAATGGTATAATATGCAGATTAGATACTGATTTTTTGAATTATATTTTACCAAAGTATTTTTACAGATCCAAGCCAGTAATGGGGAAGTAACAATTACAAATGATGGAGCTACCATTTTAAAGCAAATGAATGTAATTCATCCGGCTGCAAAAATGGTAAGATTTAAGAATGCTTTGGCCATATCTATAAGAGATAATATTCTAGCTGGTAGAATTGTCAAGGGCTCAAGATGTTGAAGCCGGCGATGGTACTACTTCAGTTGTTGTTATTGCTGGAGCATTATTAGATACTGCTGAAAAACTATTGAACAGAGGCATTCATCCAACGGCAATATCAGAGTCTTTTCAAAAGGCTGCTTCTCATGCTGTAGAGGTTAGTTTCTTTTGTATTAAAATTAGCTGGTATCATTGTTTATATACTGATATTTTTAGATCTTAAACAACATTGCTACTCCAGTTGAATTAAATAATAGAGAACAGTTAATTAAGAGTGCATCTACTTCGCTTAATTCAAAAGTTGTCTCACAGCAATCAACTCAGTTGGCACCTTTAGCTGTTGATGCAGTATTAAAAGTACTTGAACCAGGTTAAAAAACAGGACACATTGTTAAACTTTTATATTAATATATTTTTTTAAATTTCAGGTCGAGAAAGCGCATGTAATTTGACAGATATTAAAGTTTTAAAGCAATTAGGCGGTACAGTGGAGGACACTGAACTAATTAATGGTCTTGTGTTTCCAAGAACTCTGGCAAATGTTGTTGGCCCTAAACGATTAGAAAAAGTGAAAATTGGTCTTATCCAGTTCTGCATTTCTCCACCAAAAACTGACATGGATCATAATGTTATCGTTTCTGACTATGCCGCTATGGATAGAGTTTTGAAAGAAGAACGAGCATATATTTTAAACATTGTTAAGCAAGTGAAGAAAGCTGGCTGTAATGTGTTACTTGTAAGTACAGATTTTGTTGTGTTAATTTCATAAACATTTATCAATGTTTATAGGTACAAAAATCTATCTTAAGAGATGCCATCTCTGACTTGGCTTTACACTTTTTGGATAAAATTAAATGTATGGTGGTTAAGGATATTGAGAGGGAAGATATAGAGTTTGTTTGCAAAACTTTAGGCTGCAGGCCTATTGCATCTTTGGATCATTTTGTAGCTGAGAATTTAGTGTCGGCAGATTTAGCCGAAGAAGTTGGATTTGGAGCAAACAGAATGGTCAAAATATCAGGTAAGTTTTTTTTATTGAAATGAAACTTATTCACGCGCGATGCGAGTCAAAATTCATTCTTGACACATGAGGTAGCTAGAAAAAGAGTGGTAATGATCGCGCAATCACCAAAAAACATTTGATTTAAAGCTCAGAAAATCACAATAAACTTGATACTGTATGTGTATCAATATCCTCTGGTTGTGTGTTAGGAAGTAAATTTTACAGTTGAGGGTTGGAACCTTTGGTGTTACACAGCAAAATAAAAACACTAAATCACCACAATACACCAAAACACTTTTACTTTTACACTGGACGCGCGTTTCGCTAACCATGTTAGCATCATCAGCAGATGATTATAAACTGAAAAACTGAGTAAATTTTCACACGTATTTTCATTGATAAGTTTGTAGCTTCTGTATAACGGTCTAGGTACAGCATCTAGCTCATTTGCTAGGTCAGAATTAGAATTATTTGAGTAAAGCAACTCGCATTTTCATTGGAGCACATTGTCATATTTATTTCAAACCAATAATCAAAGAGAATATTCGTATAATTTAATAAAATTACTGTAAACCCCTATAAATTATAACGATGTACTTAAACAGCCGTTAAACGGTAGCCTACTAAAATGCCGTTAATAGATATTGTGACGTCGTTCATGTCGGCGGAAAGTAATGCCTAGCTATAAGCATTTTGCACGAGCATCTGTGGCTCCGTGGCTGAGGCTGTCGCTTCGTGAGCGAATGGTCTGTGGTTCAAATCTCACGCCGACCAAGACTTTTTTATATATTTTTTGCTTATAGCGTGATCTTATTACATTGGTTTCACTCTTTTTGGTTGAATTGGTTTAGTTATTTGGCGGGTTGGTTAGCGTGGTTATTTGGAGGGTGTTAATTCATTGGTTAGTTGGTTATTTGGTGGGGTTGGTTGGTTTTTACTAATTTATATTTGTTTTTTATATTTTTTTATCAGTGTCGAGGTTAGTTGCGTTGGTTCAGTTGGTTATTTGGTGGGGTGGATAGCGTTGGTTAGTCCTTATAAAATTCCTATTCATAAAGCCGTCAAGTGCGTCACATCAACGACGTCCAACGACGTCAGATCTATTAACGGCATTTTAGTAAGCTACCGTTTAACGGCAGTTTAAGTAGGTTCAAAATTTTTTCTCTTAAATAAATTTAAGCGTTAACATTACAAGGCATCTGCATAAAAGTTTGTATTTTGGGTGGTATTCCACAAAATTTGAAGACTATTGAGGAAACAGAAAATGTACAGATTGCAGAAATAATATTTATATTAAAATAGCATTATATGTCACTTTTTCAAACACGTCCTTCAAATCCTTCAATTTAATAGCTGTTTAGTAAGAAGTATCACTTATGGAATTACTTGAAATATGCTTCACAAGTGTACACACTGTTTTTTATTAGTGGTAATTTTTAAAAATGCTGTTTTTTAGGGATTCAGAATCCTGGACGTACCATCACCCTCTTGGTGCGGGGTTCAAACAAGCTGGTCCTTGAAGAAGCAGAGCGATCTTTGCATGACGCCTTATGTGTAGTTAGATGTCTTGTTCGTAAAAGAGCGGTAATAGCAGGGGGCGGGGCCCCCGAAACTGAACTGGCTCTGCGATTGGCTGCTCTTGCAGATAAAATGGAAGGAGTCGACGCTATCTGCCTTAGGGCATATGCTGGAGCCCTGGAGATTATTCCATTTACTTTGGCAGAAAATGCTGGTTTGAACCCAATTCAGGTTAGCGATAGTGTATGGAATGTTTTTAAATTGAAGTTTATTTTTCGTTATATTTTAGACTGTAACTGAATTAAGAAATAGGCACGCAAAGGGAGAGATTTCTGCAGGAATCAACGTACGCAAAGGTTGTATTTCTGATATATTAGAAGAGAATGTAATTCAACCATTGCTGGTGACCACATCTGCTTTGTCTTTTGCTACAGAAACAGTGAGATCAATCTTAAAAATTGATGATATTGTATGTTATCCATTTTTTCTTCTAAACAAATTTTATAGATTTGTTATTTTGCAGGTGAACACAATGACATGATTTGGTGAATTATTCTGCGCCAAGTTTTCAACTGTTGTTTTAATGGCTATTAACAAGAGAATTTGTAAACCAGCTTATAAATCTCCCTTAATTAGTATTAAAAAGGTGTTTAATCCTTTACTGAACTTAAAATCATTAATATTTATACATTTGTAACAGAAAATTAGTAATACAAACTTTTAACAAACACATTAGTTTTTTATTACGCCTTTTAAAATTTACAGCAATTTATATAAACAATTACAATAAGCCAAAACAAAAAAAAATATTCCTTAAATGGAATGTATACATATATTTTTAATATAATAATAATAGTATTTACACTGCCACAGGTTTTCTAAAATGTTCTAAAGTTACATCTTAAAATTACAATATTAAAAACAAGTGTTTTTGAGAAAAATAAAATACTCAATTGAATTTAAAATTAAATATTTCCATAAAATACTGTATTTTTATTGAAAAAAAACGTTTTAGTTAATTTACATATAGGCTGCAAAAAGAGCAGATTTAAATACATTTTTTTTAGAACAGGAGAAACTAAAACAGAATATCTTCATCTCCCTCATCTAGAATGTTTGCCGGCTGATTTGATTCCTTCAATAAACCAGCAGCTTTAAGTTCAGCTTTGGCCTTTTCCACCTTAGCCTTGTTAATCTTCTTTTTATCTTGAATTTTCTTTAAGCGGTAAAATTCTTCTCTTTCTATTTCATCCAGTTCAGAAATAATATAGGCCAAAGTATTCTCAATTTTTGGAATAATGACTGAAATAAAATCAAATTAACAATTTAAAATGTGTAAATGCACATATAATTACCGTGCTCAATAGCATTTACTCTCCTGTTTGTAATTTTGATTACTTCATCGAGAGTTACAAAAGATGTCTGTAGTGAGGCCAACTCTACCAATAGTTTTATAGCACTCTGATAATTTTTCTTCAACTTGGCCAATTGTTGACCACCTCGAGCTAAACCGGCTAATTCATAATTGTCTGTCCCATCTTGATACCATTCAAACACTGGCAATGTAACACCTACCAGAAAAACACAGTTTTATAGTCAAATCTATATTATTTTCCAATTATTTTCACTTACCTGCTACATTATCTTTCTTGGTTCGTATTTTCAACTGAGCCTTAGTAACATTTTGTAAAACGACCTGGTTGAAATCTCCAGTAGTAAACTTAGCTTCGGCCAACGAAAAAGCTGCTTCCTTCATTACATCCCCCATTAAAGTTTTGGTCTACAATATAAGAATTAATTGATGTTAAACTAGTTATCATTCGGTCATTTACGAACCTCAATAATTTTGCTCAAAATCATACGGAATCGCATTTGTAAAGCATCTGCCTTCTTTTTCAATAAACTGTGTCCCTTCTGAGCACCCTTTAGACGAGCCTTCATTAACATTTGAGCCCTACAATTCAATAAGAAAATTTAATTGGTCACTCCCTTTTTATGTTATGGTTTTAACTATATTTTAATAGAAATTAATAAAACAAACATTGTCATTGAAAGACAATTGAAAATTACTCACCCTCTGGAAGGGAAAATTGGAAGCCTATCTTTTGAAGACATTTTTCGCACTTGTAAAAATTAGGGAAAAATATTCTCAAATAAATTTTCACGGGACAAGTCAGCTGACCCGTGTGGATAAACGTCAATACGTCATAATACGTTCTTAGGAATGAAATGACAGATCGATAATTTATATCGATATAATTTTTTAAAAATATGGATAAATGATAAGCTTTCAGATTGATCTTACCCTTTTTACCCTTGATTTTACTGTTTTTTTAAACATCATATTGTTACGGATTCCGTGGGTCCACTAATTTAAACTCACGATAAAATACTTAACGAATTTATTTTCTCACTTTATACACAATTACTAACTTATAACACACAACAAACTAACTATTCCTTCACCAAATTGTCCGATTTTCAATTTTCACGCAGTATATTCAAATTTCAAAAACTGTCTCAGTTGTCGATGGCTCCGGCTTATATACTCTATTGACTGCTTCTCGAAACTTCTCCAATTCTCGGAAAGCGTACTTCTTCATACCAGACAATTCTATTGTCTGATTCCCTTACTTCTCGACTTGACTAAAAGATGGCGCCTGAAAAAGTCTTTTAATTTCTGGCGGATACGTTGCGGTTGTGCAGGCAACCAGTAATACATTTTTATTTCTGGCGGATGCGCCATTTTTCTTGACATTGCCCCTTTCTCAAATTTGATCGTCCCGATCAAGGTTTCCTGTCTGGTATCTCTCAATCGATCCAGATGAACTACTTTCATCTTACTTCTAGGGCTGCGTTGAATCCGGTACACAACATCATTTATCCTCTTGATGACTGTATAAGGACCTTCCCATGCTGGAGTTAACTTTGGGGACCTCCCTTTCTTGCGCTGTGGGTTATATAACCATACCATATCGTCCTGTTGAAATCCCGTAGAATTAGCTCTGAGGTCGTAACGAGCTTTCATCCGGTCACTGGCTAGCGTAATCTTACTTCTCACGGCCTTATGAATTCCCAATAACCTTTCCTTCAGTTCATCCGCGTAGTCCTCTACGTTCGTGGTGCTGTCGTCTGGTGATCCGAACACCAAGTCACAAGGCAACCGTAATTCTCGACCAAATAAAATCTTCGATGGTGAAAGTCCGGTGGTGTTGTGAACTGCACTTCTATATGCCATTAGGAATAGTGGTATATGCTGATCCCAATCTCTTTGATGTTCATCCACCATTTTCGAGAGATGTTCTTCAATGGTCTTATTGAATCTCTCGACCATCCCATCAGACTGCGGATGTAAAGCTGTTGTCCTAGTCTTGTGAATACCAAGCAGATCACACATCTTCTGGAACAGTCTTGACTCGAAGTTCCTTCCTTGGTCAGTGTGAAGCTCTAAAGGAATTCCAAATCTACTGAAGACATTATTGACTAATACTTCAGCTACAGTCGATGCTTCTTGGTTTGGAATGGCAAAAACTTCTGGCCATTTACTGAAATAATCCATCGCCACTAAAACGTACTTGTTGCCCTTGTGCGTTTCAGGGAATGGGCCTGCAATGTCAACAGCGATTCTTTCGAATGGCAGTCCAACGTTATATTGTTTCATTTTTCCCCTAGATCGAGTGCTTGGTCCTTGGCTGGCTGCACAAATTTACATTGTCGACACCATTTCTTGACATCTTCGCAATAATCCACCCAGTAAAAACGATCTCTCAGCTTGCTCAAGGTCTTGTTTACCCCAAGATGGGCTCCAGTTTTACCACCGTGAATTTCTTCCAATACCTGGGTAACTTTCTTCCTTGGTACCAGTAACTGAGTTGTTACTGTCCTGCCATCCGCACTTTCCCACATGCGCTTTAACAATCCATTCTCAATAACCAGTGAATTCCACTGAGCCCAGAGAGCTTTGAAAACTAGCCCTCTGTCCGAATATCCTGCCACGGTGGTCTCTCGCCGTTACCTTCCTTGAGCCGTAGTATTGCTCCGATGTCTGGATCTTCCATTTGATCTTTCCTCAATTGTGTCGTCGTCCACTGTTCATCGGTTCCAAGTTTAAAACTCCTTATCATGACAGTGCCTTCACGTTGTTCCGTTTTACAGCAGTGCTTACAATCGGTTTGACAGGGTCTTCTGGATAAACCGTCTGCGTTACCATGCATTTTTCCAGCACGATGTTGGATGGTAAAGTGATACTGTTGGAGCTTCTCGAGCCATCGTGCTATTTGACCTTCAGGTTGTTTCATCTCCATAAGCCACTTGAGAGCCGCATGATCTGTCCTAATTAAAAATTCTTGGCCGTACAGATATTTATGAAAATGATCAACTGCCTTCACAATTGCTAGCAGCTCCTTCCGGGTAACGCAGTAATTCCTTTCTGGTTTGGATAGAACTCGACTGTAATATTCTATCACTCGTTCTTCGCCATCTTGCACTTGTGATAGCACTGCACCTATGCCGATATTGCTGGCGTCGGTATCCAGGATATACCTCCCTTGTTGTTGCGGGTAGGCTAGAATAGGACTTGAACATAAAGCCGCCTTAAGTCTTCCAAAGGCTACATCACAATCGGTGTTCCATTCGTAGCCGACTTCATCACCTGTAAGTCTATGTAAGGGTGCAGCTATATTGGCAAATCCCTTGACAAATCTTCTGTAATAGGTGCATAAACCCAGAAAACTTCTAAGTTCATGTTTGTCGCGAGGTTTAGGCCAATCCTTGATTGCAGCGATTTTCTTCTGGTCGGTGTAAATTCCGTCTGCTGAGACTACATGGCCCAAAAATTCCACTTGTCGCTGGAATAAGCTACACTTCTTCGGGTTCAAGTACAGGTGAGCATTCCGTATGCGGCCGAAGACTTCTTCTAAATTTCGCAAATGCTCCTCAAAAGTTCTTCCCATAACCAATACATCGTCGAGGTAAACCAAGCACGTTTTCCAAGTTAATCCTCTTAACACCACCTCCATGAGACGTTCGAAAGTGGCTGGAGCATTGCATAATCCAAACGGCATGACCTTGAATTGGTATAGTCCGTTTCCTGTAGAAAAAGCCGTCTTTTCTTTATCGTCCTCGTCCAGACCAACTTGCCAGTATCCACTCTTTAAGTCGAGAGTGGAGAACCAGCACGAACCTGCCAGAGTTGTTAATGTATCATCTATACGTGGCAGTGGGTAGCTATCTTTCTTAGTGACGTCATTGAGCTTCCTATAGTCCACGCAGAATCGTGTACTACCATCTTTCTTCGTCACCAAAACAACGGGAGATGACCATGGACTTGATGATTCTTCGATTACTCCATCTTCTAACATCTTATCTACCATTGTCTCCATTTCTTGTTGTTTGGAAAGGAGCACCCTTCTAGGACGTTGTCGAATCGGCTGAGCATGACCAGTATTAATCCGGTGCTTCACAAAATCCGTTCTTCCACTGTTGTTCTTCTCAAAAATACTGCCATGCTTTAGCAGGAACTGCTTGGCCTTCTGTTTCTCCTCAGGTGTTAGGTGATCCCATGGCTGTTCTAGATGTTTTAGTGTTTCTTGGGATGCCTTTTGTGTAACAGCTGACGACACTTCATCACATCGGGTGACACTTCTTACAGGTTCGCAGATGGCTATCTTGTCACCTTTTTCGATCTTGACACAATTCGGGAAAACATTCGCAATTCTGATCGGTATATTCTTGTCGGTGTTCACCAATGATTTTCCTACTAAGTACCTATCTTCTTTGTTGTCGTTACTTTGTACCAGTCCAACACAGCACCCAGCGATTTTCTCCACTTTACCGAATACGATCTTCTCGGTATTACCAGGTATCACCACAGTTTCCGCTGATCTTACATCCATTCTTCCTGGTCCCTCGTCTGGAGATAACATAAACTCTTCATTTCCGATATTCAGGATATTTCTCTGGTGATCGAACGAAAATCCATGTTGACGAATCACATCCATGCCCAAGATGAAGTCATCTTCAATATCTGCCACTAAGACGCTATGCTGAAACTTCAAATTTCCTAACTTCAGTTCGACGATAGCCTCTCCCCGTACAACGGCCATTTCCCCCGTAACTGTACGTAAACACACTCTTCTTCCCAGAGGCATCAGCTTCAATCCTTGCACTGAGTTAGCCCGCACCAACGATACCATAGCGCCAGTGTCCACTGTCATTCGGATTCTCCTACCATTGACCTTCCCGTCGATCACTAAACTGTCAGCGGTTCTTCCTAGACTTCTAATGGAAAAAATCCTGGGGGCTCTGTTCTCCCCAGTCAATACTCGCCCCTTAGTATTGACTGATTTTAGTTTTCCTGGTGCCTACGTTCTCTGGATGGTGAACGGATCGCATTTGAACGCGGCAATCCCGTTTAATGTGGCCATTCCTGCCACATCTAAAGCACCTTATGTCCTGGGATCTTCTATGGTTCTCTGTCTGGGTGTTGTTGCTACTCTTGTTCACTAGTAACTCACATAGTTTACTAAACATCTCCTCCAAACGTATGTGAGAACTTCCGGGCTGTTCCTCGACCGTTACCGATCTTATCTTTGGTCTAGGGATGGCGCTAAAGGCAGCTTCAATTTCCAGCGCCCTGACCAGTGCTTCGCTGCTGGTAGAAAATCGGGATATTTGCAGCGCCCTCTGCAATTCGTTGTCCTTCAGTCCGCTGATAAAGCACTGAGCAGCGAGTTCCTCCCTAAATCCTTCCGGTGCTTCTGGATATGCCAGGTGTACCAGCCGACGTAAGTCTGCTTCAAATTCCTGCAGACTCTCTCCGGACCTCTGCAGGCGTGTCTTGATCTGGGCCTGGTAAAGTTGGCGTCGATGTTGGTCGCCATATCTTCTGTCCAGTGCAGCGACCAAAGTTTGGTATTCCTGCTGTTGGGCTGCAGGAATAGTTTGCAACAGTTCCAGGGCAGGGCCACGCAGCGCGATGACAAGTGCCGCTGCTTTCTCCTGGTCGGTCCATCCGTTGGCAGCGGCGGCTGCTTCAAACTGGCGGTGGTACATAGTCCAGGTGGTTTGTCCATCGTAGGTTGGGGCCTTGAGGTTCGCAGTTCCATGAACGCCAGGTGTCCTTACTTGTACCTTGGTCTTCTGTAGGTCCATCTCCAATTTTTCCATTTTCTGCTGAAGGCGTTCCTCCAGATCTTCTACAACTTCTTGGAAATGGTTCTCCTGTCGTTTTTCCAGGTCTTCAAAATTCTTCTGTAGTCGAAATTCCTGATTTTCCAAAGTTTTCTTAAGACGGTCCTGATCTTCAAATTTTTCTTTCTGGCGACGCACTTCTAAATCTTCAACAATTTTCTCCAACCGTTCTTGTCTAATTCCTTGATTTTCTAAAATTTTCTGAATACGGTCCTGTTCTTCTTGTCTTTCTTTTTGACGTCGCTCCTCCAAACGAATTTCCAAATTACCCAGTATTTTCTCAAGCCGGTCCTGTTCTTCTTGTTTCTCTTGTTGTCGTTGAACTTTCAAATCTTCGAAAATTTTCTCAAGCCGGTCCTGTTCTTGTTGACGTCGTAGTTTTTCCTCTTCCTTTTCTCTTTCTAATCGGGCTCGCTCTTCTTCTCGTTCTTTACGGAGTCTTTCTTGTTCTTCTGCTTTCTCTTTTTAGTCGGGCTCGCTCTTCTTCTCGTTCTTTACGGAGTCTTTCTTGATCTTCTGCTTTTTTCTTTTCGCAGCCTCTCTTGTTCTTCTGCCTTTTCTCTTCTCATATTCTCCATAAAATCGCCTAATAGTTTGCTTACTTCCTCCATTTTCTTCGCTTGTTCCCTTGTAGCAACCATAAAAATACTCTAATCCGGTCTAAAAAATCCTCCAATCCACTTAATTTCTTCTTAAAATCCTCTTGAATCGCACTTCCGACACCAATTGTTACGGATTCCGTGGGTCCACTAATTTAAACTCACGATAAAATACTTAACGAATTTATTTTCTCACTTTATACACAATTACTAACTTATAACACACAACAAACTAACTATTCCTTCACCAAATTGTCCGATTTTCAATTTTCACGCAGTATATTCAAATTTCAAAAACTGTCTCAGTTGTCGATGGCTCCGGCTTATATACTCTATTGACTGCTTCTCGAAACTTCTCCAATTCTCGGAAAGCGTACTTCTTCATACCAGACAATTCTATTGTCTGATTCCCTTACTTCTCGACTTGACTAAAAGATGGCGCCTGAAAAAGTCTTTTAATTTCTGGCGGATACGTTGCGGTTGTGCAGGCAACCAGTAATACATTTTTAATTTCTGGCGGATGCGCCATTTTTCTTGACAATATTGTTATATTAAAACAAATAAAACAAAATTGTCTGTTAAATATATATATTTTATTAATTAAATATTATTTATTGGCCAGATTTTATTTTTTTCTTATATGTAAATGCTTCATATTTTCAACAAAATTCTGATTTTCTTGTAGAACCTTCTTTTGAGGATTCTCCTTTGTCTTAACTTCCGATACTTTTGCTTCATCTGCTAGCCGCGACTGCATAATAACTACTTGCGGATTCATCATTTCAGTATGTTCTTGAATACAACTTTGTAACATGTGGAGGAAGAAAAGAAATGACAGCAGTGTTAAAGCCGTTAAGGCCATATTTTTCTTTCCGCTACCTTTACGATGAGTAGAGCTGCTAAAAAAAATCCAGTCAGAAAAGTAAAGGCGGAGATTTAGACGGAGAGCTGGCTACATAAAAAACCTTATCATCGTTACATGGCCAATTTTTCTTGTGAAATATCTTTTTGTGTAGCCGTAGTGGCCGTAGCCATTATGAAATAGTCATGTTTGCCAGCGCGATCCCGGGGCTTAAGCAGGCTTAAGGCGGGGGCGGCCAATATGCGGCCAATCGAAAGGGTGAAATTTTGACATTAAAAATATTATAAAGTACACGAGTTATAATATGGTTATAATTGCCAAATAGCTTTTATTTATTATCCTTGTATTATTAAGAAACGTGTATGCCGGCACACAACGCGAAAGCTGTGGCGAAAGAGGCATGGAATTTTGACAAAAAAAATCATCGCATACATGCATGTCGATTGGTGGAATTTGGGTGGAATGTCATGTCTCTGGTCATGTTTATTGTTTATTTATTTAAAAAGCCGTATGCAAAAGGACAGACAAAAAAATCGTGGCTCAATCAGCGGTAGACAGTTATCAAAAGCGCGATATTATTCTACAGGGTGAATCTCGAATAAGAGCAAATATTTTCAGAGCTAGTAGTAGATCTCAATAAAAGAAACATATTTTCTTTTTACCGTTTTTAAAAAGAAATTGATTTATTTTTAGCCACCTATTTTTTTCTGTATTTGTATCAATTCTTTTAGTGTGTAGCCATAGACTAAAGCCGTGCATGGTAGCTTAAGAAATAATAATTATACCTTCGGTAAATTTGAGGTAAATAAACATTTCTAAAAAGTTTTATAAATTATGGAAGAAAATTTAAACAAAAATGCACGATTTTTTACATCTTTTTTTGCGAAAAAAAATCATAGACGTATTCCTGGGGTCGAAACATATCACCCTTAAAAGTATTTGCACCTATTTAAGACTTACACTGTATAAGCGTTTTTGGAAACGCTCGCCGCGTTATTAATTGAAACATAATACATGTAAGTCTACAAAAATTTTACGGTGCAGATATCGACTAAGAGGAAGACTCGTTTACGAGAGCGAGGATCTGCAGTACGATGAGTCAGATACAAATAGTGAGACAGAATAGTAAATATATGATATCTGTTATTGAAATAATAAAAAAATATATTTATAATATAATCGTATACATGATTTACCTTTTTATCTATACTTAAACGGATGAGGCGGCGAGCGTTCCCTGAAAGCGCTAGAGTAATATCGCGCTGTTGATAACTGTCTGCAGGTGATAGGTATAACCACGATCTTTTTGTCTGCCCTTTTGCATACGGCTTTTACAATAAATAAATATGACATTCCACCAATCGGCATGCATGTATGTCAGTTTTTTTTTCATTCTTCAAATTTCATTTTTTAATAATTTTTAAAATTTCATGCTTCTTTCGCGTTGTCTGTCGGCATTTTAGCGACTAGAAAAATGTCTGCCAATAATTTTCCATGTTTCTTAATAATAAATAAAAGCTATTTTCCCAATTATAACTCTTGTAACATATAATATTTTTAGTGTCAAAATTTCACCCTTTCGATTGGCCGCCCCCGCTTTAAGCCCCGGGATCGCGGTGGCAGACATGACTATTTCATAATGGCTACACAAAAAGATACTTTACACAAAAAATTAGCCATGTAACGATAATAAGTTTTTTTATGTAGCCAGCTCTTAGACTAATAATTGGACTCGAGCCGAGCGCTGTAATTCTGTAATGTAGGTATCTTTTGTAATGTAAAATGTTTTAACCGAAAAAAATGGCGATTTGTAAAGTAGAAAAGATATGAAGGTAATTAAATTAGAGAAAAGTTGCGCCTTGCTGATCCTTTGATTTAATTTTTTTGATTTTTTTACTCTATTTGAAGATTTTAGAGAAAGATTAGATTTAAGACAAATTTACCATTACCTATTATTTTTCTAGCTCTAGCTCTACAAAGTGAATATTATTAGATTTTCACAAACTTTTAATCTAACTTTTCACATCCATAATAAACTTTATTTTTTAAAATACGGTAGCTTAATCATTCGTTGCATTATTTCTGATTTACAAGATCCCTGTAGTGTGCATTCTTATATGGGATATCCTGTATCTGTGTCCTGTATAGAAAGCAAAAATTAGCTTACCTGTAATTATTAATGGTCTCTGAAGGATGATAATAATGTAGGCGTTGATTAAAAGTAGGAATTTTCGGTGTAAAAATTTCTTCATGAAGTTGCACGTTGTTTGCATCAGCAAGACCATTTACTTCCATTGCGATGGATGAAGATGGTTTCATTTAAAAAACTATTGCTTTTTCTTTATTGTCGGACCTTTTAAGACATAAGACTCTTTTGCATAAGCCTATAAAAGATACTAGAACGATGCATTTTTTTATTGTTATAAATTTACGACCCGAGCGGAATAGATAACTGTTTCTATAGGTAATTTAGTTATAGCGGAAATGATCGCATGTTAAATTACTTCAGTTTTTAATTATATCGCTCGTGAAACAATTAAAAGAATATACTGTTATATTTGTAAACACATCAAGAATAAAAAATATATTTTATTCTAATATACAGTACGAGTCTGCGTCAATACAAGAGGATGTAACAAGTAATTGCAATTAACATTTTACTAACACAATAACGTTTTTTTCTTTTTTTTTAATAAAGCCTTTAATTATTTTGAAATTACAAAAATAAAAAAAATATACAAAAAATGTGACAGGTATTATTTATTAACCAAACCAAACCAAACCAATTTAAAAAAAGGAATTAAATTAGGGAAAAAAAAATCAAAGCTGTAAACGTATCCGCAGATAAAATGGTAGACAAGACCCAAGGACAAGACCAACAAAAAGTTTGTTGTGTGCTTTACAACCAATGTGCGTGCCATAACAAATGTTCACTTTTATAAACATTTTCACTAAAATGACGAATACGCGATTTTAATTTCGTATTAATATTCAAAATATGCGTTGGATTATTTATATTTTTCTAAATACGTCATAGAACATAGAACTGAAGGATGATTGCAAAATTATTTCTATTTTACAGCCGCACTTAGACAGGTCATCGTGACGCGCGACGATATTTGGGATATTTGATAAAAAATATTGGGATACTATTGGGATATTTGATAAGAACCTGGTATAATAATTAATGTTGGTAATTGCTGTCCTCCATTCGCGAACTCCAAGTTCCAATGCTTTACGCCCTGGGCTACTCGAGAATGGTTCTGGAAGGAGCTGTGCCTTCATATGGCGCGGAAGAGTTCTGAACTTTATGACTCAATTTACTGTCTTCCATTTACGCAGTTGTGCAGCTCTGAACTGTTCAAGAACGCGATACTCTCACTCCATTCAATTGGGTCATAAAGTTCAGAACTGTTCCGCGCCATATGGAGGCACCAGGCTGTCCACAGTCTATCACGCACAGCTCCTTTCAGAACCGTTCTGAGTAGTCCAGGGCGTAAAGCTCTGGAATTTGAAATTCGCGAATGGAGGACACAATCGAATGGAGTGAGAGTATCGCGTTCTTGAACAGTTCAGAGCTGCACAACTGCGTGAATGGAGGACAGCAATTGATAGGCACTGATAAACTGATGGAATTTAAGTCGGCCATTTTTGGTTTGCATTACTGAGACTCCAGAGACTTTGGTCTCCATTGCTCCCCCCAAAAGACCTTAGCCCCCCTTAAAGTCCCCGTTGTCTAGTTGCGCCAGTGACTGACATATTATATAATTTGATAACAGTCAAAAACCCATCTCTCTACAGCACATTGGCTTTTATGGGAATATTCTTTATTATACATTTTGGGGGGTAAGTGCGTACTACATCATTGTCTAGTATGTATAACGAGGGGATACTTATCAGCGAGAGTTGTTTTCTGTCGTTTTTATTCACAGACAAATTGCATTTTCTGTCATATTTAGAATGTCATCTGTCAAAATCTTCCTTGATTCGCTGGACAGACTACATACTTTATTTGATGGATCATAAACTTTTGAAAACGAAATGGAAATTCCTAGACTTAAAAGATTAGATTATAAGTTATTCTATTTATTGCTTTTGGTTGAGCTTTTGCGAGCTAAGATATTCACCTATGCACGGTAGAAAAATGTTAGTACACTCAACAAGGTCCTTATTCTCACAGTGAACCACAAACATTAGCATGAATAACATCGGACAGTAAACGGTTGTATTTAGATTACTTTTAAACTGAAATTATTCACAACATAATCGGTTCCATTAAATACATACACAATACATATATGTTATATCATATAATTCTCAGATGAAATAAATAAGTAAAATATTTACCTATTACTAATTAGCACTAGTTAAATAATGAAAAGATTTACTTTACCTTTAATAACATTCTTTGTCTCACAACTTTAGAACCAAAAATCACATCAATGCGTCTCGAATGGTAGTCTAAAAGTTATTATTTAACAACTATCCATAACGCTATGTTTTCCCTCCTTAATAAAGTTTACTCCAGCCTAAATAACCATCATTCTACAGCAACAATTTTCTGTGATTTTTCTAAGACGTTCGACTGTGTAAATCATAAGATTCTAATTAATAAACTGCAACACTATGGGTTCAGGGGAACTTCTCTCGAATGGTTTAAGTCGTATCTGAGCAACAGAAGTCAACTTGTGAGGGTGGATACCACGTTGTCTTCTAGCAAGCCAATAGAATGTGGAGTACCACAAGGCTTAGAGAAAATAAAATTGAATCTGGTATCTCGAAAATGAAACGCCAGATGCTATAACTTACTTCTAATTTAATAATCTTTGTATCTCTTCTGGTTTACGCTACAGGGCGTTCATTCTTATATTGAGCACTATACCGGGTGTTTCCTCCCCAAAAGTGACTCACCTCTATAATATATCACCTCTATATCTTTTTTAATTTTTGAGATAAAAATAAATAAAATTTGCTATGTTAGTACATGACATGAATCGGGAGTGATTGACGTATTCAATTAGTTTCGTACACTTAATAATACCGAATAAATACGAATAAAAACGGCGTCAGCGATGGCTATGAAATGAAGATCGCTGTCATTTTATATGTAAAATGATATGGGAAATGTCATAGATCGTCATTTCATGGCCATCGCTGACGCCGTTTTTATTCGATCATACGGTACTACAGTACCGTAAGTACTCTATATACTATATTATTATACCGTATAACCGAAAAAAAAACGGCGTTCAGTTGGCTGGGAAATGACGATCGATCACTTTTCCCATATAAAATGACAACGATCTTCATTTCATAGCATAATACAGTACTAAAAGTAGTTTAGGAACTTTTAACATATTGTTAATTATATTTGAGATTTCTGGTATAATACGCTTGAAAACTTTTGAAAAACCATACATTTTTTTAAGTGTCAAAATATGCCAATATAAAAGAAAGTAAATAAATACTTAAATTGGCACCTACTTAAGATTTTTTTATTAAAAAACTGAGATGAAAGCTTGGCTGTCGTTAAATAAATATCACAGTTATTTCAATCTATATTTGTGGGACTTTGAATGCGAACCACATGCTGTATTTTTATGTTTTTGCATTATTTGAACGTCAAATAAATTTAGTTAAAGTGAAGCGCTAAACTAGAGAATAGTTGAGCTGATAAAAGCAAAAGAAAATGACAGGAGTTTTTCAAAAAACAAATAAAAAATCGAAAAATAGAAGAAATACGTTCGGTACCATTTTCTCGTGTATAATAAAGTTTTTTCTAACCTTATGTCGATCGTTATCAAGTTTGAAAAATACAGTATCTACAGAAGACCTAGAGTCGGTAGAATACGATCTTTCTGGTCACACTTTCGAAAACAAATGTTTCAAAAACAGTTCAACGACAGAAAATATCAATCCTTTAACTGTTACGTTTATCAAAAATAGTATTTTGAAAAATGCAAGAAAATACAACGACAGAGAGTATTTGTTGCGCGAACTGAGCGAAAACATGATATCCAGAGAAAACCTAGTTTTCAAATTGGGCGGCTCAACAAAGAGTGAATTGAATCACGCGTTGTTATGGAGTGCTGTGGAAGGAAAATGGGATTTGTTTGAAGGTCTGTTAATTTTGGGAGCAGATATCGAGTAAGTGACAAAATTTAAGTATGCTTATAAGAGAGTTCCTCGTTTTACGCGGAAGTTCCTTTAACACAACGTAAATCGAAACCGCGTACCGTAAACTGGGGTAACTTAGGCCTGCGTAGGTGACTATGGCCAATTTGGGAAAGATGTTTAAAAATTCTGGAACATCAAAAGTATGATTCCTAAAATTATTGTATAAGCCGTTTTTGGAAGAAAACATCATAGAAAATATATTAGTAATAGTTAGAATTAGGTGTTATTATTTAAAATTTCGTTTTTTTTTGGGTCTGAAAACTTTGACTCTAACATTTTTGCTGTTGCACTTACTACGGCTTACTGTTGCCGGACCATACTCAAGGTTAAATAAGGGTCGTTAATGGTCTGTATAGAGTGCCTAAGGCTGTTTTTTATTTAAAAATAAGAGTTTTTGAGATAGGGGGAAGCCATAGTCACCTCTTACTTTTCGGGCCTTAGAGGGGTCAGTATGGCCACCGGATATCCTTGAAAAAGATCGTTAATATTGACAGCGACATTACGCGTATAGGCCGGAATTCAACTGATTTGTTGTTTGTCGGCATTAATGAAGTTATTAGCGTCAAAAAAATGAAACTCAAGTCTCTACTATGACTGAGTCTGGACCAAAAGCTTGGAAATGGCCTAAGCGAGAAGATATCCTATGGTATAAAAATATCGAGATAATGGAAAAGATCCAAAAACCAGAGCGCAATACATCTAGAGCTAGTTTTGTGGTGCCGGAGATGCTCAAATACAAAAATTTTGTTTATTAGTTTAAGTAGATATCTAACCTTACCTACTTTATTGGTTTGTTTGTTCTTATATTACCTACCTACTTTTCAGAGATACTTTGTTGATTTTTATACAGTTAAGTTTATAACAGTTTATACTAAGTTCCAAAAAAATGTTTTTTTTTAACTTTATTTACCTATATAATATATAGCTATATACATAGGTCTTTTTAAAACATTTATAGGGACCAGAGTCATCTATTTTCCGTCTTTAAATTGGCCTATCACGATATTTTTACAAGAGGCATCTACACCCCAAAGTTCGGGGTGAAAGAGGCCACCATGCTTTTTTTAAAATATATATTCGAAATTAAAAATACAATTTTATGAATAAAAATTGACCGTAAAAGTAGAGACCCCCTTCAAGTTTTTACTACGATTACGAAGGCAAAAACGCGTAATTTGCGCAAGTTATGACTATTTAAAGTTGAAAAGTGGATCAAAGTCACACCAGTTTACGGTATCTTAAAAGAAATTTTTATTTCATAAAATATAGAGAATAAGTCTATGAAATCATATCATAATTTTCAGATTATTTGACCATCTCCAATTATGGTGTAGCCTTCCTTACGTATTTAGATACTCTATAGTTGGGCCCATTGGTTTTCTATTGTTGGCTATGCGAGGCCAATTTATCCCTGCCGGTTTTCTAATATCATGGTCCTATCTCAGGTTTGGTCTTCTTCAAGGTCTCTTAATTGGTACCATGCTGTAAGGTTCGTGGCCATCTGTTGTCCGTTCTTCTTGCCAGTGGTCCTGCTCATTGCCACTTGAGGGATTTGATTCTGTAGATGACATCTATTTCCTGTTTTTTTGTCGTATCCACTCTATTTTTTACGCTCTTTCTTGGTTATTCCCAGCATATGTCGGGCCAATGAGCGTTGTGCTACTTGCAGTTTCCTCATAATGTCCGTTTTAAGTGTTTAGGTTTCGCAAGCATTAGTCATGACTGGTTGGTAGCGCTTCGCAACTGGTAGTACACTTTGGTCGAATGTTTTCTTCTTTAGATAGAGTGGCATTCTAGATTTGAATATGATTGAGTTTATTCCATCAGTACTCCATGCTAGTTTAATTCTTCTGTTGATTTCTGGTAGTAGAGAGTCTATGAAGTATGTGCAAATATTTTCAGGGAGCTATATAGGTATTTCGACCTCAGAAATGCGTGTATGAGTTTTTTCGCGAGAAAAGATTTGTAAAATTTTGTATTTTGGGAAACATTTTAAATTTTCAATTTCAAAAAGCATAACGTCTTGATAAAATGGCAATACCGGGTGTTATTCAAATCAAGCGAGTTTCAAAATCTTTATAACTCTTTTATTTTTTAAGATAAAAAACCATATTTCTTATATACGGTCTCTGTTATGTATGGAAACGGTCCATTATTAGGTAAAATATACAAGGTTTCGCAAAAAGTTAAATACAAAAACTATAGAGTTTTTTAAATAAATTTATATATCGTGGCACATCAAAGTTTAATTTTTTTAAATCGAACCCCCTGTATATTATTGCATATTTCAATTCTTCCTTCAATTCTAAGCAAAAATCGAAATACACACAATGTACCTCAAACCAACCGTTTCCGAGTTATTGACTTTTGAACATATCACTTAAACAATTTGATTTAATTTATTTCGCTATGTTCAGTTTCATTTAATGATGATATTCTGCCGAAACTGTGATACTGTTGTAATGTTTTTTAAATGCCTATTAGCTACCTTTTAGCTACTAGTAAATTTAAGTATACAGGGTCGGTCATAAAGTTGTGGCACATCAAAATTTATATTTTTTAAATGAAACCCCCTGTATATTATTGCATATTTCAATTCTTCCTTCAATTTTAAGCAATAATCGTAATACACAATGTACATAAATTGAAGAATTGAAATGTTAAACGAAAATTTTGTAATTTCCAGACTTGATATAATCTCATTTTATACATCTACGGGTGCTTCTCAAAAGTGGCTCACCCCTATAACTTCTTTATTTTTTCAGATACAAAAACAAGATTTGGTATGTTAGTACAGTTCGTCTGCTGGATCTGTGTCTATGAAAGGAATGCGGACAAAAAACATTTAAATAAACAGCAATATATTTTATACGTCGACTTGACGAGTACGTCACCGCAAATCGCTCCGCCCACTCAGTTTATTGGCTACTTGCAAATTTGTCGAATTTTTATTGATGGGACGCGTCGTCTAATTTTTTACGAAAAACATCGAGAGAATATCGTTTCCCCTCTCACGGATACCCCGTAGCTACAAAACGGACTGACGTACTGTATATGACATAAATTAGGATTGATTGACGTATTCAATTGTTTTTGGTCACTTCTTGTTTCACCGGAAATGACTACAACTTTTCATTTTTAAATGGCACCCTCGGCATTTTTTTTTACTTTATTCGATAGAAAATGACATTCTGAATAGAATGAAATACCATATGTCAACTTTTGACATTCTCGCTTAATAAAAAATCGTAATTTAAAATTCAATCTAGAGTGCCATGGCTATGTGAAAAACACTAATTCTTAATCAAGGAGCCTTGAAAAAATAGATTTGATCGTCTAATGTTTTTAGTGTCTTGTCCCGACCAGTCAGAAAATGCACAAATCGCATTTTTAATCATATCTCTATTTTTTCAAATGGAACGAGGATGGCTCGTTAGGGTATTTCGAAAAAGCATCTTTTTACGAATAATTTGATACCACACACTTGGTATCTCGAGTCAAATTTTCGTTATGAACACGGCCATGACAATGTATGTTGAAGATTAAAATAAAACTTTTTAAGCGAATATTTCAAAAGTTGACATATGAGATGTCATTCTATCCAGAACGTCATTTTGTAGCAAATAAACTAAAAACATATCAAGGGTACCATTTAAAAATCAAAAGTTGTAGTAATTTCCAGTGAAACAGGAAGTGGCGCAAAAGAATTGAATACGCCAATCAATCCTAATTTATGTCATACACTAACATACCAAATTTCATTTTTTATCAAAAAAAAATAAAAAAACATATAGGGGTGAATTTTGAGATGCACCCGTTATTGTTTGTATTAATTATTGTGTAAAGTTGTAGTGGATTTTGTAATCTTTTTTAGTTATTTTGACCCAAACTACGGATTGTCTGCTTTACATCTGTCTGCCTTCATTGGTTCCGTTGAAGCTACACATTTCTTGATAAAACGTGTGAACAACATTAACGTAGTAAACAAATGGTACAACCCGTTACATTGTGCTACCACCGCAGGACAAGTAGAAACCGCTAAACTTTTGCTAGATAATGGAGCTAAATTGAACTCATTAGCTAACGGACCCAGCTATGAAACTCCTCTATACATTGCTGTCGAAAAGAACGCTATAAACTGCGTAGAACTTTTTGTTGATAGAGGTTCGTAAGTTTAAGATTTTTTGAAGTATTATAATAAATTGGGAGTGGTTTTAGGTGCTGAAATTTATCAGGAGGGCAAGCTAGCAGACATGTCTCCATTTTTTCGAGCTGCTCAATTAGGGCATTGGGAATGTCTGGAAATTATGCTAAAATCTAAGACGGTTAATTGTCGAGAAATTCGAAAAATCGAAAACGGAAATTTTGCCTTGCATATATCAGCCGAATGCGGACATCCAGAATGTGTAGAAGTGTTGTTAAATGCCGGGGTAAACCCAAATTTAACCAATCTCAGGTAGATTATATTATTATGTATACAGGGTGTTTCAAAACAAATGCGAAAAACTTCAGGGGGTGATTCCTTGTTCAAAATAAAGGGTAGTTTGCTTCATAAACGTTGGGTCAAAAGTCAACCACTAGGGAGATATCGCGATACAAAGATGGCGGAAAAATAATGTTTTTATATTTTATCTTGAAAACGAAAAGAAATAGACTAATGAAATTTTATGGAAGCATTACTGTTATGAAAACACACTTTCTGGTAATTTTTTCACTTTTTTAAAATGAGTGGAAAAAAAAACAGGCTAACAGATTCTTTATCTAAAAATGTTTTTTCTCCTGACATGTAATGCTTTACATTTTATTTTTTAATTTCAAATCCGTGAGTTTTATCAAAAAAACACAAGAGATAAAAAAGTTTCTAAACAAACTAAATTAGTATCCAAATTAATTTTTTTGCATGTGTTTGATAAGATTTTTCTTTAAATTTCGTTAACAAGAATGATAGGGGTAGTTTATTTCAACCCCTTCCACTTATTTTAAAAAAGTGGGAAAATTACCAGAAAGTGTGTTTTTATAACAGTAATGCTTTAACATAAAATTTCATTAGTCTATCGCTTTTCGTTTTCAAGATAAAAAATAAAAACATTATCTTTTTCGCCATCTTTGCACCGCCTATCTCCCTAATGGTTGACTTTTGAACCAACGTTTATAAAGCAAACTACCCTCTATTTTGAACAAGGATTCATCCCCTGAAGTTTTTCGCATGTGTTTTGAAACACCCTGTATAACAACTATATTTTATTTGTATTTTTTAAAATTAATTATTGATCACGGGGAAAATAAACCTATTGAAATGTTATAGCCACAAAGACTTTTTTTGTGTAGACTGTGTTATTTGCGTGCAAACAGTAGTTTTAACTAACAGTAAGTTGTCATTTTAATAGCGATGTTATCGATGTGATACCTAACTAACCGGAAAGTAGACTTGAGTTTATCCTTTACAAGTGCTTATAAGTACAGAGATGCAAGCTCACAGAGAACTTTAGTAGTTAGTCTTTTTTTGATTTAAATCATTTTCATGACTTAAGTTATTTAATTTTAAATCATTTTTCGAATGGTGAAAATTGAAATAATTTTCAAAACGACTTGTGATTTAAATCTTTCCGAAATAGAAAAAGAATTAAGTCTTAAAAAATGGAAATTAATAATAATAATGTCATTTTATCAGAACGCCAACGATTTTTATAGACGTAACTGTTGAAAAAAACTAAATACATATAAAGTACTGCAAAATCCGTTAAACTTTATAAAAAAAACATATTTTTGTGTTTGTAGTTGCTCTGAAAATTAACTGTTTTATTTTACGTGGTTTTAGTCTCATCTGTATCTACAATAAATTCATAATATGATACTTAGTAAGTAAATCGCCTAATTGGTAATACAAGAAAATTAATATTAACATTAAAAAAAGGTACTTCAATTGAATTCTGGTTGTCTTGACTTGAAGGTAATTATATTGATTTATCATTTTGCCGACTTAACTCGCAGAACAACATGATTTAAATAAAATATATACGAGTAGACTTAAGTTATAAAATCGACTTAAATTACCTTATATTGCTTGAGATTTTACGAAAATTATTTGACTTGAAAGAAAATGACTTAAGTCACAGACAAGCCTCATTCAGAACCTCGCAATTAGTGGAATAAATTAGTGGTTTAAATTAGCGTAGAAGTTTGTTCCTCTTATTTCAATGTAAGCATTCAGAACGTTATAATTAGTAGTACCCATTTTCAATTAGTAGCAAAAGTTAACAAACATTTGACTTTTCCACTAATTATACTTCACAATTTGCGAAAAGAACGTCATTTTGGTCTTTATCATCCGTCAAGAAAAATTGTGGTTAGAAATCAAAAGTTGATCGTTTTATAAGCTAAATATTAGGCTTTTTCTATGGATTCAACTAACTAACGCAAGCTGTTGTTCGGATATTCTATTAATTTTAATTGTGTTTTTTAGACATTGTGATTGATCGAAAACTAAAAAGTATAAAGTGTAATTGAAACCACTAATTGCGAAGTTCTGAACGAGGCTTTAATATTTAAATCATTTAATTTTAATGTTGAAATTTACTTAAGATTTATATCATTTTGATTTTGGAAATTACCTACTTAAGACTTTAGATTTAAGTCTTTTTGAAACTGACTTTGTAGCTCTGTATAAGTAATATATTTTAGATTTCAAACGGCTTTGCATTTGGCTGTGAAAACAAATTCGTATTCGTGCGTAGAACTACTGCTTAATAAGGGAAATGTTGATCCAAATTTGAAGGATATCAATGAGAAAACACCGTTGCATAGTGCTGTTGAATTAGTGGCTGATAGCAGAAGAGATATCGTCAATATTTTGTTAAGGTAAATATAGGATAACTTCTTGTTCCAAGAGAGCTATATATTAGGTTTTCTTTTAATTTTTAATTTTTTTTATTTTCTATTTTTGCAAAAATATCCACAGAAACCACAAGTTGAAATTTATTTTGTATGATGACCTACCTGTAACAGTAGTGATTATTTCATAATTTATCTAAATTAGTTAGGTAATAATTAGGGACGCAATATTTCATCAAATATATAAAGAAAAATCTTCATATTATAAATGTAAACGCTATTTTATTTACTGACTATATAGGGTGTTTCAAAAAACATATACCATTTCTGGTGGGGACATTCCTCACGTAAAAATACGATTTATTTTTATATCAACATAGGTCCGATTCTGCTTTGTTTTGTAGCTACAAGAGGTTAAAGGTTTAGTTTTTCTTTATTTATTATAATTTTCTTTCAAATGCTTTTAGCGATTCGAATGAAATTTTGAAGATAAAAGTTGCTAGTTTTCTTGTAACTAATACTGTTGTAAGAAATTGTCGATACATTCACATTTAAAAAACAGGTTCTTTGTAATTATCTTAAATATATTTTTTTTAATTTTGTGAAGGTAAGAAGGTAAGCACGGAACGCCAGTGAAAGAAATGTAAGGGTCAAAAAGTTTTTTGGTGAAGCGGTCAACTCAAAATTAAAAATAAAAATCATAAAACAAATTTAAAAGGCGTAAATGTTGTATAATAAAATACAACTAATAATATAAAATAAAAACAATACTAATAGATGGTACGTTACTAATGGTAGTAGCCAACTTTGTTGTATAACAACAAAAGTCTTGTATGACCTGGCTACCGAGGTAACCTACCTGCAATTAAAGAGAAAAATGGCTTGAGCAACAATGTTACCAGTTATTATTAAAATGAGGTGAATTTAAAATTAAACAGGTACTTGAATAGTTTCTTAATATTCCAACATAAAAGATACATGTTTAAAAATAATAATAATATGCCACAAAGGCATGTAGTCACACAAACTTCTCACACAGAGAATACGCCCAAAAGACAGGTAGTCACACAGACTGTTCTCACACAGAGAATATGCCACACAGGCTAGTCACAAAGACTGTTCTCACACAGAGAATATGCCACACAGGCTAGTCACAAAGACTGTTCTCACACAGAGAATATGCCACACAGGCTAGTCGCAAAGACTGTTTTCACACAGAGAATATGCCACACAGGCTAGTCACAAAGACTGTTCTCGCACAGAGAATACGCCACACAGGCAAAATACGCCACACAGGCTAAATATAATGCAAAAGTTAATAGGCCAAACTACTCTTCAAGGCTAACTACGCTACGGGACTAACTACTTCTCAAGACTAACTACGCTACACAGGGTAACTGCGCCACACAGGCTAACTTTGTCACACAGGCAAATGCACCACAAAGGCTAACTGCAGAAAGTAATATAGCTAAACATAATACATACAGAAATTTCAATAAAATTTAATAATAAATTAGATTAAATAAATCATTCATTAATTTTATTCTTATTTTAATTAATTGTTAATTGCGATTACCAAAAATTGTGTTTATCTCATCAGGGTGATCGAAATCGACAAAATATTAAGATACAACTTCTAATCGGCATTAAATTGCTTATACAATTTTCCTAGTAGTAAGAGAAAAAGTCAGTGGCGCACATGTTTTTTTTTCTGCGCCACATTAAAATGTGTAGCACTTATAATAACTTTTACCCTCAAAATTTCATTCAAATCACTACAAGCACTTGGAAGAAAATTATAATAAATCGGAAAAAAAGAAGAATATAACCTTCTGTAGCTACAAAACAAAGCGAAACCGGACCTATGTTTATATGAAAAATAAACCTAATTTTTACGTGGAGAATCCCTCACGAGAGCTGACACATGTTTTTTGAAACACCCCGTATTTGTAATTCTGTTATGAATTCTGTTATGATTCTGTTTGTTATGTAGTCCTTAAATAGTTTGCATAAAAATATGAATTATGTTATATATTTATTTTTATTTATCGAATTTCAGATACGGTGCAGATGTCAATGCCACCGATCAGCACGGTTTTACACCTCTACATACAGCCGCACTTAACGAACTTTCCCAAACTGTTTCAATCCTGATCAGTCACGGTGCCGACATCTCACTCAAGTCCAAATCGGGCATCAGCGCATTCGGTTTAGTAGCCAGAAAGACACCTTCTGCATTCTCAGCTCTCAGAGACAAGTTAGCTCAACACGTCACATTGTCTCACGATCCTGAGTCCCTTAACGACGTTGAGATTCAGTTCGATTTCAAGTCTGGACTTCTGCATCCCAGGGAATACGCTTTATTAAACACTTTCATCGATGAAGGACATAAGGAAATGCTACTACACCCATTCTGTTCAGCGTTTTTGTATGTCACCTGGTGCAGAATCGGCAGATGTTATTACGGCATGATCTACGTCTCGTTGATCTTTAGTTTATGCTTGCTCTTCTACCTGTTAACAGCGCTTGCTTACGATTGCGTCGAAAAAGAGTCAGAATCTTGCAGAAATGACTCGTTTTTAAACAGGTTTCTTGTAGAAAGTCCTTACACGCTTGAAATTCAGTGGTATGTTCTCTTATTCTCGTCACTCGGATTGGCTTACAGGAAAATCTATGGGTTTCGAGGATATCCTTCGGTAAAAGACTACCTAAACAACATAGGAAATGTTTTCGAATGGATCGGCATTATCAGTGTATTTCCTCTTAGTTTTCTTTATACCGGAAAAGTGGAACAATGGCAAATACATTTAGGTCCGTTTGCTTTGATGTTTGCCTGGACGAATGTAATGTTTTTAATAGGTCAATTACCGATATTTGGACCATATGTCGAAATGTTTCATAAAGTTCTTAACGAGTTTTTTAAATTACTGTTGGTCTTTACATCACTCCTCGTAGGTTATACTGTTAGTTTCTGTATATATTTTCCTAATTCTGCAGCTTTCTCTAATCCAATCACCGGTTTCATCACAGTCCTCGTTATGATGACGGGCGATATGAATATAAGTCTTTTGCTGGACTACGACAAAGAACAAAATTCTTCATTTTTTTCTCAATTGGGCGCTAGAGTTATGTACACATTTTTCTTAGTATTCGTAACGATAGTCTTGATGAATCTTTTGGTGGGTATTGCAGTCCATGACATCCAGGGCTTACAAAAGAACGCTGATCTTTCCAGATTAGTAAGACAAGCCCAACTGTCCTCTTATATTGAGATGTCGCATTACGAACGAAGTGAAATAGCAAAATGTGTGATGACGATGCTAAGGGTCGTTCCCAAGCCCTATATCGGTATTTTGAAAGTAAAACCTCTCGATCCTACTGAAAATAGATTGCCCAAAGTGATATTGCAAGGTGCTTATGAACTGATAAAAAAGAGACAAAAGATGGAGGTTTTCAGTCGAAGTTTGAGTGATGGAGCCGCGTGGAAAAAAGCCTTTAGGAAAACTGATCAGAATTTGAAATCGCGATCATCGTTGAATAAAATATGTAGTAAATTGGAAAATCATTTCGGTCGTGTGGATAAGTTGCAAAAAGACATGGACGATCTTAGGAATCTACTTAAATCTATATATTTAGATAAGAAATGAAACTAAAGGTTTGTCAAACAACTCAGTGATGATTTCGACTGTATCAAAAATGACAGAAAATACAATTTATCTGCGAATTAAAATAACTGACGGAACTGTGACTGTCATGGATGCTCTCGCTGGGGGGCAGACAGTTTATTTTTGATATTATCTTTTACCATCTGTTATTTCAAGTGTTTGTTTTGTATTTTTAGTCTAGCATAACAAAAATAAATAGACGTCAATTAGTCTTAAAGTAGTTTATGTGTAAAAAGACTAACCTAGGTTTAACATTAGAGATTAAGAAATGAAATCAGCTAATGTTTCATGGGGTTTATTTTCTACTGTGCGTTTTCAAAATTAAATGAATATAAATTAAAAAAATCTGTATAAACATTTAATAAGGTGCCCAGTGGCGTAGAGGTAGAGGCTCTCGTCTACCAATCTCTAGGTAGTGGGTTCGAATCCCACACCCGGCATTTCATCAGCCGACTATTTTTATTAAAATAAAAATAGTTTGGGTACCTAGGTTGACTCAGACTTAAATGAGTACTTGGGATTCATAATCCTGAGGTAATAATAGGCGGTTGAAGAGTAGTGCTAGCCACCCACATTACCTTCCTTGTATACCGAACGGCTCTAGTATGGCAAGCTGTACCTTGCTACTCCCAAGGCGTTAAACGCTATATACGAGAGCTATTATTATATTATATTATAAACATTTAATTACTCTTTAGACAGTCCCTTTTACAAAATAAACACGTTTATTTGTAGAAACGAAACATCTTTACATTTAGCTGTCCGATCAAACTCATGTCTATGCGTAAAATACCTGTTGAATCATAAGGCGGATTCGAACATGAGTGATTGCCAGAAAAGAACTCCTTTACATGAAGCTGTTCAATCAATATCAAGCGCCAGGAAGCATATAGTCAAAATGTTACTAGAGTAAGAAAATTTGTTTTGATATAATCAATTCCTTCTATAGAAGAATACATACCGTTTAGTAAATGTTTAACCTTTCTTTTTTACGATAAAATGAATAAATTCTATTATCATAAGCAGGGAGTAAAAGCTCTTTAATTTATCTCTAGCAATGGAACTGATGTAAATGCTTTGGACGAAGATGGATTCAGCCCTCTTCATTTAGCTGCCTTAAACGAAATTCCCCAATACGCCAATCTATTGGTAGATCAAGGCGCCAACCTGACAGCAAGTGGTAACTCCAAAATCAGTCCTTTTGGTTTGTTGGCTAAGAAAACCCCCGCAGTTCTGGATGCTGTGAAAAATCGACTGGACCAATCCATTACTCTAATACCTGATCCAGATGAACTTTTTCGAACTGAGATCGAGTTTAACTTCGATAAAGGCCTACCCCATCCGGATGAGTATAAAATACTGAAAACTTTTATCGAAGAAGGGCAACCGGAAATGTTACTGCACCCTATATGCAGGGCATTTCTTTTTATGACTTGGAAAAGATTGAAGATTTGTTACTATGGAATGATTTACTCATGGTTTCGCTTGTGTTTTTGCCTTTTATTCTTTGTTCTAACTGGCATGTCCTATCGCTGTAACCTTGTCGAAGAAGAAGTACTTTATTGTAAAAATAGTTACGCTATGAACAAAACACTGTTCGAGAGTAGATTTAACCTGAAAATGCAATGGTATTTGATGATCTACATCACTGTTTCAATCTTGTACTCTAAAGCGTACGATTTTCATAGACACCCTTCGATTAAAAATTATTTTTTGAATATAAGTAATCAACTAGAGTGGGTCAGTCTTTTTGGTGTGGTGGCTATTTGTCCACTCTACTCTGGAACTATGGAAAAATGGCAATTGGAAGTTGGCGCATGGATTCTGTTAACTTCTTGGACGAACTTAATGTTTCTGGTAGGTCAGTTGCCGTGTTTTGGTCCTTACGTCGATATGTACCAAAAAATCCAACGAGAATTCTACAAGCTATTTTTTGTATTCTCCTTTTTCCTGGTCGGATACGTCGGTTCTTTCTACATATTTATCCCACAATCAAGCGCTTTCAAAGATCTTTTCATCGGAGCCATCACTGTTTTGATTTTAATGACAGGAGATTTAAATTACGATTATTTGGTTAAGTATGAATACGCCAATACTGTTTCTAGAATAGGAACGCACGCTGTCTGTGTGATATTTGTGTTATACGTCACTATTATTCTGATGAATCTTTTTGTGGGAATTGCAGTAGACGATATTGAGACCTTAGAAAAAAACGCAGGCTTATCTAAATTGGTGAGACAAGTTAAATTATGTTCGTATATAGAAAAATCGTACTGCAATCGCATTTTTCTCAATTTTTTTCTTAAGATAATCGGGAAAATTCCAAAAAAGTATACAAGTCGTTTGAAAGTAAAACCCCTTGATCCAACTGAAAATAAGATGCCTAAAAATATTATGCACCAAGCGTACAACATTGTTAAAAATCGAAATATTGATAAAGAACCTATTTTTGAACAGGATGAAGTACTGAGTGATATAGAACACGGAATAGAAGACCGTAACAAACAAATCAATATGTTACATCGTTATGTTATAAAATGCAAAGAATCCTTAACAAAATATTGAGGATAGTACCTATTTGAAAGACATAAACAGGTACATTTAAGATAGACCTTTTGTAATGTAGAAAAACTTTTTAGGCCTTACTTTGTAATTTACGCATATACTTTTTGAATATAAGTAATCAACTAGAGTTGGTCAGTCTTTCTGGTGATGTAGCTATTTGTCCAGTCTACTCTGGAACTATCCAAAAATGGCAATTGGAGTTGGCGCATGGATTCTGTTAATTTCTTAGACGAACTTAATGTTCCTGGTAGGTGGTAGGTCAGTTGCCGTGTTTTGGCCCTTATGTCGACATGTACCAAAAATACAACGAGAATTCTACAAGCTATTTTTTGTATTCTCTTTTTTCCTGGTTGGATACGTCGGTTCTTTTTACATATTTGTCCCACAATCAAGCACTTTCAAAGATCTTTTCATCGGAGCCATCACTGTCCTGATTCTAATGACAGGAGATTTAAATTACGATTATTTTGTTAAGTATGAATACGCCAATACTGTTTCTAGAATAGGAACGCACGCTGTATGTGTGATATTTGTGTTATACGTTACTATTATTCTGATGAATCTTTTTGTGGGAATTGCAGTGGACGATATTGACCTTAGAAAAAAACGCAGGCTTATCTAAATTGGTGAGACAAGTTAAATTATGTTCGTATATAGAAAAATCGTACTGCAATCACATTTTTCTCAAATATTTTCTTAAGTTAATCGGGAAAATTCCAAAAAAGTATACAAGTCGTTTGAAAGTAAAACCCCTTGATCCAACTGAAAATAAGCTGCCTAAACATATTATGCACCAAGCGTACAACAATGCCAAAAAACGAAATATTTATAAAGAACCTAGTTTTGAACAGGATGAAGTACTGAGTGATATAGAACACGGAATAGAAGACCGTAACAAACAGATCAATATGTTACATCGTTATGTTATAAAATGCAAAGAATCTTTAGAAAATAGGAACGTTTTAAATAGACCTTTTGTAATGTAAATACTTTTTAGGTCTCATTTTTAATGGTATCTTTAAAAATTTATTTTCAAGATTTTTTATATTTTTGGAGAATAACAAACTTGTAATTTTTTAACTAATAAACTATTAATTGATTTAATTTGTCCTTTCATTTATAAGTTTAAAGTTAACGTCTTCTTTTAGCTGTTAAGGCTAATTTGGACGGGACCTACTTTGTTTACGCGGAATCCGGCCCGTGGACCTCGGCTTGTCAATGGCCTTTTGACTTGGCCAGAGTCTATAAATCGATTCTTACTCACGAGATATATACGATCTCAGGTCTCATCCGGCATGCAATCGGTGCAGAGCGGCGTTAATAGCTCCTCATGCATCAGAAATTTGGCCTGCGAATTTGGTGTGCGGACTTAGCCTGCGGGTTTAGTCCGTTTACTTGGCTTGTCACGCACCACAACTCTGGTATTTGTGGTCTGAGGACTTGGCCCGCCGGCTTAGATCTTTGCCCGATTAAATATGGAAAATTTGAAGGGGATAAGCGTGCAGAATCAGTAGGAGAATGCAGCTCACAATAGAGCGCAATGGAGAAGAATTGTAAACTCAGTTAACCACAACCAAAAAGTAGAGGCAACAGAGTAATGAGATTTTTGAATATTCGGAGCGCGGAAACACAGATAAGGTCATGAAAGGAATCGCCCTGTGTAACCATTTTCTGATGCGTGTCAAATACTCGTCAGCAAGTAATGGCAATGGAGTAGTAGTGGTAGTAGTCAATAATTTTACACTCCTGCCATGGAACAACAGCACGACAGAGTTTCCAGATCTATTCTTTTATAAGGATTTCTAAATCAAAAAAGACTATTTTAAATATATTTATTAAACAATATTCAACTAAGTACTAAGTACATTAAATAAAGATATCTAGGTTTTTGGGCAATCGAAAACACCTTGCATAGTATTATTTAATATTGAAATGAATTTTGGTGTAAGAGTTTCTATTTAAACATCTCCTGTTCCTCTCAATATTAAATAATCTTAAAGGTAACATAAACTCAGTAGTTTTTTTGAAAAACTATCACATTCCACATTCAGTCTCCTACATTCGTGCAAAATACTTTATTACAAATAAATAAATAAATTACATTTCGTTAAAAACACTTAACTATATAGCAATTACAGTCGTTTTTTTTATTTAAGAATGCATGAAATACTTTTATATCGGTCAAACTTTAAATAATTTATTTAAATTACAATGAATAATATTTTAATTATGGTGTTTTTTGTATCATCACGAACATTATGTATTTAAACTAATGAATCACAGATCCGTTAAAATTAAATTTTAACGCTTTTAATTTTGAATAATATTCAAAAATTGCATGTTCAATTTTAGAGTTTTATTTTAAATGCCCTTTTTTCAGTTGTGTGAGTGTTAATAATGACTCTAAATCAATTAATTAAGGTCTAACGGATAGGTGATTCGCCTCATGAAATTGAAGAACGTACATAATGGATGTGAGGTCGATCCTATCGATTCCGTTCTTCGATCATTTGAAATTCTAAAACGTGTATTAAATTATTAAGTCTGTAAATATCGGAATCGCGTTAAACTTCGTTGCACTCCAGATACGCTTGTTGGCAATTATCTCCTGATCTGCCTCGCCTGCTTGCTTCGTACAGTATGTCGAAGGCTTTCGATGACGACGATCTATCTAGAATGAAGCTGGCGGTGTAGCTGAAATAAAGAATAAAGCACCGTTAGTAATAATGAAAAAAAAAAACCACCGGCACGAAAAAACACCTTAAAATTTTGATGTATTTTAAGGTTTTTATATATTTTTTTTAGTCTTTTAGCGGAATTTGAAGCTAAATTATTTTAATTTTTAGTATCTCTTTCTAAATTAAAAATAAAAGTTTCCATCTGTCAATAATACAAGAGAGAACAAAATGTTGATATTTATGTAATATTTATGTTGATGTAAGTTCTGAAACACCTGTGGAACACGTTAACAAAGCAAGAAATTTAAAAATCGTTTTGTCATCTAGGTGCATTTTTTCTCGATAGCTTGTTTTTTGGTTTATCTCAATGGCTTTATTTCTTGAAGAAGACAATAACATTGCTTTTGAAGAAGACAATAACATTTTCCGTAATTTTTACATTAAAACAATGTTTTTGCTTTTGGTACTAGTCAACAAACCTATAAAATAGTGTTTATGGTTTATGTAACGTCACTGTGATTGCAAAATCATATAATTTTTTTCTGTTGTGCAGTTACTCTAGCAGAGATGGTTTTAAGTCCAGAGGTTAATCTCTACAATGATCAATTAAAGTAGCAATAGCCCCTACTTCTGAACTTAAAACCATTTCTATTAGAGTAAAGCTCAATAAATAATAACAAAATGATTTTCCAATGACAGTGACATTGCAAAAACATTAAACACTAAATTGCTGAAAGTGAATATTTCTAATAAAAATCAAGCTGTTGAGATGAATCAAAAAACAAAGTATCGAGAAAAGATATACCTAGACGGTAAAATTATTTTTAAAATCTTTGCTTTTTTAACATATTCCATTTAACATATTCCACAGGGTATTTCAAACTTTCACCAAAATATCATCATTTTGTTTTCCCTTGTTTTCCCATAAAAGGAGGTATCTCATAAAATTTTGGTACGGGTCCTATGCCCAGCTTTATACCGGGAGCGTCTCAAAAGTGGCTAACCCCTATAACCTTTTTATTTTTCCAGATAAAAAACGAGATTTGGTATGTTAGTATATGACATAAATTAGGATTGATTGTTTTCGGTCACTTCCTATTTCACCGGAAATGACTACAACTTTTTATTTTTAAATAACACCCTCGGTATTTTATTACTTTATTTGATAGAAAATGACACTTTGAATCGAATGACATATCATATGTCAACTTTTGACATATTCGCTTAAAAACAAATTGTATTTGAAATTTTAATCTAGAGTGCCATGGCTATGTTAAAAACACTATTTTTTAAGCAAGGAGCCTTGCAGTGGCGGATCTAGTGTAAAATACGTCGTGGGTAAAGACAAAATTTGGCGCCCCCACAATTCAAAAATGTGTAGACACCCCCCCCCCCGCTGAAAAAAACAAAAGTGCGATTTTCCCTTGAACACTACACAACAGGTACTCTATTAGTTTTTTTTTAAATTAAATCAGAACCGTAAAAATTAAACAACCCTTTTCGGCGCATAATAACATCAATATTATTGTTTTAATATTATTGATGCACTCTACGTACGGAGCGACATCTTTCCGGTATCGCTGCAAGCAATGGTAAATACATCGGATAATCGGAAAATTATTGGCACATCATAGATGTTTCCAGCGCATTCACCGAAAATTCGCTGATGAGCGAAGTGCCTGCCGCACGCTCTAGGTAGCGTCTTCTATCTAAATTTTACTATTTTATTGTATAATGTTTGTATGGTGATTAGAGTTTTTACTACTGGTTTCGGACATACTTATTTTGCCGCCCCTGTGCCGAAATTTTACTTGTAGGCATGATGTTTGCAGAAACTACTAACATACATTATGTGTGCATGCGTGATTAGAGCTTTTACCTATTGATTCTGGACACATTTTGGCGCCTCTGCGGCGCGCCTGGCGCCTGGCGTCGTGGGCAGGTGCCCACCTTGCCCACGCCTAGATCCGCCACTGAGCCTTAGAAAAATAAATTTGATCGTCTAATATTTTAGCATCTTTGGAAAAAGCATTTTTTTACGAATAATTTCATACCACACCGTTGGTATTTCGAGTCAAATTGTCGTTATGAAACGCATGTTACAATTTCAAATAAACCTTATGTGAAAATGTCAAAAGTTGACATATATATGATATGTCATTCTATTCGGAGTGTCATTTTCTACCGAATAAAGTAAAAAAAAAATCCGAGGGTGCCATTTAAAAACCAAAAGTGGTAGTCAAGGGGGTGACAGTGAAATAGGAAAATTGGAAACAGTCATTAGTGTCATTCCTGTCATTCTCCTCACGACAAGCATGGCCGCCTAGACAAGGACAGCATTGTTTTTGTCTAACTATTGTCTAACTTCACAGTTTAGAATTGACAGATTTCAGTTTCAGAGACAACTTCAGATTTGTTCTAGAACAAATTAGAAAATATTCGACGCCATTTTAATTCATTCCGTTTCAGGGGCGGATACAGAAATTTATTTTAGGGGGGGCCCAAAATAAAAAGCAATGTAGAATATGCTTTTTAGGGCGCCATTTTTAACCCATAAGCATAATATTTTACACAATTTACAGATTTTATGCTGGGGCCCGGGCCCCATGGGCCCCCCCTCCGTATCCGCCACTGTTGCGTTTAGTTTCGTTTTGGAAGTTCAATTAATATTTCGGCTGAAATTTATAAATATAAAGGTAATAAAGTATATAAAAGATATATTACATGAAGAATCCTGGAGAAAATGACGTTTCTGCAGTAGTAGGTATGTCCCATGTATATGAAAAATAGATAGTAAATAAACACTGTTTTTACATTTTTTAGATGCAAGAAAATGGTGTTATAATCTCTTTGATCGGCGATTTTTTTGAAAATGGAAACAATTTACAGCAAGGTAAGATCATTTTTAACTATAGCCAACATTAGTTATCTCCAGTATGTGCGATTTATTGCCAATAATGCAATAAATCGGACTGATAATCTGATTATGTTATCCGACTAAAAGTCTCTTTTTGCTTCTTTTTGATTTATAAGCCAGGTCTCTTTGGGAATAATGGACGCTTTTTTTAAACAGTATATTTATATTTTATACCTATTGATATTTTTCCATTGTTAATTTTAGTATAAAAAAATTGTTTTTCTGTTTTCAGGTTTTTGTATAAGACTCCCGTTTTCATGTTCCTGTGTCCGTTTTCTGCCCTTGAATAACTAATTGGTATGCTTAACTGACTAATAACTAACTGCCATTAACTAATTGGTATTGAAACAATACATTCCTCTATATTTTTATATTTATTTAGTCACCTTGTTTCATATTTCAAATAAATATATGTGAATAAATTATTTTTGGTTTTATTTATGAAAAGAAAAAATTCATAATACATTTGACCTGAAAGAGGGCCCGCCATTGAATAAGCGGAAACGGAAATGAAAATTAAGCCATCATGTCCTTATCATGTCAACCTGTCAATTGGAAAATTAGTTCTCCAGACGACAACGAAGGCTTTCGGTGGCGTATCGTGTTTCCACGATTTAACACAGATTTGACACTTCTTTCCAGTTAATTATTTTATGGTAGTAGTCATTTTCGGTGAAACCTTGGTGAAAAAAAATCTTTGCTTTGTTAACATATCCCACGAGGTATTTCAAACTTTCACCAAAATATCATCAATTTGTTTTCCCTTGTTTTCCCATAACACGTAAATGTTGGTGCGGGTCCTATGCTCAGAACCACAAATATATTTACATCAATTTTCAACCAGCCCCCGCAGTTTTTGTTGTAAATTGTAAGGCATTTTGTCACTTACCTTCCGATATGACAGAACAGTGACGTCGGTCCGACATCTGAAGAACATTCCTGGTTAGCTTGGCACATGTACTTGGCCATACAACTGCTCTGGCCAGTGCTCAAGGACCTTACGTAGCCCTTCATCATGGAAATACCGGCAATGGCGGCTTCACTGACTGAATCTTTGCGTCCTGTGCTGTGAGCCGAGAAGGAACGGTGGGAAAAGGATGTCTTTAGAGCGTCCAGAAGGTTCACGACGATGTTAATAAACTGGAAGTGCAATAAAATGGACGAGTTAACATAGATAATATTTCCTTATAGTCTTCTTTTTTTTTAATATCTATTATTAATATTAATATAAGCATTGTTTTGGGTATTGCCCGATTATGATAATAATTCCACTATTAAAAGAAACTACTACACCTTTCAAATGTTAAAAGCCATGCTGTGATTTCATATATTTTTGTGACTTTTTTTGTGCTATTATTTTTCTTATTAAATAACTATGAATATACCGAGTGTTTCTCAAAATGTGGCTCACCCAATAAAAAAATGAGATTTGGCATTTTAGTATGTGACATAAATTAAGATTGATTGACGTATTCAATTGTTTTTCAGTTACTTCCGGTTTCAACGGAAATGACTACAACTTTTGATTTTTAAATGGCACTCTCAGTATTTTTTTACATTATTCGATAGAAAATGACTCTCTGAATCGAATGACATCATATGTCCACTCTTGTTATATTCGCTCAAAAACAAATTGTCTTTTAAACTTCAATCAAGAGTACCATGGTTGTGTTAAAAACACTAATTTTTAATCAAGGAGTCTTCGAAAAATAGATTTGATCGTCTAATGTTTTCAGTGTCTTGTCCTGGCCGGTTAAAAGATGCCCAAATCGCATTTTTAATCATATCTCAATTTTTTCAAATGGAATGAGGGTGGCTCATTAGCATATATTTGAAAAAAGTATTTTTTACGAATAATTTGATACCACACATTTGGTATTTCGAGTCAAATTGTCGTTATAACCGCAGGTTACAATTTCAAACAAACCATATGCGAAAATGTCAAAAGTTGATACATGATATCTTATTCTGTTCAGAGTGTCATTTTCTATCGAATAAAGTAAAAAAATACTGAAGGTGCCATTTAAAAATCAAAAATTCTAGTCATTTCCGGTGAAACCGGAAGCGACCGAAAACAATTAAATATGTCAATCAATCGTAATTTATGTCATATACTAATATACCAAATCTAGTTATTTTATCTAAAAAATAAAAAAGTTATAGAGGTGAGCCACTTTTGAGACGCACCCGGTATTAGACTTTGATTATTGAAGCTCGCTTGTTCAATATAATCGAAAAAAAAACGGCGATGAAATGAAAATCGCTGTCATTTTATGTATGAAAAATGTCACTATAAGTCGTCATTTCTAAGCCAACTGGACAACGTTTTTTTTCGATCATACGGTATATCAAACAATATACTTGAATTTTAACTTTTAAATTGCAATATTTGCCAAAGGTGTTAATGTTACCATGGTGTTAATATTTCAGGTAGTTTTAAAGCATAAAATTATAGAATAATCGGTGATAATAATCGTCATATAAAATTTAATAAGTAAAAAAGCTTTCTGCAAATTTGGCATTATTTACATACCTCCCCGGCCTGTTTTGCCAACATATTCACTTGCTGCGGATCTCTGCTCCCCACCACTGTAGATAAGACCGCCGCCAGCACACCCTGTATAATTTACAAGCAACTAACTACTGGTTCAAGAACTAAATATATATACAATGTATCTATTTTTCGTATTAGTAAAGCACTCGGTATTTTTTTAGCTATTACAAAGAAGAGTAATTTACAGAGAAAAGATAAGTATAAAGAATATAAGAAAAAAACTTTAAAAAAAATATTGATATCATTTTACTAGAGCAAAATAAAACACTAAATCACCACAATAAATTAAAATTTTGTATTTAATCATTTGCTGATGATGCTAACAAGTAAAAGAGAAAAAGAAGTTTTTTATGTCAGTAAATATTTTATACCGGGTGTTTTTAAAAAGTGACTCACCTCCTATAAGTTGGTTATGTTATTTATTCAAATAATAAAACTAGATTTGGTATGTTAGTATTTGTATTATGACATAAATTAGGATTGATTGACGTATTCAATTGTTTTTGGTCACTTCCTGTTTCACAGGAAATGACTACAACTTTTGATTTTTAATTGATACCCTCTCCATATTTTTTTACTTTAAATGATAGAAAATTACATTCTGAATGGAATGACGTATCATATGTTAACTTTTGACTTTTTCAATCTAAAAAATAGCATTTTAAATGTTAACCTAAAATGGTATGGCCGAGGGTTGTCTCACTTGGGTAAAATGTACATATGCTACCAAAATATCATTTTACTGCCAATGACTGTGAAAAAGGCTGCCTATGTCTGCCATTTAATTATAGTGGACTGATTCCAATGACTGCCAGCGATTGTCAAGAAAATGTACATGTAATTCCAACAGTGAGACACTCCTCGGGTATGGCATACAATCTATGGCCGTTAGACAGTTAATTTTTAATGAAAGAGCTTTGGAAAACGTCATATTTTTTGTTGTTTTAAAATGTTAAAGACGCAAAAAAATTATTTAGTTCAGGGCTACGGGAAGGGTGATACTTTAACAGCAGCAAAGAATATGACGTTAATCAAAATTAATAATAACCATCTATCAAAGAATGAAATCGAATTGATATTACCGTAGAAATGCCTTTTGATTTTTAGGAGTTAGAAAAAATTCAACCATATTTTCAAGTTTTTCTTAATTTTCTCTAAAACAGTATGGAAATTTGGAAAGGTATAAACGGGATTAACGATTTTAGAACAAGCAACATTTTTTATGAAGAATGTATTTTTCTCAAATATAGAAATAGATAGAAAATAATAATAGAAAAGTTTTTCCTCTTGTAAAGACAGTTCGGGGACATACTGTAGATTGAAATTTAAAATGGTTTAAAGAAATTATTTGAGAATGTCCAAAAATTGATATATGATATGTCATTCCATTCAGAATGTCATTTTCTATCATGAGGTAGGTACCGAGTGTAGTACCGAAAGCACCATTAAAAAAAAACAATAGTTGTGGTCATTTCCGGTGAACTGGTTTATGTCTTAATTTTACATAGAAATAATCTCTATACTTTTTTTGCTCAGATCAAAATTAACCTGAAGAAACATTTAAAAAAGTTTCTGAAAAATTCATATATTTAACATTTTTATTTAATTTGTTTGGAAAATTATAAATTTCAATTAAGATTTTTTTAAATTCATTGTGGAAAATATAAATAAAATGTTTTTTCCAAATTTCGGAGAAACGGTAAGGACTTTGAAACAAAAATGTTTCAATAAAAGCTGTTCCCTAGCTTCTAGCCACCCTATTTAAGTTAATCTTGATTTGAGCAAAAAAGTACAGATACCATTTTTATGTAAAATTGGACGCTCCCCAACTTTATTTGAACTTTTTTTTCGTAGTCCTTACCGTTTATCCGAAATTTCGAAAAATTAATTTTATTTATTTATTTCACCCCTTCTCCGGGGGTGAATTTAAAAAAAAAGATCTTTCAAAGTAACTTATATCAAAAATTTTACCACAACTTCATATTTGAAGGCCTATTTTCTTGGACTGTTTTAGGCTTTCTCTATACCGGGTGCGTCTCAAAAGTGGCTCACCCCTATAACTCTTTTAGTTTTTCAGATCAACTTCTGACATTTCTGCTTAAAACAAAATTGCATTTTAAATTTCAATCTAGAGTGTCATGGCTGTGCTAAAAACGCTCATTTTTAATGAAGAAGCCTTGGAAAAATAGATTTGATCGTCTAATGTTTTAAGTGTCTTGTCCTAAAGATGCCTAAGTCGTATTTTTAATTATATCTCAATTTTTTCCAATGGGACGAGGGTGGCTCATTAGCATATTTGGAAAAAGCATTTTTTACGAATAATTTGGTACCACACACTTGGTATTTTGAGTCAAATTGTCGTGATGAATCGCATGTTGCAATTTCAAATAAACCATATTCGAAATATATATGTCATTCTATTCAGAGTGTCATTTTCCATCAAATAAAGTAACAAAATACCGAAGGTGCCATTTAGAAATCAAAAGTTGTAGTCATTTCCGGTAAAACAGGAAGTGGCCAAAAACAATAATTGAATACATCAATTAATCCTAATTTATGTCATATACTAACATACCAAATCTCGTTTTTTATCTGAAAAAATAAAAAAGTTATAGGGGTGAGCCACTTTTGAGACGCACCCGGTAGATCTAACTGACTACTAAACTAAGACTACCTCAACCTGTTGCTAGGATATTCTATTAATTTTAATTGTATTTTTTTGACATTGTGAATGATCTTAAATTTTTAAGTATAAAGAGTAATTTAATGCTCTAATTACGAGGGGTTCTGAATGAGGCTAGATAGTATATACAATAAGGATAAGAAACGTTAGTAGGTAGTTACATACATATTTCCAAAAACAATGTCCGTAATTATAATTGAGTGCCCCTCATTGTTTTCATGCAGAATTGTTTATACAAAAATGGCAACATTTCAAAAGATATAGGAGACGTACACATATCCTATCTAGGTTAATCGTTTTAGATTTCGAACTTAACTAGCCGTACGTAATTTTCTTTGTCTGTAGAAGGAAATAAAAGTGAAAAGAAGGCTTTTTTTAAACGCCTCTCGATTTTACAGCGAAGAGATATCGCGGAATGAAAGGGAGGTGCAATTATTAAATTATAGAAAACATCTGGATGTCAAACGAGAAATCACACTTAAGTCAGTAGGTATAAACGATTTGGGATTATATGTTATTGTATTTTTGAAAATTACACTAGAGAATTTTAAATTGTTGAAGCTCTCCTGTACATACAGAGCCAATGATAGAGCAAAGTCCATTATATCATTTGTTTGGAGGTTTATAAAAAATGATAAACATTAAACTTAAAGGGAACACTTTAAGATATAGTAAACGCTACGAATGTTTGGGAGTGATTCATCCCTTGACGAAGTTAGAATCGACACGCGCGCTATGATTTTTACATTAAAAACGTAAATTTTTACCGCAGACGTAGGTTTTTAAAAGCCCGGTCTAATCATCTGTCTGCGCTCCTCCTACTTATTCTAAAATGTTAGCGTGATTGACAAAGACGATACTATATCGCGTTTCTTTGATTGGTTTGTTTTTGTGCGTCAGTCCATTGGTGTGCCGGCAGTGCGACCAATGGGGCATTCCAGTTTATATTTATAACCAAATATATTATGTTTTGACAAGACTTTGACAGTTAAAACAACAAATTAAAACAGATTATATATTGATTATTATATGACTTGAAACACCACGGCACTGGAATTAAGTTTTATGTGACCTTGAACAGATTAGGTCACATGGTAGCGACCGATGAATCACTCCCATTCGTGGCGTTTACTATACATATTTTAAAACGATTGGAGAGTATACAAGATGTTTCAAAAAAGTGTGGTGGATAAATATAGCATATGATTTTTTAAATGCCAACGCCCTATTTTTTATTTTATTTTTGGATTCTACACAAAATTGTATAACTTTTTATATATAATTTTATATAACTAAAATTATAAATTTTTGTAATATTTCAATTTGTTTAAACAAATGTTAGATTTCAGTGTTGTAAAAAATTGTCAGTGATGCCATTGTTTCTGGAGTTGGACTACTAAAATTTGGTAGAAGAATTTTATAGAGAGAAAAAAAGAGTAAAAATTAAAAAATTCAGATTAAGTCGCGAACTATTAAAAATAGGTATATGATATACCAGTTAAAGTGGGCCAGTTAAACAATTTGACATTTTTTAATTTTAAGCAGTTACAATTCATAAATATATAACATAAAGTATGTAGCATCTAACTAAAATATCTTGACATATATCTTTTTCTTCATCTCCATAACATTCTCTAATAAAAAGGGAGAAAAAGTCCCGCAAGACTAAGATCAAGACAGGACCCTGCAAGATCAAGACCAAGACCAAGACCAAAAGGGTCTTAGTCTTAGTAGTCTTAGTCACTAATTCTCATTCCAAACATAAATGCATCATAAAAGGAAGCCTTCGAGGGGAGGATTTTGTACATTTTGTATATACAACGTTCAATTATCTACACAACGAAAATCACCGTCAATTTTTGATGGACAAATTCCTTTTGATGTTTAGTAGTTAATAAATAGAACATATTTTATTAATCTGACTTTAAATCAACATAACTTATTTTTTCTAGAATATATGTAGAATTTAATTCAGTAGGCAAATAAATAAAAAATTAAAAACGCTAATTTAAAGTAACATAACATCAGAAATATAACGTAATCCAAACTCGTTAATTATTATTACTATAGTCTGTCAAATCATAAAGATCCGTGATAGTGACAGTTGTGACAGTGACAATTTAATTGACAGTTAAGTTGTATTTTCAGTAATTTTTTGGATGTCGTCTCTCGTCTGTTGAAATCTTCCCTGAGTTTTTGGACAGACTATAGCTACTTATTTTATAAAATCGAAAATTAACTAGTCTGTCCAAACGAGAGGATATATGACAGAAATAAACTCACCGGCAAAAAAAACAGGCCACTAAAAACTAGTCCAAATTTCAAAGTTGGATTTCTCGCGAACCACTCATTAGATTTTGATTGATGATTTTTTTTTAAATTGTAAATTAATTTCTTTTTAACGGATGCTACGTCAGAAATTTTTATTTCGAATTTATTTTAAGTATATACAGGGCATAACAATAAGACGAAGTTTTTTGCCCGAACTTTGTAACACCCTGTAGGGTGCAGCAGCTGTAGTAGCTATTGCTAAATCAAATCACATGGTAGCCTCATCTTTTGTGAGCATTTTGTTTTTTTATCACGACATTATCTCTGTTTGCATTGGAGATACGCTGCTTTAAAACGAACGTCTCGGAAAAATGCTTCGCAGGCAGAAGGTTTTGTGTATAAATAATCAAGGCGACATCATTGTCAAATTAAAAAATGCCATTATCTGTGATGGATGTTGCTCGTATTGTGGCTGGAATTGAGGATGGCCGAAGTCAACGTTATGTGTCCGATATCCTGGGTATACCACGAACAACAGTCCAGGATGACTGGAATCGATATATGGAAACGGGAAATTTCACCAGACGAGTGGGTTCCGGAAGAAAACGGAAGACAAATGCAATTTTCGACCGCTCAGTGAGAGAACAATCCGACGAAGATTAAAAGAAAACAGCTTGTCTGTAAGGAGGCCTGCCACAGGACCCCAGCTACTTCCAAGACATCGCCGAGCACGTCTTCAGTTTGCGAGTTTACATGTGAATTGGGAATGAACTAAAGTCCTTTTCACGGATGAATTGCCTTCGCGGTTTTGCCTGCGAAGCATTTTTCCGAGACGTTCGTTTTAAAGCAGCCTATCTCCAATACAAACAAACAGAGATAATGTCGTGATTAAAAAAAAAAACAAAATGCTCACAAAAGATGAGGCTACAATGTGATTTGATTTAGCAATAGCTACTATAGCTGCTGCACCCTACAGGGTGTTACAAAGTTCGGGCAAAAAACTTCGTCTTATTGTTGTGCCCTGTATATGCTCAAAATAAATTCGGAATAAAAATTTCTGACGTAGCATCCGTTAAGAAGGAATTTATTTACAATTAAAAAAAAATCATCAAAATCTAATGAGTGGTTCGCGAGAAATCCAACTTTGAAAGTGGGACTAGTTTTTAGTGGCCGGTTTTTTTTGTCGGTGAGTGTAGTTCTGTTGTAGTCTGTCATTGTAATCGACAGATAAATTGTATTTTGTGTCTTTGTAGTAAATTTTCTCATTTTTTTTAACAAATCCATCAATGAGTCGACAAGTTTTACCATAAACTATTTATAAGGCTTATGAAATTAATTTCTACCAACCTGTAAAGGCGATCCTCCGTTATCTACTTTATCAATACCGTCACCTTGGGGTTGGCCAGCACCCCCTAAGAAAGCTGAGAGGATTTTCAATCCTACAGCCAATAACTGGGTCCAAGGAGAAGCTGGCACAACTGGACCCTCATCTAAGCCCTCGGATTTGCTGGGATTGGTGGCCGCTGCTCCACCAGGATTGAAGATCATCTGCATTACCATGCCTAAAATTCAAGGAACACATCTAACAAAGTGGATTTAACATTTGTTGCATCATCGATCTGAACATAGGAAATCTCCTATGAATTTTAAAAATGATGAATAAGTTTTTCCCATTTTATTTTACAGATAAATAAATGTATTTGAAACTTTTTAAAGACCTCCTTAAAATTAAGCAAATTACTCATTTTGAATAATTTATCGAACCGAACTCGTTTTTGAGTTATGGGAGATACAACCATAAACAAAGAAGGATACAACAATACTAAATTAGATTTAACATTAAAAAATTAAATTTGAAGGTGGCAAGTTTCTAATTCCAATCAGGACAGGATATATTTTTCAATTAATTTGGTAATTTTTATCATTCATAACTTTAACTTTAATTAATAAAGTTTTAAATAGGTACATTTTTTTCTGTAAAATAACTTGGGGAAAACTTATTTTTCCTTTTTAAAATTTACATGGAATTTCCTGTGTTCGGATTGATGATGCAACAGACTGAAGTTTAGTAACTTTTGTACTTTGATGATTTTTTTCCTACAGTTCATGCCAAGTCTGTTAGTACAATGATGGTATTCAGTCACTTGCTATTAGATTTAATATTCGTAAAAATTAAAGAAAATAAATAAAAAAAATCAATAATAGTTAACTTTCGTAAATTCTTTATGTTTACCATCAATAACTAATGAACAATTTTCCGTTATTTGGAAACAATAAATATTAAAGAGATGAATAGTCCAGACGGAGGAAATTTCTAAAAACGACGTCTCGGATACGACTCAGGTGAAAGCGAGGTCATATAAATTATTTCGTTTGTTTACGATGACAATAATGACAATAACTGTTCTGAAAGCTTTTTTTTTAAATTATTGTCTAATTTTTGGAAATCAGGTTTGTACAGGGTGGCGCCTCTCAGACGCCGCGGAAGCTCCAAGGAGGACGGTAGTTTATATCGAAATGAAATTTTGGCAGCATATGTAGGTTAACTGAAAGCATTTTATAACAATATATAGAATTATACAGGGTGTCCCTAAAAAAAGTTACACATCAAAGTTGTATTTTCTCTAATGGAACACCCTATATATTAATTGATTTTCGGATTCTAGGATAAAATTGAGGCCAGTTTTATTAAAGAAGCATATACGTAAAATCTGAGGATTTTGACATATATTTCACATTTCGTAAAAATGAAGAGTAAATTTTAAATTTCGATAACAGCTACCTAAATTTTAGTTGACCTTGTATAGCCTGATATTTAATTACAGTAACCATTGTATGTTAAACGAAAAGTTACTCCTTTATTTTAAATGGAACACCCAGCATATTATTCCGGTGTTCAATGGGGAATTTATATATCTTCAAAATATTACTATTGTTGTCTACCCCTCAGACAAAGATTTTCCTAGATATTTTAATTTTTATGATTTTGCGTCAGTAGATATTTATTATTTGAAAAAATCTAGGGTGGCTATGATATACCTTTTGTTAATTTCCTGTTAACTGCATAAAATGATTGTCTTTTCAAAAGGATCCTTTCATTTTAAAAGGCATGTGGAGTTCTATCTCGAAAAGCAGCTACAATAATTTATCTCATGTTGTCGACAATAGTTGGTCGAGTTTTGTAAACACTGTCTTTAACATATCCCCATAAAAAATCCAGACTAGATAAAATCAGGAGCATTTATGTATTCTACTAATTGGTGAATGCACACTGCATTCACTAACTAATAGAATTATGTCAATTCTGTCTGATGTAGGATAAGTTTGCATTTTCGGCAAATTTCTGAGAAATTTTGGGACTGCGTGAAATATTTTATCACCGGTATTTCTAATTTCTGCCGTTCGAACGCTACGGTCGGAATTTTTAAAATCAACTGAAATGCTCAACTGCACCAAGCATATAGGTATAGAATTTAATTTAATCAGATTCGAATGTGAATATAAATAATTTTCTTACGGATAATTTTGAAATGTCTAGTTTACGTAGCATTTCTTGGAACATAAAGTTATTTATTAAAAAAAAACAATGAAGATTAATCATCGATATCAGCGGATATTGTTGAAATGTAGCCCAAAATATTGTACACGCCACTGTGTTGCATGGAATTTATGGGTGACCCTCAACCCTTGTCTTCTAAGGGAAAGTTGGACCATATGTTTTTTACTGTTTCTTTTATGGTCTTTTAGTTATAAGATGTTTTTTGAAAGTAAAGTTAGTCTGTGTTGAGAATCCAACGAATTAGTTTTATTTCGGGACGGCTCCTTTTTTAACAGATATCCTATTTTGCAGAACTAAGAGCTGGTGACTGGCTACCATTTGCGACTTTCTCTACACTTACCGGTAATCGAAGGTATCGTACCTAGTAAATTCGACCAGGAGAATCCCCCACCTTCCGCCACTGATGTCGATTCGGATATTTCGTTTGTTTGAACGTCGTCCAAGTCGTCCAGGGCGACCTTTTTGATGGCATTGGGCTTGGCAGCCAGTTTTCGTTCGATTCTTGGTTGGCTTGCGACTTGTTGCTGTTGGCTCACTTCCCTGTTTTGTCTGTAGACTGGGTGAGGGTGGGCGTTAGGGTACGCCACTGTCGTCATCACCAAATTGCTGAAAAGCAGGGCCAATAGGCCCCAGCCTATTGATTTTCTATACATTCTCTGTAAAAAAGAAAAGATAGTAATAGTTATTAAGTCATATTACTAATGATAACAATAAAAGAAATGAATTTAATTTTTATCAGATTCTTTGAGTAACCTATATTATATAGGGTGGTTAAAAAAAAGTCATATCAACATAGAGTCAAAAATGGTTGCATGGTTTTAAAATTAAAGGGTTTTGAAATTTTCAAAAAAGATTTATTATTTATACAGTATGCGAACTTCTGGAGTATATTTAATCCAGTTTTGTTATACATGGTGTTTCAAAAAACATGTGCTATCTCTCGTGGGGAGATTTCTCACTTAAAAATAAGATTACTATTACTTTTAATATCAACATACGTCCGAATCTGCTTTATTTCCCAGCTACTGGAGGTTGCACTTTATTTTGTAGGCATAGATCAAATTCTTCTGTTTTTTTCTCGATTGTAAATTGTAAGCGAGGACAATAAAATAGAACTTCAAAAAATATCATCACCTCTTCCTATCCTATTTCACACTTGCGGGAAAGAAGTGTGAAAACCAAATTAAAACAAACCATAGCCAAAACTTGTTTACTGACACAAGTACAAACATAATCAAAAGTATAACTACCTATATAATTACCAAAATAACAACAATGAAGGTCAATAAATTAGATATAAACAAATGAAGATAAATTGAAAAATGTGATAGAATAATATTAAGCACAAGTATGTATTTCTTACTTTGTAAACTATATAACATTTTTCCGGAACAACTTGGCGGATTTTCCTGGAAATCCTGGACCTCTGGCCACTCTGGATTAATCCCAGAATCAACATTAATATTAAAAAAAAAACGAATAGCCTCCAAAAATTTGATATTTTCCCTATGTATATTTTTTAAAAAATCAATAAACTAATAAAATTGCTTTTCTCCAACGATATACCATATTCTATACCTAAACCTTCCGGTTTGGTAATTAGAGCTATTTAAAAAATTAATAATTCCATTACTATAGTTTCATTACAAGAATTTCGTTACCACGGTAATTTTAGAAATTTACCAGGTAAAATTTAACTGATCCATATAAAGTTTGAATATTTGTCATGGTAACCATTCTCTTTAAATGAAACAACTACATATAGAATTAGAATTATTATCTTTTAAATAATTTTAATGAACTAACCAGAAGTTTTAGGTATGGGAATATTTATATATCATTGAAAAGGAATTACTTATGTTTCAATTTTTTAAATAATATACAGGGTGTCCGGAAAGTCAACGATAATACTGAAAGGGGGCGATGGACCAACTCATAAGCATCCAGAAAAAACATAATATGACCTTAGTAAAAAATCGATGGTTTTCGAGATATTGTCACTTTAATAAAATTTGTTAAAATCGTCACCTTGGAACAGATTTTCGGGTGTTGAAAAAAAATAAATAAAAAAATGAAAAATTGTAAATGGGGGTGTAAAATTTTAACAAATGTTATTAAATTGGCAAAAAAAAAAATAAATATTTTTTAATATTGTTTTATATTCAATGGGTTGATTTAGACAGATTGAATATGTCGATTTTCCTTAACTTAAAAACAAAATTTTAGCTTTCAATATGGAAATTTTAGCTTTCAATAGAGGAAATTTATGATTCAACCAAAGCTTATCCAAGACCATGTTTTCCTGGCAAGGCTTGCGTTTGGGTCTCGATTTCCGTATATAAGAAGAGTACAATGCATTTAGAATGTATTGAACAAAGAGAGAAAAGCAAAAACGTTGCCAAACGTATTAAATAAACCGAGGACCTGTGCACATTGTTAAGAAACGTGGAACTGTGACCGCGACAAAGCTGCCATATCCCCGGCAGCTTTGTCGCGGTCGACACGGAAAAATCATTAGATTTTAATCCAGTATCTACTAGAATTATAGGGAAGGTGCTATTAGATCCTGTACATCATGCATTCAGATTCACTATGTAGGTAATTACGTCTCATTATACTTTATTTGTTTATTTATTAACGAATCGTGGTTGTAATTTTTCTTATAGCTTGTAAATTATTAAATACAAGTTAGAAATTAAACAACGACTCTAAAATGTACTTTTGGTAAAAATAAGTGGAATTGAGTTGGTGCTAGATAGTGGTCGCGCTATTAGAATTCAAAAATCGATATCTTGAAATTTATTAGAAATACTTTTTTGCGTTTTTTTTTTAATTTCTTAATGTTTCTGCTATTATTTCTTCGCAAACAGTATGTGAAAATTATATAAACAAAAAAGTTACAGAAATTCAGGAATTAAGAAATAAGCGTCTTTCGACCGCGATTTTACTTCAATAGATAGGGAAACGCACACCTGTATTTTTCTTTAAATGTGGCAACTCTGCAACAGCACACCGTCGCATTTTTCTCTTATGCCCAAGCCTATTCCTATTTTATAGCGGAATCCTATACCTATTTTGTGGCTTGTTGATTCCTATTTTGTGCCGAAGCCACACATGTAATTACCGACCCAAAAGCAAGACTTGCCAGCGCGGTATGTTTTGTTAATAGTTTTGCTAATAAAAAGTGGACCAACGTGTACGGAACTCGATAATTTAGAAACTGGATTTTATTTTCATTTTTCATTCGATACCACAAAAATATTACTAATCGTATCATTCTATCGGTATGTCAGATATGGTACATTAACACATCTTAAAATCTGTTCGTCTAAAGTCTAGATCTGCTCGAAGATGTAAATAAGGCGAGAAAGCGCTACTTTCTATGCAGCAACGTTCTTTCTTTTTTCTCTAATCGTTTCCTTTCCGTCTCATTTTATTTCTTTCGCGTTATCTCTCCGTTGACATTTCCAATACTATCATTATTCGCTGCTAAACGAAACGGCGCTAACAAATCGTAAATTTGTGTACCGGGGATCCGGCTTAAAGACACCGTTAGCGGCGACCAAATCGGAAAAGAATGCCGAGAACTTGCCGTTTCTTCTTCGCTGGTTCGGTACTGCCGTGACCCACAACCGACCACGAACTCCGCTGAGTACCAACGCAGTGACCTACATTTTAAACGCTGTTATTATGATGTATTTATGGGAGAAACATAATTTTTCCATAATAAATAATCGTCATAATAAAATGTCTTGCTGCGAAGTCAAAATTTTGACTTTACTAGATAGTTACTATAAAAAAAATTATCTAAAAAAAAATTAGTAAAATTAAACTACAAAAAATTGATATTTTATATTCATTTTAATTGTTATTTTAATACCGGGTGCGTCTCAAAAGTACCTCACCCCTATAACTTTTTATTTTTTCAAATAAAAAATTGAGATTTGGTATTTGATTGACGTATTCGATTATTTTCTGTCACTTCCTGTTTGGCCGGAAATGACTACAACTTTTGATTTTTAAATGTTACCCTCGGTTTTTTGTTGCTTTATTCGATGGAAAATGATACTCTGAATAGAATGACATATCATATGTCAACTTTGACATTTTCGAATATGGTTTATTAGAAATTGCAAAATGCGATTCATAACGACAATTTGACTCGAAATACCAAGTGTGTGGTACCAAATTATTCGTAAAAAAATGCTTTTTCCAAATATGATAATGAGCCACCCTCGTTCCATTTGAGAAAAAAATGAGATATGATTAAAAATACGATTTGGGCATTTTTTAACCAGCCAGGACAAGACACGAATAACATTAGACGATCAAATCTATTTTTCTAAGGCTCCTTGATTAAAAATTAGTGTTTTTAACACAGCCTTGGCACTCTAGATTGAAATTAAAATTCAATTTTGTTTTAAGCAAAAATGTCAAAAGTTGACATATGATGTGTCATTCTATTCAGAATGTCATTTTCTATTGAATGAAGTAAAAAAATATCGAGGGAGCCATTTAAAAATCAAAAGTTGTAGTCATTTCTGGTTAAACCGGAAGTGACAGAAAGCAATTGAAAACGTCAATCAATCCTAATTCATGTCATATACTAACATACCAAATCTCGTTTTTTTATCTGAAAAAAAAGTTATAGGGGTGAGCCACTTTTGAGACGCACCCGGTATATTAAAAATGTTACTGAATCTACTGGAGTAACCTGTAATGTAGGTACTGAAGTACTGATAATATTCAGTTTCTTACTACCGTATAATCTAAAAAAACGGCGTCAGAGAGTCAGAGACGACTGAGGAACGACAATCGATAATAATTTTGGCGAGGTCAATCCCTAGACGTCATTTACTAAGAATTGACATCAAACTTGTCAAAAATTAACACTTATTATAGAAAGATTAAAAATGCATAGAACGTTTCCAGACACACAATCTATATCCAAAAAATGATCTTATTAACATTTAAAATTTATTTTTATTCAATAAAATATAAGTTACAACCTTTTTAAGGGCAATAATTGGTAGTAAGCGCCATTAAAAAAAAAGAAGAGTACAGGCTAGGTAAATTATGCCTAGAGCTTGACCTCGCTAAAATTAATATCGATTGTCCTCCACCGGCGGTCTTTGACACCGTTTTTTTTTCGATCGTATGGTAATATATCGCACCCTCAGAACGAAAGTGGCAACTCCAAATTTCCTGATTTTTGCTTTTTGTGATAAAACGACGTATGTGTAATTTAACGTCCTCAATCTATTGCAACTTAAAACAATATGATAATATAATCATAATAAAGTAATAATTTAATTATATTATTATATCGGGTGGTGCATCGACCTTGGAAACATATGAAATCCCATCACAGATAACATACAGGCTGTTAATTTTACTCGCGGCAAGAGCTTTATGGTTAAAATATGGCAACCTCGGCCCGCTCGTCGCTTTGGAATGTAGGCAGAGTTGCCATTCTGTTCCCCAATAAGTAACCGTCCAGGTAACAATCTGTATAATCATCCCATGCAAATTTTGAATTGTTCAGCTCCCTTCTTAATTTTACAGCGAAGTCCTACATAGATTTTTTAAATGTCTACTAAAGCCAGGCAAATGCAAGTTACCTTAAGTTGCCAACCTTTGACCGAATGCAATTTGTTGTGCTGTCTACATTACTATGCCATAGTACCTACGGTTAGTGCGCCCGATATGCATTTTTATAATTCAAAACTTGTTTAAACTAAACAAAAGCCTAAGGTTTAGGAAATACAACTTGACATTGACAAAATTATAAATTGACAACTTAAGGCATGTTTCCTGATATAATTAGGGGTGTATTATACCAGGTGCGTCTCAAAAGTAACTCACCCCTATAACTTTTTTATTTTTTCAGTTAAAAAAACGAGTTTTGGTATGTTAGATTTGGTTTGGAAAATACGATTTGAGCATCATTCATGGCCAGGACAAGACGCTAAAAACATTAGACGATCAAATCTATTTTTCCAAGGCTCCTTAATTAAGAATTAGTGTTTTTAACATAGCCATGGCATTCTAGATTGAATTTTAAAATACGATTTGTTCTTAAGTGAAAATGTCAAAAGTTGACATAATATGATATGTCATTCTATTCAGAATGTCATTTTCTATCGAATAAAGTAAAAAAATGCCGAGGGTGCCATTTAAAAATCAAAAGTTGTAGCCGTTTCCGGTGAAACAGGAAGTGACCAAAAACAATTGAATACGTCAATCAATCCTAATTTATGTCATATACTAACATACCAAATCTCGTTTTTTATCTGAAAAAATAAAAAAGTTATAGGGGTGAGCCTCTTTTGAGACGCACCCGGTATTATTATATATATACCTTAAGTTGTCAATTTATAATTTTGTCAATGTCAAATTATATTTCCTAAACCTTAGGCTTTTGTTTAGTTTAAACAACTTTTAAATTATAAAAATGCATATCGGACACACTAACCGTAGGTAGGTACATACTATGGCATAGTAATGTAGACAGCACAACAAATTGCATCATAGGTTGACAACTTAAGGTATGTTGACATTTGCCTGGTTTTGCATTGGTACCTGTTCAGTTTTAATTTAAATATAAATGCAGATTTTCTTAAATTAGTTAAAAACGACTTATACAAAATTGTTCAAATTTGATATGCGTAATTAGCATACGCAGACTTTTAAAGTACCTATTTACGCCTGCGCTGTAAACTTAACAGAGGACAGAGGAGCCAATATTTGGACAGTTCAAAATTTGCATGGGATTTCTATGTTTCCAACACCGCGCCGATGCACCACCCGGTATATTATGTCATACTTCTACAATTATATATTTCTGAATGCTATAGTCTAAGTAACATAAATAATAGTAACACATCATTATAGGAACTTTAGATGACTATTGTATTTCTCTCCAATGTCTCATAGCGATTTTAGAAACACTAGATTCTTCAATGTTTTATCTCATTCCAATAACAAATATCACTAAAAACTTAGAATAGATATATTTCTTTTGAAAATAGTTCTCATTTTAACAATAAATATCATTTGCACTGATTGATTACCTACAACGACTAAAACAAGGGATAGAAATGTTTTTGCTTCACCGTTGTAAAGCAATAATCTAATTCCAAAACACTAAAGCACTTCATATAGTGTTGTTCACTACCGCTTTTTGCGATGTTAATAGACATGTCTAACATAAAAGCTTTGTTAGCTATTTACCGTTAAAACCGCAGAAATTAGGTGTTAAACCCGAAACCCGCAGATCATCAGGGCGAAACCTCTCTAGTAAAGTTTACAGAATAAAATATTATTCTGTGACTTTGCTCTCAAGGATAAATAATTTTTTCATAGATTGTGCACAATGACAGTTAGGTACATTTCAAACGCTACATTGTCACAAATTACCTGGTGATTTGTGACATTGTTAAATGCATGGGACCTAAAAGCTAATTTTAATGGTAATTGTAACTACGTACTTATAACCAACGCAAACGCAAACAGAGAACAAATAAAGTCACCGACTTCCACTAATCAAATCTGGTCGTACCGTTACTCACCTACTTACCTACATGTAAGCTTTTGCAGAATGAAAAATTAATAACGCTTTACAGTAAGCATCTTCGTAATAAAATATAAATATGATGTTTAATAAATCGATAAAAAAATCGTTTTAAACCTACGATGATAACATAAACGTATTAATTATAAGATAAGTAATATTTATATTGATGGCATGGTGAAATTAATATCAAAAAATATCTACACTTTTTTTAAGAAGTCTGTCAATTTTAACTATTCCCAATTCAATATTTTTGATATATAGATTTCAACTTCAAGAAGCATTAAAAATTGATTCAAAGATGTTTTAACATTTTTTTGGAAACTATTTTTGTTCAACACTAAAAATTAAATATTTTTACATTTGTTTAAGAAATCTGGCGTTACCTATTTTAAATTCAATATTTTTGATGCCTACTCGTGTTTAAAATTATTCGTAACAAAGATTTTTCACAAAACTCAATAATATTTATCTAAATATTTTGTCATTATTAAAATTTAGAGTTTTTTTATGAAGTACAAATCAAAATTCAATTGTTCAATTATTGTGAATTTTTGAGAAGTTATTAAATGTTTAAAAAAATAACTCAACCAGATATAATATTTCAACTTCGAGAAGCATGAAAACATGTTTTGACAACTACTGACTGAAAGTTTACTACTAATTAAGTATTGTTAAATGTGGTTCTATTTAGCTATTTTTGGCAAATTAAGTATACATGACATTCGAAAGGAACAGTCTACTAAATGACTAATCAATTTTAGTGGCATTATAGTTGGAGATATCAATCATAAAATGGATTAGAAATATCTTTTTTTTTTGAACAGGGTGAGTTTAAAATAAGTAGAAATATTTTCAGGGTTGGTAGATTTCGATAAAAGAAACATATTTTCTCTTTACCGTTTTTCAAATTAATCCAAAATAACCAAGTTATTTTACTACAAAAATTTAAAAAAAAAATACATTTTTTGCTTAAATTTTGTAAGTCGCTGATGGATTTTAACTGGTTTTTCTTTTTTGTAAATTTAATCTACCACCTATGTTGCCATATTATCGAGATATTATGTTTTTAACTTAAAATTAAAAAAAAACAAAAAAATTTTCAAAAAATATCAAATATTGCAAAAAAATGTTCGCGAAAAAATGTGTTTTTGGGGTTGAAATATACTACCCCTAAAAATATTTGTGCTTATTTTAATACCTTGCGCCCTGTTTAACACTACAAAATGTAAATGAATATTAAATGCCGCGTTTAAAAAAAAAAGTTAATTGAAAAATACTGTTTTATATTTTTCGCCAATAATGATTTTGGAAGTAAACTTGAAAATAATTTATTTTTAATTCGGCCCAACTTAGATAAAAATGTTTTACCGAAAATAGAGAACATGGAATTATTTGTAAAAAAACGATTTTCGTGCATTTATTATTTGCAATCTCGGTACTTAAAAAATAAACTATTTTTTTGATGAATTTAGGAGTGATGAAAGACGTTTCTATTTTTCCGCGTTACTCACCAAAACTCTAACGACTGCTTTTGTCACTACAAAGTAAATCACTAGTCATATGGGTGTAAGGCGTCGCGGAACTGACTTGCGGCGTCAAAGATAAGAAGCGCAAATGGTTCTTCGGGTACCTTGAACTTGGGTTTATATAGCGTGACCCAGTTAAGACCATCCGATCGGACGGTTCCACGGCTCCACCAACGGAGAATAATCTAGTCCGATGGCGTTGCCGTTTACGTTTGCGGCCTCTTTTTCGAAAGGTGTAAATCAAAAATATTTAGTTGCATGTTTTCAGTTTGGTTTGGATGGCACTAATGCTACAATTGTAAATAAATATGTACAGCAAAGTTCTTAAAACTTTTTTCATATTCTTCATCGTTTAAATTACAAACTGCATTGATTTTGGGTGGTACTTCCTTGTGAACTGATCTGGCTATTGCAGTTTGAGGGATTTCAATCTGTACACCACGTTCGTTACTCTTGTTGATCTTTCTCTAGGAGATGCAAGACCTTGTTGTTCGCGGGGAAGCTCCTAGTGAGGTGGTAAGGGGAACTCCATCTGGAACTTTGGCTGGGTCTAAGGAGCATCTTACTTTTTCATACGTCTTCTCCTTGGCTGTAGTGTCGTGGTCATGGAATGACCAAGACGTATAACGATTCCGGATGGGACTATCATGTCCGTCATACCAGGCACCCTCTACTGTCTGTGGTGATGTGTTACGGGTAGAGGGTGTGGGGGTATTAGTTTATTAACCAAGAGGAGACAATTTCACCAAAAACCTAATTTTTACGATGATGGCGGGGTTAGGTCAAAGGGACGCGTGGATCTACTGGTCTAAAACTTGGGACACCCCGTTGTTTTTACTCCTTACTTCTACATGCGGAGCTCTGTAGAAGTAGACTGACTAACCCTAGCGACTCGTGTCAACACTATGAGATCAAGTAAAAAAAAACCACCGGTGAAGCTGTGGGGAAACACCCTGGCAACACTGGGAACCTTTATAACTGCAAGTTCCAAGGGACCAATTCCAAAGGGAACCACAACACAGGCGGCTGACACTTATGCGAGATCAGCCTCTAACAAGCTACCACTTTCTTTAGTAAAGGTCAGGAGCCTATATCTCTAGACCCAATAAGCGACACAAGTTAACGTTTCGTCTACCCGGCCTGGGTCAATCAGGCGAGTAGACGATCCACTGCCTGAGAGTAGCCTGAGACTGCTCCACGAGGGACTACGAGAATAAAAGAAGTAAAAGCGAAAACACTCTTAAAAAAGGGAAGAGTAAAGGAACCAAGCCTGGCGCATCTCTACCAAAGGGTACGAGAACCTCTCATCTCTACAAAAGCAGTTGCAAGAATGACCATAAACCAAAACCATAAACTAAAGTGGGCGACCAATAAATCTTTAGAATGGTGAGAGACAAATGTTACTAATAAATCTTTAGAATGGTTTATGGCAAACCTGAAAATCAAAGGAAAGAAGACTGTTAAAGATGTAGTGGGCCTTCTAACCCAAAGAAAGCTGTGTGCTTTCTAACCCAAAGATCGCTTTCATTTTATTATCATGATCATCTTCATCATTTTCAGCTTATTCAACCATTTTCAATTATGGTGTAGCCTCTCTTACATACTCTCTTTGTAGTTGGGCCCATTGTTGTCTATTGTTGGCTATGCGGACTCAAGTTATCTTTGCTAATTTTCTAATATCGCATGGTCCCATCTCAAGTTCGGTCTTCTTCTAGGTCTCGTGGGTATCATGCTGTAATTTTTGTGGTCCGTCTGTTGTCCAGGTGTCCTGCCCATTGCCATTTGAGGGATTTGACTCTGTGGATGACATTTATTACCTGTTTTTTTGTCGTATCCACTCTATTCTTTTACGGTGTCTGTTGGTTATTCCCAGCATATTTCTTGAATATTATTAAGCGTTGTGCAACCTGCAATTTCCTTATGATGCCCGTTTGTATGCCCTTATGATGTCCAGGTTGTAGTCGCATGCATAGGTCATGACTGGTAGTACACATTGGTCGAATGTTTTCTTCTTTAGATAGAGTGGCATTCTAGATTTGAATATGAATGATTTTCTTTCGTAAGTACTCCATGCTAACTTAATACTTCTGTTGATTTCTGGTAGTAGAGATCCTGAGCTGGGTGTATTAGTTGTCCCAAATATATATTCTTCTTCTACTATTTCCAGTGTTATGTTATTTATTAGATGTCGTTTCTTTCCACTAGTTCGTTATACATTATCTACTTTAGTTTTTGCTAAATTCATTTTAAGACCCGTTGTAATTTTAAATTGTAAGTTTTTATGAGAAATGTCATTGATCGTAATTTCCCAGGCAACTGGACGTCGTTTTTTACTCGATTATATGGTAGTATATGAATTTAGAAATTATTTACTAGGTATTATTAACTCTTAGTAATTAAGAACTCAAAGTACCAAATAAAAAATGCACAAACGTGCTTAAAAACGATATTCGTAATACTAGAAAATGCAATTAAACCGACTCAATGACCTTTCTTACATTTTACGAATGTTGATTTTGTTTTTCTTATAATTTGTTGATCCCGGACATTGCACTACGTATGTAGAACCATTTTATTTTGTGTGAATCAACTTAGGTCGCTTTCTAAATAATAATACCACACATTTTTAAACATTGACGTCTTGTACAATGAATATAGTAAACTTTCGTTTTCAAAATCGAATATATTGAGTAATTTTTGACGTAATACAAATTGTAATAATTTATATTTGTGTGGGATTGCATTACTGCGTGATTTTTGAAAAAGACTTCCCAAAAATCACATAGACGATAATATATTATATAGTGTGATTCAAGCAAACGTCATTTTGACTGGCTTTCTACACATCTCAAATAAACATAATACGTTTTAAAATCAATCTTGTAGAATGTAGAATGAGTAAGAGGGGGGGGGGGTTATCACTGCGACCTTAAAGACCTACTGTGCTCCCCTTCCTTGAGTCATCACACAGTCTATATGTTGTAGAGGGGACAGGGTATATCCCATCCTCCTCTGACAACAGTTCTTCCTCGGAGGGTACACACCCTTCCACGATTGGAGTTTGGCCCTCCGTGCCGCCCTTCACAGTCGAGGAGCTTGCCTCCGGCTAAGGAACCCGTAAGGTGGAGGCTGGAGGATCTGTCTCCATTTTCTCCACCTCTTTAACTTGGTCTCTCCTTAGACCTGATACAGGTGTTGTCCCGTATCTATAATAGTCCTCCGAGGATATGTCCCTCTTTCTCTATTGCCTGCTTGGATTTGAGGTTAATTCCTATTGTGAGGACCTGACCATGACCCTCCTCCCTCGAGTTGATGACTCGCCAACTCGATGTCCTTACATTGAAGTTCTGACCCTGGATAAGGCTCAGCAGGTAGGTGCTGTCTTTCCTCTTGCTCCTCGGCAGAAAGACCGTGATGGCCGCCCCTTTAGAGATGTTTTCGCCCACCCTTTGAGATACACAATCTATGAGGATCATGCCCACCCGAAAGAGTATCCCCGCAAAATGCAGCTGACCCACATTTTGTAGATCGTTGTGTTGCGATTCGATCGCGACTACTTCGTACAGTATAGCCTCTTCTAGAGACGTTTGCAGGTCGGTGGTCAAAGCAACCTCTGGGAAATCCTTTGGCAGCACCGCCATTTTCATTTGTCCAGCAATAGCGGCAAAGCTGGTGATACGTCCCTGCTTGCCTCCCGGTGTTGGACAGTTTTCCATCCTGGCTTTTTTCTCTTCCTGCCGGAGAAGAGGTGAGAGGTTCTCGCTCCCTCTCCTGCCCTTTGATGGAGATGAGTCAGGTTGTTTCTTGGTTTCTTTACTCTCCCCTTTTCGGAGGCGTGTTTTCGCTTTTGCTTCCTCTGAAGCAAGTCCTTAGTGGAGCAGTCGGAGGTATCTCCGTGCCTCTGCTCCGCTAAGACCTACTCTCAGAGGATCGTCTAGCCCGCCTGGTTGACCCAGGTCGGGTAGACGAAACGGTAGCTTGTGTCGCTTATTGGATCTAGAGGTAGGCTCCCGACCCTTGCTGGAGAAGGTGGTAGCTTGTGTGCCACTTGTGGAGGATGATCCCAAGCAAGTGTCAGCCGCCCCTCTTGTAGTTTCCTTTGGATTTGGTCCCTTGGAACTTCCATTTGTAATGTTTCCAGTGTCGCTAGGGGGCTTCCCCACAGCTTCACCGTTGGTGTTTTTAATGCTAGATCTCATAGTGTTCCCACGAGTCGCTAGGGTTAGTCGGTCTACTTCTACAGAGCCCCGCATGTAGAAGTAAGGGGTAAATACAATGGGATGCCTCCTGATGTCCGAAGGTTGAGGCCAGTAATGGCTAGTCCACGCTATCTAGCCACGCATCCATTTGACCTGGTCCCGCCGTCGTAGCATTTAGGTTTTTGGTGAGGTTGTCTCATCTTGGTCCAGGCGGTTAAGCCAAGACCACCCATACCCTCTACCCGCGAGATATGACCACAGTCAGTAGACGGTGCCTGGTATGACGGACAGGGGTAGCCTCGTCCGGCATTGTTATATGTCTTGGTGCAATTCCCTGGCCACGACACTACAGTCAGGGACAAGACGATGAGTGAGATGCTTGTTAGACCCGCGCTAGGGGGATTCCCCCCAGCACCTGACCAGGAACTTCCCCACCAACGACAAGGTCTTGCATCTCCTAGAGGAAGAAAGAAAATCAGTCTTTCTGGAAGTACGATATTATAATATCACCTATTTTGAGTCTCGCTTTTGAATCCCCTGTATAGTTCTCCAAATTGACTGAGGGTTAACCTCAGATCACGTTTAAGATTGGATATTTATCGTTTATGTTAGCGTATTGACGAGATTCGAAAGAATTACGTTATATCAATACAGTTAGAGAGAAGAGAATCTTCAGCAACCGTTAGGTCTAAATGTAAATTGGAAAGCGGTGTTTGTATGTGTTTGTCGATTTTATCTTTCCTTCTATTTGGCATACGCATATATTACTTTCAGCTAAACAACACAAATTACTTAATTAAACTGCTATCGATTGATACGAGGGTCGATGTAATGTAAATTTAATACCGGGCTTTTCTCACAATTTGCTTATTTATTTATAGTTAATAATATTTGTATAGTTTACATCAAATAA